TAAAATACATTTGTTTTGTCAAAATATTTACAACGTGCAATAAATTATGCAGTTAGGTTAACATAGTTGTTAAGCTCATTGCTTTTTTTTTTTGTAACGTAGTAGTTTTAACTTCTGGCAATGTAGGTGCAATTGAAGATTTGGCACGAGGGCGTTGCTTCTTTTATTTTAGTTGATTTGCTTGAAGGCAACAATAGGTTTTCTGAGAATTTTCTGGAGAAAGGACATGCCGTCTAGCTAGATGTAGAATCCAACTCTGGAGTTGGTTCTTTTTTTTTCTTCTCTCCTTTTCTGCCGTAATACATGAAGTGTAGGTCTTCCTGGGATTACTCAGCAAGTGCGTCATATTTGGCATTAAAACTTTCTAAGAAGCTTCTCTTTCGCCATGAATTGCTATTTATGCCATCTGCGAAAACTAATATACATTTATAAAGTATTGTCACCAATATAATCAAAAAGTAAAAGTTATATAAAGATAAACAACATTCAAACTGCGCAAATAATGCCACACGAACAGATATACTATAGTTAGGAATCTATTAAGAATCTTCTTCACTGGCGAAACATGAAAAAATACTATAGGGTAACGTGGGAGGTTCTCGTGGTCTTCCTCTCCATGTAACGCAAATGCGGGTTAGCTCCATCAAAAAAGTCCTCCACGAAGGCAAATTTCTCCCAATACTCGATCCAGGAGTTCCCTTGTCTTCTCGATTGGGTTTAAAATTACAAGGAGCACGGAGTTGAGCATTAGTAGTCGTAAACCCATAAAATTGGGTCGGCTGTGTACGGTTATATTATAAAAATAAAATAGGGTAACGGGCAGCCGTGGTGGCTCGGGGGATAGAGCGCTCGCCTCCCAATGAGGTGACCCGGTTCGAATCCCGCACCTGGCTAGCACCGACCACAGTTCTGAAGTAAAATATCGTCAGTGGTAGACAGATCTTGGGTTAAAGTCCCCTTGCCGTCATACTAACCGTAGAAGATCTTCGTGGTTTTCCTTTCCATGTAACGCAAATGCGGGTTAGTTCCTTCAAAAAGTTCTCCACTAAGGCAAATTTCTCCCTTTACTTTATCCAGGAGTTCCCTTGTTTTCTGGATTGGGTTCAAAACTATAAGGCTACGGAGTTGAACATTGGTAAACTGTTCAACGACGGTTATAAAATAAAATTAAATAGGTTAACGGGACTGATCTTGTTTATTGTCTAATATGTATATTTTTGTATATTCTGTACCCATACGTGTGTATAAAAATGTTAGTGAGTAAATTCTTTTGTAAAGATAACATTTGTATCAAGTTTAACTTATATATATCGCCAGAGTTTTCCCTAGAAATAAACAAGGACCAGAGTGCTCACAGAAAAGGGTTAGTTTTTAAAGGGCACTCACTCACTTACCACAGTTAAAATTTATCAAAATATTATGTAATGACTGAATTTGAGCTTCAATTTTTATATTACCCTCTTATACTCTTTTATGTGCATATTTCACATAATAATTGTCACTCATTATCAAAATAACAGAAAAATTTTAAGCTTTTGATAAATAATTAAAGGCAAGCTAAAAGAGTATAAATTTTCTTCAAAAAAAAGTACTTAAAAAAAAAAGGATTAATTGATTAACAACTTTAATGCTTTTTTTTATTTATTTAAAATGAAAATTATGAGAAAATAAGCATTTAAAGATTCATTTTTAAATAAAAAAAAAAGTATTTATTTAAAAAAAAAAAATGGTAAAATTGAAAATCACTAAAAAATTCATTAATACTCCTCAAATAAACGATATGAATATGTCTGGGATGAAATATCTTGCGAATTTTTACTATATAACTTAGGCAACGTAAGAAAAATCTTGTTAAAGATAAAGTATCAATTTAAAAATTAAAGTTAAATAGTCATCAGTCACTTGATAAATCAGAAATGGACTTTTCATTAAAACAGGTGGTTAAGAAAACGACTTTTTTCTGAAAAAAATGAAAAAGCAGTGCTTTTATGGCATGGTGGCTTTTTTTTTTTTTACAAAAAGAGCGAGGAGGGCTCATTTATAGGGAGGTAAACTGATTTTAGATTTTCTGGATGTTTGATTGTTTTTACGTGTACTGGTTTTAGAAATATTTGGGAAACATTAGAAATATTTGTAGTGCAATGCTGTCCGAGTGCAATGCTAATGGTCGAATCTTTACTTTTTTGGAATCATTCTTAATAGTTCAAGGGGATGACCTCAAATATGCCAATTAATTAGTGTAGACAATATTTTAAGTTACGAAATCAGACACAAAAACGTACTTTCTCTGAACAAACATGCCTTTTTTTCGACACGGATTCGGATTTCTAACCCCCATAATCTAAGGTGGAACAGCAATCTGGGAACTATGGTCCCTATAGTTTGTTCAGGAGAGCGATCCACAGTTTGAAGAGAAACAGTGTGACGTCCCTCATTTATCATAGTCGTGACAGAGCTGTAGCTTGGCTAAAATTGAGAAGAAAAATTTTTTTAATAACTAACATATTTTCAAACTATTGGCTGAATTCTGTACTTGCTATTTCTGTTGACCACGTGCTTGCGTTAATGTTCCCGATCAATTGTTTGTAAAACGCTGTTCTGATATAAATGATATTATGATGATATATTATAGTAATGGAGAAGAAACTAATAAACCTAAACCTCCATTCACATTCAAAAACATGCAGTTTCCCTGTTTGCATTTAATATGTGTTATGAGATTTGCTTGTTGAACACTATGCCGAAGAAAGACAAAAAAGTATCACATTATTTTCTTCGAGTGTAAACAAAACGCTTATTCAACGTTTTTTTAGCTTCTTTTTATTATTAAAAGCTTTTATTTTTTGAAAATTTTAATCTTGCTAAAGTTGAACGAATAATTACCTTTTTGTCCCTCCATTTGTTTTTTAAACGAGTTCCAATATATTTCGCTTAAAATTTAAAGGTATTTGTTCTACAGTACTTGCGATAGATGTTATTTCTTACATGTTAGTGATTGATAATTAATTATTCATTATGAGAGTTGCATTTTGAATAATTGTCGAGAAAAGACAAAAAAAATTCTATCACTGTTAAGACACGCTATTCTCTTTGAATATAAATAAAAAACAATATATTAATCAGGTTTCGACATTATTTAGCTCTTTTTTTAAAAAAAAAAAAAAAATTAAAAACTTTTATTTTTGAAAATTTTATTTGATCGAGGCCCTAATGTGCGAATTGCCGCTTTCTCCGTTCGTTTTGTAAACGAGTTTGACTATACTTCGTTCTAAAAATCAAAGATGGTACTTGTTCTTTTGTATCAAACGACATTTGAGCTCTCAGCTATCTTAATTGTCCACATTCAACCATTATAAATTTATAAGATTTCCTGTTTATAATACAGGAACTCATTGCTTTAAACCTGAAACTCGCTTTATCATCATTTTTCTTGGCTGCATTTTGGCGACTTCCTTTCAGGTCATAATACATATCGCGATACCCCGTTGGAGCTAGTTTTTTTTCTTTGCGTTTGGCAGAATCCCAGTTCTTCGCTGCCGCGTGTAATTAGGACACGTTGAACAAAATTGTTAGGGGGATACGAAAAGGTTGCCTTTTTGTGCCGGTACCAGAGATCACATTTGTTGCCGCGTTTTAGACATAACTGCTGCCAGGAAGAATATGCTTTAGTTGTGAAGTGAAATTTATCAAAGTGTATTATTTTGAAGTTATTTTCTGGTGGATAATTAGATCAATAATGCCGTCCACCAAGAGGTAAGATATGATTAAATATTTAAGCAGATAAATGGGCAATTAAGTATATGTATTATTTCTTAATTATTAGATATGTATTATCATTGTTTGTAAAAAATATGATAATAAAAATTAAAGTGTACCAATTGTTTTATAGTCTCGAATCTTATCGCTTCATGATTATTTAGGAGAAATAAAATGTAGGAAGGGGTGTTTGGCCATGTGCTGTAGAAAATGAGATTTTATGTAATTTTTTTTCTTCTTCATAATCATGTGTATTTAATTTTTAGAAAACAAATAATGTTTATATTTCTTTCTTAATTTATGCTATACATATTTTATTTATATTTTTTGTATATTTTGTATAGCTATATATTGAAAACTTCTGTTAGAATAAATGTATGTACTTGTAATGCAAGGGTTAAAAGTCCTTTCGAGTTTATTTATTTTTTATGTTATTGCGTATTAGGTTTCGTGTCATGTATTTAATTTTTTAGAAACCAAATAAGGTTTACTTCTTTCTTAATTCATACTATACATATTTTTTTTTTGTATCTTTCGTATAGCTATATATTCAAAACTTAAGCTGGAATAAATGCATGCAAAGTATGTAATGCAAAGGTTAAAAGTTCTCCTTTCAATCCTTTCGATTTTTTTTTAATTTATTATTTTTTTATGTTATTGCATGTATAAAAATTCTGATTTAATTTTTTCTGGTAAAACATTAACTTTGAATCTAAAAAAGAATTTTTCACTAAAAACGGTGTTCTAACAATTTTTTTAGCATATTGTATTTTTTTTTTCATTCTTTAATTTTTTAATAAATTTAAGTATATAATGAAATATATAATGTTATATTTCTTGAGAATTTAAAGATACATTATATTTAAACGTTAGATAATAATTTTAGTAGAATCAGATTTTTTTTCTTTCTTTTTTAAATGCAGATTTAAATATTTGGCTTTTTTCTGTTTCCTTGGGGGCATAAATGAAATCCACAATTTTTAATTTTATTTTTCTTTATTTACTTTGCATACGGAACCTTCATTTTGTTTTGTGTTCAAAAATAAATAAAACAAAAATTGTAAAAAAAAATGTTGAATTTTGAAATTTGTAATGAAATATAGGTAGGAAATTTTGAACTTTATTAGTAAATTTAAATATATTATATAAATAAAATTAGAAAAAATAAATCGAAAAAGTGACTGTTTTATTTGATTTCTTTAATTTATTTTTGCTTTACTTAAAATTTATATTGTTTTTCACAGCTACAGTAGTACTGTTAACAGTCTTATGATGCATAAGACTCCATCCATTGAAGAAATGGCTGTTAAAGAGAAACAGAGTGAGCCGAAGCCGGCAAATGTTTTTGTGTTTGACGATACTGTTTATAGGGAGAAAATGTTTGACAACTTAAACAAGCTGAGGAAAAACAAACAATTTTGTGATGTCACATTGCAGGTATTTTATTTTTGATCTTTTTTTCTTACGTTTAATGATTTCTTGTTCATAGATTTTACGATTTGTTCATGATATACTAATACTAGGAAGGCTTATGTAGAGAAGTGATTAATTCATGAGTAAATTTAAAATTTCATGGATATAAAAATAAGATTTGCAGGAAATATTAAAATTTTTGTGGCTCGAAATAGTAAATATTAAAACTTTCCTTTATTAAAAATGCAAAATATCCTGCAATCGAGTGTTACTAACTTTACACTGCTTGTTGTTTACTTGATTGCTTAAGAAAAATTAAAAGTTTATTTAAAATGGATATCTGCAATCAGCCTGTAGCATAAATAAGATATGGAAATATCCCCCGCAAATTGTTTGAGGAGATTTCTGTATCGTTATTTGTGGCAAAATAATTGCTGAGCCTGCCAACTTCCAGGTAGCGGCCGGCAAGAAAAAAAGAAAAAGAAATGAAAACGTCACAAAGAGGGAACAACTCAAAGTATAACTCTTAGCCACCCCTGGGAAAATAACTAAATGTTTTTTTTTTTTTTTTAAATGTGCAAGTTTAAAATCTATTTGGCACCTTGTTGTAGTTGTCACTACAGATTGGGATATAGAAATATCCTCAATCAATTTTTCATTTGTTTTAAACGCTATTTTAATAGCTTTAGTATTGTATGAAAAATAAATGTCTTTAATTTAAAGACATTTATTTAAGTAAAATATATACGTACAATATATTCCTATATGAAGTAAACTAAATTCAACTACAAAAATTAAGAAATTACTGTTAATCTATATACAACCATTCTTTAAGTTTAGGATTCTATAGAATAAGAGTTTATATTTCAAATATTCATATATATGCAAGTTTTCAAATATTCATGTACATTCAACAGTAGTTACAAACGATGAATTAAGATTCATCGTTTGTAACTCACTCAATTCACTTCATCACTCAATTGACGACTAGCATATCTCTAGTGCATCATTAACTATTTTATCAAAGACTCCCTTATTTGAGGGAAGAATATTTTAATCTGACAAATTTTAAAAATTTGTTTTAGAAAAGCTCTAAACCATCTGCTATGAAGAAAAAAATAAGTTAAAACCTTTTTATTACAAAATAAGTATTAAAAATATTTACTAAATAAAATGCCAAATATTAATTCATCCATTATTAAAAAAACTTCAAATTTTAACAAATTTGTTAAATTTTTGCCAATATAGGCTGAAAAACATTTACTTAACTAAATTTTCTGTCTATTTGTGAGAGGAAAATCTTTAAATTATAAATTTTATAGATTAGCTAAAAGGCTTATTGAACAAATTTCAACTTGATATCTGTAGAATGTAAAATTTTAATTGCTTCCCGCCGTCTACTCAGTGGCCAAAGAAAAGTATTTTTCGAATCAAATAATATGTAATATGAACTTAAAATTTCGATATTTTGTTTAAAAGCTATTCGTTTCGTTAAAAGCTATTCGTTCCCCCCAAACTATTCGTTTTATTTTGTGTAAAAATTCCCCCTCAAGCTTTAAGTGGGCGCATCGTGCGCCCACCTCCCCCCCCTGGTGGGGGCCCCTGCGTCTACTAGTTGAATTTATTGTTAATAAAAATTTCAACCAATTTCCAACTTAAACTAGCAGCATCAGTTAGAAAAAAAATATATATACACGGGTCTGTCTAGGCCGAATTTACTACCGTTTAGCGGTACCTTCACAAATTCAACTTAAGGAAAAATGGTAGTTTCACAAATTCAATTTTAGGAAAAACGGTAGTTTCACAAAATACTTTTTCTTGAAATTTTATTTTTGTATCCCTTTAGAAACGATAAATCCATATTTTTGTGTTGATTTTTTAATATAATTTTTAATTTTTCGCAAATTATGTCTAAATTTTCACCAAATAGGTACCTCTCAGAAAAACCTAGACAGACCCCTGATATATATATTTATTTATTTATATGAAAATTGTGAAAAAAAAAGAAAAAGTATAATAATGTCAACCAAAAGTGATGTCGTCAGGGAGTGCCAGTCCCAGAAGTCATAAAAATATAAAACCTTTCCTATGGAGAGAACAGAGCATAACAAATGTCTAAAATCAAATGTCAAGCTTTCTCTGTACCCCAAAGGCTTTGCAAGAAGTCCAGGAAAAGAGAAAAAGTGAATACAAAATGTGTAAACTAATGACAAAATGAAAAATAATTTTCAAAAAACCTACTTAAAAACATATTCCTTTGCCAAAGCGAAAGCATGCCACATTCAGAAAATCCCAAACCAAACTGAAATTCGCAAATAAACTTCACGCCCCTACTTATTGTGCAGGAAGAAGAAAAGGAAAAAAATGTTTCAAAAGTGATTCTCTAACAAACTCTAAAATTTTAGGTTGGCACCACTCAAGACGTTAAGGAAGTTTATGCTCACCGAGCAGTGCTCGCAAGTGCAAGTCCATACCTATTCGACTTGTTCACAGCTGAAAGCAAGGGACCCAGAAATCAGTACAAATTAAATGGAAACATAGAAATGGAGGCATTTGAAATTTTAGTTGATTATGCTTATTTGGGAAGGTGAGTACTTTTTATAAAATAAACTATGTGATTTAATTTTTATAAAAATTTTAATTGGTGTAATTCTTCCCCAAAGGCTTGAAGTTCCTTCAAAATTAGTAAAAGCCACCTATGTTGCTGCTACCAAACTGCGTATGAGCTCAGCTGCGAAACAATGTGGTAAATACCTTGTTGAGAATATGACACCCGACAATTGCATCAGTAAGTTTTTATGCTTTTGTACTTTATTAGAATTTCAAATTTAAGTGCTCTAATGAATTATAGTGAGTTTTAAAAAGAATAATGGGTAAACATTCTGTAAATCAATTTATTTTAGATCTTAGAGCTCTACCAGGAATTGCAACCAACCCTGAAGTTCTTGCAAAAGTGGATGCTTTCATTCGTCAAAATGTGAGTATAGTATAATAATAAATTTTAGGAAATATACATTTCTGTTAAGTGAAAAATCAATAAAAAGAACTTTCTTTGTGTTCTAGATAAGTGAAGTAGTTAAATCTAAAGAGCTCCTTGCATTACCAACAATACCAGTGGAATTATTGCAGAATAGTCACGAGGAAAAGAATGCCACCAATATAAAGCATTTGTGCGACATGGTTCTTGATTGGGTTAAATCTCAGGCTGATAATCAGATAACCATTGATGATTTGACACAAAAGGTAAAGATCTGCTTTAATAAAATACTATTTATATAATTTTTTTAACATTGCTATAATTTTTAGTTAACAGAAAGTAATCACTTTTAGCTTTCCACTTACTTTCAAAACATAGTTAAAGAGAAATTTGACATTTAAATTAACTTAATGTAACAAAGTTAAATGTTAATTTTGGGATTGCAATTTTATGATTAAGTATTAGTGAAAATGGGAGAAGATATCTTTTCCTTAAGAGGACACTATACAATATATAAGAAACTTTTTGTTGCTAATTTTCTTTCACCTTCATTAGTAATTATAAAAAAAAAAAAAAAATGAGTGCAGGCAAAGCTAGAGAAAGCTATGAAGTTTCAAATGTCGGAGAGAAAAATAAATCAAATTGCAAACAAATTATTAAAAGAGAACTTCTCCATTTCATAATCCTAAGTCTCTTCTCATAATTTATTTTCATTTGGATATTTAAAAAATTTCTTTTCAGTATTTAAAACTTCATGGCTTACCCTAGGTTTGTCTGAACGCACCTTTTCTATGCATCAAATTTTATTTTTTATGAAAATGAACAAGAATTTGTGACAAAAAGTTTCTCCCAAGGTATGACGTCCTCTTAAAATGTGGAGGGCCGCCAACTTTTTAAGCATTGAGGGGAAACTTCTAGTGGTAGCAAAGTCTTATGTTTTTTAGTCTGATTCTGTTTGTTCAGTAAATAGTTATTTTCCACACCACAACATGTGAATGATTTAGAAGTTCATATAAAAATCCACTTTGCACTAGTTTTGTTTTTGGTGAGCCTTTTAAAATATTGAAAAAATTATTCTAAATTCTGAAATTTATAGTTTTTGATTGTCTACTGCTCTATAAAATATTTTGTAAAGAGAAATAGTAGCAGCCTTGAATGCCTTTTGTTCTGTGATGCCTCACAGAAACAAAAGTTAGTGAGATTTTCATCCCAGTACCTGCTTGTGCAAACTAAAATTGAAAAGGTTCTATTAGACGGTTCATTTCTTCTATTTGTAGAAAATTTAAATTGGATATATTGGAAAATTTTAATTGGATATATATGGAGGCTACAAATTATGCTCTTAAAGATCGTCTCCTTCAGTGATGTTTTTCTTTTAGTTTCTTGTTTGCAGTTGCCCAGTTAAGCCATGATTAAGCAATCATTTTGGAACTTGTTATGATATAGAAATCTTTCCCTAACATTTTATAACAAAAAATAATAATTAGAAGCTGTTGATTTAAAACTACTTAGTTCAAAGTATATTAAATTGTTTTATTTAAATGAAATTATTAATGGTTTGTAATAAAAACTTCTTTTTTAGGTTCATATGCTCTATCTGAACCCTGACCGTACTCTTCATGATTGCAGTGATATTGAAAATGGAGACGTTCAAGATTCTGAAGTTATTCAAGATTACAAAAAGCTCTCCAGAAAAGTATCAGTACCAAAATCTGGAAATCCAAGATCAAAGCGATCCAATCAGACACCTGCTAAACCTCGCCAATTTTTATTCACCAAATCTGATTCCAGCTCATCTGATGAAGAGGATAATGATTGGAAAGTTATTGTAATTACTGCAAATGGAGGTATTTTTTCAACTTTCATGCTTTTTTTACACATTTTTTAATATCAATATTTTAAAATTATTAAGAACAATATGATAATAAAGATAATAGAAAATCAAATGTTATTATTTTTTATTCAGTTATAATTTGTATTAGTTCTAGAAAAAAAACGAAATATTTATGCCGGGGTGTTAACAACTTCAAAATTCCAGTATGTTTTCTGTAATATTTGAAAAATTAATTTCCTTAGGGTTTCTTTTTTATTTCTCTTAGTTTTAATTTGTTTTCATAAATGCTACTGAAGTTTTTTTTTAAAAATGTTAAACTTCGTAATTAAGACACTTGTAATTATTTGCATTGAGAATGGTGAGTTCAAGTATTTGAAAGAAAAAAATTTAACTAAATAAACTTAACTCCAAATTTTTAATATAAATATTATTAATATTTAAGTGTAGCTTCTTTAAATATCAATCATACTAATATATGCACTAGCCAATTATGTTTTGAGCTTTTAATGGATTGTTGATTAAAAATAATTTAAAATGTAAGTTTTTAATGTATTACGAAGTTATTTTCTTCCTTATTTTAGTTTTACTCCTATTTATAGCATTCGTTTTACTAAAACACCAGATGCCAGCTTGCTCCATTTTGTGGGGATAATTTTTTTTTTTAGTGGATCCAAACTTTATGTGTTAATGATTTTGAAAATTTAGTTTCTTGATTAGATTAAAAGTATTTTGTCCACGATCACATATAAAAAGCTAAATTATTATTATTTTTTTTGTGGTAAGCCTAATTTCTGCAAGTTTTAGTTGTTAATACTCTATCACATTACAAAAACTTTTGCAGAAAGTTGTAAAGTCCGCAGCCCCGTGTTATAGTAACATATCATTTATAGAAATAAATAATAGATTTTTTACTTTAAGTATTTTATAATATTTGTTTGAAATATTTCATAAAAAACAGCAAATTATTAACACTAAGTTGTTTTAAAACTTAAGTTAAGGCAAAGAAATTTGATGAAATTAAATCTCAAAAAAAATTTCAAACTTGTTAAAATAATACCAGCTCTAGTGTGTATAATTGAGCCTATTTATCATGAATGTTTAATTTTTTGTTTTATATTTTGTTAGAAAACAGTATGCTGGGTGTTGTTGCTGCATATGGAAAATTGACAGTGCTATCAATTGTGCAAAGGGTTCACACTCCGAACAACAGCCCACTTTCTTCAAGAAATGCTTCAGTGGAAAAGATTAGCACCTATTCAACTGTCCCTCCTATGAGCTCTGCCAGGTGTTCTGTGGGCACTGCTGAATTTGATGGGAAACTTCTAGTTTGTGGTGAGTATAAGTAACTATGAATTAAACAAGACTTTCTTAATTTTAGATATTAAATCTGTGCTCCATGTGTCAAGCTTGCCATATTGGTGGCGTATTCTATTATGAAGTATCAAATGTCCAAAACTATTACAGGCTTCCCACTCCCCTGGGAAAACCTGGAAAATGCAGGGAATTTTGATTTTTTTTTCCTTACAAACTGGGAAAATACAGATAATTTTGTTTCTTATTTTTGTCTTTTAAAAAATGGTGACCACTCAAAGCGTAATCTACGAGATATTTAACCATGATATTTCAGCTATACTAAACTATTTCATTTACTATAGCAGGGGTCGCATTCCCCCTAAAATTCATAAAATTCCTAAAACTATGTGCAAACCCTAAAAATCTGATAAAATTTTGTTGGTGTTCCTAAAAAATTAAGAGTTATAGGCTAAATATAAATTAAAAAAAGCAATAATCTAAAATATAAGAATTTAACTACATTAATTAAAACTGTTTTAATTTTGCCACATGGGAATTCTGATCCTGAGAGAGGTTTTTCGATAAATAAAGCAGTGCTTAATGTGAGTCACCATGAAAATACTATTATGTCTCTTAGACTAATCAAAGATACCATTTGAAATTATGGAGGAGTGTTGAAGATCACCACAACACTATTGTGGGCAGTAAAGAATCTTACAAATCATATCAAGAATATGTTAGAAAAATAATCATGATTAATTTTTTTTTCTCTAACTTTTAATATAAATTGCTGATTTGAAATCTAATATTATCACACAATAGTTTTTCTTATTAAAGTAAGGTAAAGGGTAATAATAAAGTTTTAATTAAGAAGGTAAAAATTAAATAAAAATCCAAGTTGGTGTTAATTTATTTTTTCTCTTGATTTATTCTCACTTTTGCCTGTTCCTGAATTATGCACTTAATTTCTGATAGGTAATATGTAAAGTTGAAATTTCATTTTTACACTTTAGAGATTTCATTCTTGACTTAATAAATTTCAGAGCTTTATTTTATGGCTTGCAATTATATATGATATGTGTGGATGAATTGTAATAATCTTCTGTTATGTAATAAACTACCGTGTGATCTGTTTTTAACCTAGCAAAATCATATATTACCCCTAAAATTTACCTAAAATTTTTTGAAAAAAGTTCCTAAAAATACCCTAAAATTTTAAAAAACTTTGCTGCTACCCCTGCTATAGCATTATTTAAGTATGTTCAGCTGTCTTTCCAGTAATTAAAACTAATAAATAGAGTTAGCTCAATATAGCTCGCATATAATATATTGTGTATAATATGTACAGGGAAAACATAGGAAATTTTTTTTCCAGATTTGAGTGGCAACCCTGTATTAATGCCCACTCCCTTTTTTTTTTGTCATTTAAAATATTTGATTTGAGGCTTGTAAGGATTTAATTTAGTATGAGGTGTATAAAGGAAATATGAAAATATAAATAAAAATTTTACTATGAATTACTACTCTATAATAGACTTAACAAAATCATAGGCAAAAAAGCTGGATTCTAATTTCAGGATCTTAAAATTCTATATTAAAAGTGATAAATAATTATTCATACGAGTAGCATTGTAATCAAAATCAATTTGATATATAAAGAGATTCTAGCAATCACTTAAGTAGCATTATAATCGAAATAAATTTGTTATTTAGAGAAAGTTTAACTATCGGTTAATGTAAATGAAAATACTGTGTTAAATTATATTTCAGGGAAGTAATATAATTCTAATCAATTTGTTATTTACTTTCTGTTCAAATAAGTGAGAGCACTGTGCTACATTTCACAAAAATAGTGTTGGGATTCAAATTAATTTTTTGTTCTAAGATATTTCTTTAAGATATATCTCACTGCAAAATCACTAAACTGTAGACTTAATTTAATGTGGGATATAAAATTACAGGTGGTTACGACCGAGGAGAATGCCTCAAGACTGTTGAATCATATGATTTTTCTACAAACAAGTGGACCACCATGCAACCAATGAAAGTCCCACGTGGAAGATTCAATGCAGCTAAAGTAAACAACAAAATTTATGCTGTTGGTGGTTGTGATGGTCAAAAAGAACTCAGCTCAGCAGAGTATTGGGATCCAGATACAAATTCCTGGAAACAACTCCCAAATCTTCCTGCAGTCAGATCTCATGCAGGTGGGTGATTTCTGCTTTTAGCTCTAATGTTTCTTTTTTTCTCCATTTTGTTTTATTTTTAATGCATTTTTAATCATTACTCTAATTTTTAAGAATGTTGTGTTTGTGTGTTACGTACCATTGCCCTTCCCCACAGGGTTGCATTTAATTTTCATTGTTTATAAGAATTAACCTTAACCTTATTTATAAGAATTAACCTTGTTTAATATATATTAATCTTAGCTATTAATTGTGCCTCTTTAATTATGACTTTCCTCTCTGGAATGTGTACTGTTTTCAACTTAATGTTTTTAAACTTTTTTGAATAAAAAATAGACTATAGTATATAATAGATAGATAACTAACTTGAAATTCATTGAGAAAATTTAAATGCACCTTGTTTAGTTGATTGGTGTTTTTCTAATGTTTGTAAATTAGGCAACTAACTTTTTTTCCAGTTATGCTTTCTCCAATTTTTCCTACTAATTTATGATGTGAAAGATAAAATAACTCAAATATCTTAACAAGTGTGAATGTAACTAAAAATTGACCTAATGTTTAATTTTAATATAAGTTACTTCAAAATTTAAAAAGCTTTATTTATTAGGGAAACTATTTAATATTTTACTGGTGAAATATATGTTATTCAAAAATATAAAGTGAGAAGATAATTTTACAAGGCAATTAAAAAGTTACACATTTTGTATGAAGTTTAATTTTTTTGAAATTTACATAATTTTGCTTTAAAAACATTTGCGTTTGAGACACTCTATTTGAAATATCTTAAATAGTGTGGTAAGAAAAATTATTATTCAACTTCAAGCCTTCAAACTTTACCTATGGCTTTTACTGCAGTATTTCTGGTCGTTTATTCAATGATAAAATAAGTTTTTTCCAGCGACGCTAAAAAAAGTGAACCAAATTATTCTTAAAGAAAAATTAATTTGAAATTAAGTTAAGAAATTCATTAAAAATTTATTTTAATTATTGTAAATTAATAGATATTTTAAAATTAAGAAGTACTTCTATTTAAAAACTAAGAGCGATTAAATTTTTATGAATAGTTTTCTAAATTGATTTTTATCTTACCTTTTACACCTACATTAAGTTAGTTAACTTAAAAACAGTCTTCAATTTACAGAAAGTTTAAATAGTTTTATCCGTGAAGTATTTTTTCAATCTAGTTTCTATAAAGTGTTTATCTGTAACATGTAAAGGTCTATTTGCAAATAATTCTAAACCTTTTTACTATGAGAAGTTTTATTCCATAATATTAATAATAAGAAGATGAAAAACAAATAAATAAATAAAAAAATAACTTACCATTGATTGGAAAAAATGAATAATTTGTAATAAAAGACTAAAAAAATGAACGTGCTTTTATTTACATTTACAAAACATAGTTTTTAAATATTTTTCTTTAAAAATGAAGATTATTATATAATTTTTGAACACAATATTTATACTAATTAAATGACACTTCTAAATTTGGAGAAAACATTTGTATTTAATTAGCTTATTAGTTTTGTACAACTATCTAAAATATAAACATAAAATAAAATATTTGATTTTTGCTGCGCTTGCCAGTAATCAAATCAATACTTCTGAATTGTTAATCTTTATTTTCGTTGTATATATATATTTTTTTATGTTTATTATTTTTTAATTTGTTTTTGTTTAACAACTCGGTTAAAATTTCAATAATATTTTTGTTAAAAAAAATACATATTTGCTCTTGTATAAGTTCAGTACTGATAATATTTAGAGATGGCTATTAGTTAATATATGTAGGTGTGGCTAAAATTACTATTATGAATTTATAATTAGCAATAATGTTGTTCTGTATCTGTGACTAATATGAGGAGGGGAAAAAAAAGAGTTTAACCTTCGATTGGCTCGAGCGAAATTCTGAAATTTCAAAGTATTTTCGATCGAAACATGCTGAAGACAAGAAAATTATGCAAATGTCTCTTATCTTTAACTCACTGCAAATTTAGTTTTGTTTGATTAGCCAGAATAGTTAAAAAAAAATAATTAAACAGAATTAAAATTTTTAAAGTACCTTATTTTTGAAAATCTTAGCCAGAATAAAAAGATCTATATTGACAATTTGAAGATTAAATCCCATTACTAACTGTAACGTTTGAAGAACTCCATCAAGATGTTTTAAGTGTGCGTAATGTATGTGAATGTTAAAGTATTTCCCTGTCTGAAAAAGTTATTTATTTAGTATATGTTTTGAAAGTATGATATTCAAGAAGAATTCAATGTATATATATATATATATATATATTTATACATGCTTTATATTTATGACTAGATTAATAATGATACATTGATAATATCCTTGAAGAATTCATGAATGTTTCCTTCTTTGTAATGTTAAAAAATATTGCATCAACTGTTAAATGTTGAAAATTCTGGAAACAAAGAAAAATTAATTTGAAACAATTTTCGTTTGACTGAATAAGCAAAGGAGGAAAAACATTTATTTGGAAAATTATCATTATTGATTGGAAAAATACTGCTTTTGATTTTTAGTTTGCTTATAATTTAGCTTAGCAAGTTTCTCAAGATTATATATTTTACTTAGCAAGGTTAATATATGTATGTATATTGTAAGAAATTTGTACTCATGTGAAATTAATTTATCTGTTTGCATATTTTTGTACTTGGATGCTAGCAGGCAGATAGTATTTATTTGTTACTCAATCCAAAAGACATCAAGAAAATAATTCTATAAAATACGATTCTCATTTGTTGATCATGTTTACACGATTCAAATCTATCTCTCTAAAAAAAATTTGATTATCATGAGATAAAAAGAAGAAATATATGGTTTAAAGGAATTAAAAATACATAGAAGATTATGAAAACTGCAAAACAAAAGAAGTAGGAAGATTATTGCTTTCAATCTACAAATATGAATTTTGCCATATGTATTTTAATTATTGATTTTTATTCTACAGTATTGAAGCAAATTTTTCAATTGTAGTTTTAGATAATGTTGAAAAGAAACTATTTTGAAGAACCAATTGATTATCAATTATATACTACTTAGCTTATATGAGCTTGTTCATTTTTAAAAATAAAGATGGAACAAATTCTGATTGCTATTAAATGTAATATTCTGAAAAATAAGATCCAAATATGAATAGGCTGAAATTATTATCTATAAAACCTGAGTGTTTTTATACTTGGTTTCTCCATGCGAGAAATTATTGGTCTGCTAGATATTCAACCAGTGCAAACTTTGAGTGAGTTTGATTTTGTTTAAAAATTGAGCTTTGTGTTCAGAATTATACTAATTATTACTTTTATATTAAGAATTTGCATTTAGTCATTGGGGTTAAACTGTTTTCTTGTATAATGAATTACTAATTTTGATAAACCTTACTATTTTTCACAGATATATAATAACGCTTGTGGGTGTAAGGGATAAATAGGAGCTTATATCCTCTAGCTAGACTGCTGATTTAGCTACATCTCACTGTGATGATTCGATGGACAAGACCACTTGAAAAACTTAATCCTACCTTTCTCATGTAATTTCAGGTTGTATGTCCATCAAACTGACTTCCTACGCATAGGTGATGCAAGATATGCTGTCAACAAGATCTTCTGCTTACGAAAGTGCTTCTCTACCAATTTCACTATTCTTAGTGATTAGATTTCAGCTCTTCCATGTGTGTGCGTCACGAAGATGTTTGTTTTAGCTTGGCGGTTAAAACAGCATTAAGAAAATAGGCGAAGAAGTTAGTGCCATTGAAACCACGATGTACGAGACTTTTGTGTTCAGAAAAAAAACCCAGTCCAGATTCAAGAGACTGATATTGTTTCTTTTTTTTTTGTAATTTTTTTTATTGCTTTACAGTTCAAAATTTGCATGCATACATTTTTATTATTATATAATTTTTTTTTTAAATTTGGCGTTTTCTGAGCAGTTTTTTTTACTCCTCTTTTCTTTCTTTTTCTATTTTGTTTTTTTTTTTAAATTTTTGTTTAATATTTATTTTGATTCTTGTTAGAAATATTTCTACTTTTCTTAAGGCTGTTTTGGTGTATGTGAAAACTTAGGTGTTATTTTAAAGCAACATTTCAAGCGGAGAATATTGGAAAAAAATTCTTCAATTTAAATTCGCATATTAAGGGGCTCATCAGAAATTTTCATATCAGAAATTATTTTAATCTGCTTGTAAGAAGTTAAATATCTAAGTTATGTTTACTTTTGTAGCAGGCAACAACATTCTATACAATTACATTTAAGAAATAATTAATAAAAAATTTCCTTGGCTTTCTGAATTTCTTTTAGAAACATATTTTTGTTGTAAGTTGAAGGCAATCTAGACTGCAGAAGAGAAGGTCATGAAAATGGTTTGAAGATGTTTAAAAGCGAAGTAAGAGGAAAAATAAACTGTTTGACAAAGAATGCTATTTTACATGTGATGAAAGAAGAAAAATATCTCAGATTATAAATGGTTTCAAGAAAATCAGTATTACTGTGAAATGGAGGAAACTTAATAGAGAAAATGAGCTTTGTATTTTGAAAAATAAAAAATATTTTGTTTAGAAAAGTGAAGATTTAATATTATCAACTGAAGTTCTGTTGAAGATGAAAAACCGTATGTGAAGAATTATAAGAAAAATTGCCTGTTGAATTGTGCAGCTGATGATTAAAACTGTAGTAGTTTATGTATTTTTATCACAATATATTTTTAGGAAGAACTGAACTTAATTTATTGAAGTTTTAGGAAGAGAGAATGAAAAGTTCTTTTAAGTCTTGAAAAACTAAAAAATTTTCATTTGAGAGCTGATTATGCTTAACAATTTTAGATTTATTGTCATTTTCTTCTTAATTTTTTTTAATTAAAATATTAATAATTATTTTATAAAAAAAAATATTCAAGCATTTAACAGGCTAAACCTGATGAGGTTTAATAAGTTTCTTGTTATTACAAACTATTTTTCATGTCTATAATTTCATCATAGGTTTTGAAACTGATGTAGCTTTTTCAAAACTTAGGGAAATGAAATATCTACTACCACCTAATTAAAACTTTGTTTTTTAAATTTTGAAATAAAAATTTAAAAAATGCTGTTAAATAATACGAGAAGTATTTCTTTCCCCTTTTGACCCTAAACTCAAAACAACTCAACAAAAGTTAAACTTTAAACAAAAGTCTTTTATTATATTTGCTGAGAAGAAATGCATGAAGAAAAGTAGTTCTGATCTTATGTGTTCAATTTTGTCCTGCAATTAACATTATTTTTTATTTGAGATATCATCTTCTGCATGAAAATTATGTCTACTAAATCATTTACCTGAAGAAACTTGGAAGATTTATAGAAGAATAGTGAATCCTTCTTCCTATTATTCACATCTGTCTTTCGCAAATAAAAGTAACATCCAACTTAACAGCCTTTTGAAGTTTTTCTTTCATTTTTTTTATTTCATAAGGGAACAAAATAAGTTAGGTGAGTATAAGTTAGTAAAAAAAAGGTTCCCAGTTATAATTCTAATCATATCCACATTTTTTTCCTTTTGAAATTTTAGTGCTTATTATTTATTTATTTATCATTTTGTTAATTGAATGCAAGGCCAACAAAATCAATGACCAATTATAATTTTTTTTTACTAAAATGCATTCATTCTTAATACAGGAGTATGCAGCATGGACAAAAAACTTTATGTTGTTGGAGGCTGGAATGGTCAGCGCGGATTAAAGAGGTGTGATATTTTTGACACTGAAACAGATACTTGGGTGACTATGGCTCCATTGTCAACAGGTAAATAACAAAAAAATTGATTACAATTTGTCTTTATAGTCTTGATTTTATTAAAAACTAACTTTATTGAAAGAAGAACCAATAAATCAAAATCAGCATTGAACATAACGAAATAGTCCACAAAATTGAAAGGCCAATACTTTATATATATATATATATAACGGCAGGCACTTGAACTCTCGTTCTCCACCTCGGAAGATGCCGGAAGTTTTGCTCATTTAGCGTTACCCAGTGGGCACCTGTGAAGCTACGTCATGGAGGCGAACAACATTACCCACGCCACACTGCCACAAACCCGTTCATAGGGCGGGCCACATTCACACAAAGGACAACACAGAGAGAAACATCCATGCCCAGAGCGGGATTCGTACCCGCAGCCGTTGGCTTCGCAGTCAGGCATGCTAACCGCTCGGCCACCTGGCCGGCGAAAGACCAATACTAACACAATTAACAAAGCTTAAGTAATTTCAATATCTTTTATTTATTATTATTTGTTGCCCTTCTCAGTGACTTCAGTGTTAGATTTAGAAAAACTCCTTTTTAGCAGCTCATTCCATAATAATGAAGATTAGTTGTATTCTATGTTTGGTTTAATGCTGTTGTTTAAGGGCAACTCATAAAATCTTTTAAATTTATCACATTCTAGCAATTTTCTCCTGTACCTAGGGGTCGCAATAAACCTATTTCAATATAATAAAAATGCACAGTATTGGTGCAGTTTTAATAAGCACCGGATTCACTTATAAAATACTTTATATAGTAAGTATATCTGATGCTTATGAAAACTGTATTAATTACCATAATAATGCTAGTGCATACTACCAAAAATAATTAAGCAGTATTGGTGTCAATAATAGTATGGCATTTTTTTTCTTTTTTTATTTCGCCTTAACAAATTAGTACTATTTCTCCATCAATCTGTACTTATTACCAAATTTATTTAAGCCTTGTTGTCAAAAAGGGTATGACGATTTTTTGCTTTTCTCCTAAAATCAGTAGTATCATTACTTCATTATTAATTTTACTATACATAACTGTTATACTAAAGTCTTACTATACAAAGCTTTTTTTTAAAATTTAAATTAGTTCCTATTACCAAAATTCGTTGAACTTTATTGGCCTCAAAAATGGTATGATTTTTTACTTTTCTCTTAAATGAATTAGTACAATTTTTCCATTAATTTTTATTTTTAATACAATAGCTTACTTTTATTTTAATTAGTACCAATTAACAAAATTAATTTACCATAAGTGTCAAAAATGGTATGGACATTTTTTAGTTTTCTCATCAACAAATTAGTACAATTTCTCCGTGAATTTTGACCCTCAATACATAATTTTTTTACTTAGAGTATACTTTTTCTTATTTCCAAAATTTATCAAGCCTCATTGGAGTTAATAATTTATGTCAAATTTTTACATTTCTCCTAAAAGAATTACTATTTCTCTTTTAATATTGTTTTTCAGTCCACAGTTTTTCTTTCAATTATCGTTGATTTTAAATTGCGTAGTTTTATGGAAACTCTTCTTAAAAGCACAACTATAAACAAAATTAGCATGTGGATAGCTTTAGAAATACTAACTTAGTAACGTAGTCTGCATATTTTACCACATTCATGTCGATTGATAAGTTTATCTGACATCTGAATAAAAAATAATTAAATATCTAAGAATGTGCAATGGACTTCTTTTTTGATTAATGAGAACTACATAGCTACCTACATGAATCGCAGAAAATCCAGTAGATTTTACAAAATAATATAAATTTGATAATAACTGTTGCAAAATATACCAAATATTCTACACACAGGGCAGTTTTAGAGATTTTTAGTCATTAAATCACAATAACTTTATTACACTAACAATCTATAAATAGTTTGCAATATTTTCCATTTATGATTACTCATAATTTTGAATGGTGATAGACGTTTAATTCATTAAGGATAGATTAATTCATTATAAAAAGAAGCTAAAAATTTTAGAATAAAAGAAAAGCTTTAAACTGATTATGATTCATCATCATGAATTAGTAATACTTATTTAAACCATCAATAACATATGAAAATTCTTTTGAGTTGTGATTTTTTTGGGGGGAAATTTACTCAATTTTAAGGACTTCTCAAGAATGCACAAAAACTGGGAGAAATTTTATTTAACTAATAGACCAGATTGACAAATCCAGAAGAGTTGGCAACTATGGAGCTATAAGCAAGTAAACATCACTGACACTACCTTTAAAATCATCTGCAGACTCATTTCTATCAGTGACACTAGGTCTAAACCAATGAGAAAATTCCATTTTTTAAAATTTCTCTCCTAAACGATCTGATGAAATTTTTGAATGAATTTTAGCATTGCCCCTTTTATCCATTTCACCCAGAAACTCCCTTTTATCCACTTTTCAAATGTTAGTATGATGCACATACAGACAAACTTCAGTGTTTTTCGATTTTGAGCCGATATTAAGATAATAGATTAAACCCGTTTTAGGTAACAAATGATTCAGTAAAAATTTTTTGTAAGTTGTGCTAAATTTCAGTTGTTAGTAAGATTAAGGAATACAACTTAACATATAGGAACAACATCCTTAAAAGAACTTAATAAAATTAACCTTTTTAGAGTTTGTAAGCTAAATTTTTATAAAATTCTTTTGTAACTTTTTCAGGTCGCTATCAAGCTGGTGTTGGAGCAATGAATGGATATGTTTATGCTGTTGGAGGTTGTGATTCTTGGAATTGCTTAAACTCTGTGGAAAGATATGATCCTGTGTCAGATAGTTGGCTCACTGTGGCCCCCCTTCATACTGCTAGACGAGGATGTGGGCTTGCTGTGTACAAAGGTAAGTTTATTATAATTTGTCAGAAGAAAATTTTGCTTTGCATTTAACTGACGGGTCTATTAAATCCAGTAGTTTTTCAGAAATTTCTTACATCCATTTGTTTTTTAAAAATATCTGGGTGGAAGAATAAATGATACATTACTTGCCACCTTAGGCAACAAGCTATCAGTCGGGAACTCTCAAGAATTTGAGCTTCCCTGCTCCATGTTACATAGTTTACCATTGTGGTAATATGGTGCTTTTGTGAATAATTAAGAAAAAGCTTCAAGTGCAGCTATAATGGATTCTAAAATTTAAAATTCTCCCTTAAATTGTGAATTCTGAAAAGGCATTATTTTGTGATAAATTTCTGTTTAAGTTTCCCTGACAATGGCGTGAAACTTTTTTCAGTATTTCTAAGCATATTCTTTGGAACTTTCTTAAAGAAATATTTTATTTCTATGAGGACGAAATTCTTTAAAATTTTATTGCTAATATAAGTTTTACTAAAATCTGCAAATTTGTATTCTGCTTCAATCTATATATTCTAATATAAAAATTAACAGGTGTTTTTTTTTCTTTTCTTTTTAAGTATAAAATAATTTGTTTTCTTCTTTAATTTATTTTTTCTTTACTTATCTCATGGAAAAGACTCAAAAACTTAACCATATATACTATTAATTGTTGAAATATTCGACTACCAATAATTATTTTTTTATTAATATAATGTAATTAAATGGTTAAACCATTAATACCCTAGGCATAATTTTTTAACAAAATCAATACTAAATGCAGACGTGCCAACTCTCCCGCATTTTGCGGGAGTCTCCCGAATTTTGAGTTATTCTCCCGCCTTCCGGAATTGATTTGAAAAACTCCCGAATTTTACTGCGATCGACGGCCAAACTCAAAATTACCAAATTTTTCGGCGAGTGCGAAAGTAAGTTTTTCTTTCAGCTTGAATTCCATCCCCTCTTATCAAACTATCATCTACCTGAAGCGTAGCTGAACATGCTTTATTTTCCCCCCCTCTTCAACGTTACCTCTTAACACTNTTACTTATCTCATGGAAAAGACTCAAAAACTTAACCATATATACTATTAATTGTTGAAATATTCGACTACCAATAATTATTTTTTTATTAATATAATGTAATTAAATGGTTAAACCATTAATACCCTAGGCATAATTTTTTAACAAAATCAATACTAAATGTAAATTGAATGAAAAATTAATCTGGAAAAAACTACCCATTTTTAAATTTGTATAATAATACAAAGTATTATAATAATTGTATTTATAAATACAAATTATTTCATAAATTAACTAATAGCTCCACCACCTGTTTGCTAACTACACACACCTATTAGAGTTTGTAGATTTATAACTTTATTGCCATAAAAGTTTTCGTTACAAAAAAATTAAACAATTTAATAACTTTGAAGCTTATACAAAGAAAGATTTGCACATTTTCAGAGATAAAAGTATGCAGCAACAAGACTTATATTACTGATTATAGTTTTTATGTAACAGAATTATGCTGTGTAAAAAAAAAACCTTCAACTTTGACTTAAAGTATTTCAAAAATTGTGTGTTTAAATATTTCCCTATCAGAATATTCTTCTAACATTTCACTAAAAATATGCCAAATTTTTAATTTGTTTCCCTCCAGAATCATTTTTTGCAGTAAGTGAGTGAGAAGCCTGCATGTCTAAAATTTTCTGAAATAGTTGCAGCTTTTCTGACTTTTTCTTCTTCAGTAATACTTTTCTTCAGTCCAGAAAACTTTTGAGTCAGACTTAAAAGAGTTTATTTTATTTAAACATTTGATTAATGAAAAAAAAAAAGTCAACTTAATTGTAACTTTTGTAAAAATTCCCACGAGTTTTGGGTATTATTATTATTAATTTTTTTTGTGCTGCTTCTTGAAAAGAAGTGTAGATACTAATAATTAAAAGTTTGAAAAATTTTTCTCGTTTGAAAGAAGCCTAATTTTAAAAGGTTTAGTGTGTAATTTTTTTTCTACTGTAGAAGAAACTAATTCTGATCTTTTGAGTGTAAATAGAAATCATTTTTGTGGAATCTAATAGGCTTTATAATTTTAATAGGGAAATTGTATGCTGCTGGTGGACATGATGGAATTCATTCTTTGTGTACAGTTGAAATTTATGACCCTGAAACAGATACTTGGAATCCAGGACCATCTCTCACATCTTGTAGGGCCAATGTTGGTGTTAGTGTTGTGGATAATAGACTGTTTGCTGTTGGAGGTTTTAACGGAAAGACTTTCCTCAACACTGTTGAATACTTGGATGTCGAAAATAATGAATGGACTACTTTTGTGCCCAAAGAGCACCACAATGGCTGTTCTTCAAAGAACGGTTTAACGGACTGTGATTCCAGTACCACAAATGGTACCACCAATGGCGAGTTGCATGAAGAACAAGCTGTCCACTGATGTCCAGCTTACAAAGAATGACTTTTTTTGTGCACTTAACCATACTATAACGTTCCAAAAAAAGAAAAAGAACTGTTACAATCTCTTTGAGATACTTGTTATTGTCAGTAAAATGTTGTTCATCTTTCACTCTATGTTAAATATTGCAAGTGTATATTTTTATTTTTTTTTTTGTCCCTGTTTGTTTTGTACTAGGTCTAAATTTCTTAGACTAAGCCCGTTTTCTTCCCTATCTTAAGTAACTCTACTTGTCATTCCATTAATATAGCAGTAGTATCTGCAAGTGTATATTGTTTCTGAAAGAGTACTCAAGTAAAATAGATCGACACAGAACATTTTTAATTTAGTTGAAACTCTTAGTGGAAAAACATGTTAAGAAAATTCATTTTTGAATGCATAGTAACATCAGGAAGTTGCTGCTTGCAGCTAATCATAACGTCTCTGAAAATAGAATGTTTGGAATAAACCACTAAACATGCTGTGCAACTAAGTACTTTATTATAATTGAAAACCTTAGTTAAGGTGCATTTTAGTGGATTTAGAAAAACCAGCTTTTGAATGTATTATATCAAGGTCCATCGAAAATAGCCTTCATTAAAGATTTGGCAGAATTAAATGCTTACTGTCATCCATAACATGTCTGAAATTAAAATGTTTTCAGTATGTCTCTGAACATGTTCTTCCACTGAGTCTTTTAAAATGACTGGAAATCTTAATGGAAGAATCTGTTACAGCACATTTTAGCAAAGTTAAGAAAATAAGCTTTTGTTGTATAATATCAAAGTTGTTTACAATCGACTATAAACTGTCTTATTGAAATATTCAGCAGACTGAATGTTCTATACTGACAGCAAACAAAATATTTTCAATATGCCACTTAACATGTTCTTCCACTAAGCTCTTTAATTGATTTTAAACTTGATTTACGATTTAAATATGTATCTTTTGTCTCAATCACTGTTGAGTAGTGTATAATAAATTTTTTTTTTTATAATATCAGCTCTCATAACCTCATTGATGAATTTTTAATAAAGAAAAATCAGGAACTAAGCAAAAATGAAACCTCCCATTATACAAGAATTATAAAAACGCAAGATAGTGTCTTTCACTGTTTTTTATATTCTTTGATACAGTCAAATATTTGCTTGACTTGTTTTTTATAATCTGATTTATTACTGAAATTTAATCCACTTATGCCACTGTTTGAAATGAAAGTTTTTACATATTGCTCGAAATTTTCATTTAGTTTTGACAAAAATAAAAATGAATTTAAAATTTGGCTAGTGTGTATTATTTTGGTTGTTTCTTATTTTGAGCCGCAGATCAATCCAAGTAAAAATTTGGTGGATAATACTGAACCTTCTGAATGGCATTTAAAAAGGATCCTTTACAGCAGTCTTCCCTGTAGATCAAATGGTACCGAGCCGCCCATTTCATTACAACTGAATTTGAATTCCTAGGTTTTTACCCCAAAATAAAAATAGTTCCATTAAAATTTTATTCATTTAAAAAAAAGGGCCCCCCCCCCCCCGAAGGTAGTGACATAAATTTTTTAATGTTTTTAAAAAGTTTTAAGAAAAAGAAAAAGAAGGAAAACCACCACAACTATTTTCTCTTTCAATTAGTTTTAATTTAAAAAAATCAATCATCATAACTGTAAATATCATAAATAAAACACGAAACCGAGGCGCAAAATTGACATTGGAACTAATGAAAAACTTAGTCTTCTCTCTTTGTCTTGTCACTTTTTCAGGTTTTACGATCTCTAGATTTGAAGGTGAAATCCAAATTTTTTTGCAGATTTCAGTGATTTTAGTTATGAAATCAATAAAATATGCGAGTATTATGCATTTACAATAAAAAAAAAAATTTTTTTTGAGTAGAAAATTTTTTCTTCTCTTTAATTTATTTGTATCTAAAATTTTCATATTACATTAATCATATAAATTAATATTAATTAAAAATTTGCCTAATAAATTTACTATTTAAGTGCAAGACAGATATGAATTGATTTGAAAAATATCACGGTTTATTATCTCAATAATTTAAGAAGCTTAATTTAAATTTTAAAAAAGGCAGATTTAATTTAAGCAGAATTGTCAAATTTGATTCAGGGGAAAGTTCCCCTTAGTTTCTGAAAAAGATTACTTTCTTATAATTTAAGATTTGAATCTGTACTATATTTTTTTTCTCTAATAGAACTATTTAAAATACTGAATAATTATTTAAAATGTTGAAAAATGATTACAAAATAAAGAATTATGGCACCTGGCAACCAAGAACGGGATTGTTCGTAAATTTGGCAAACAAGCATACAGACCCTGGGAACAAATTGTAATAAAAATTAACAGCTAAATATTATTTTCCATTCAATAACATCGAATTTTTTTGTGGGAAAGCCTGCATCTGAGAGTTCGGAAAAAGAGACTAACGCCGAGAGTCTTAAAGCATAACACTTTTGCTTCTCTGGTTCTGTTTCACTAAACTTATCCAAATAACCTTCTCATTTATATTAGTTTCAACCAATCCTTTAATTGTTGAATCATTAATTAAATACATTTTTTGCTCGAAACAGATATAACTATTTCTTGGGTAATCGACTATTTTAGGAGAAAGGCATCTGTACATGATTGAAGTCTTAGAGCTGCTTTGATTAGGACAAGCAGATGGATCGAATGGAGGGTTCATTCTAAACTAGGGCACGTGTATGTTCTTTTAAGTTCATTCCCTGCGCCCAAAATGCTATTTAACTTAACTCACTTTAGAACATGCATTGGCTGCTAGATGAGTCAACTATACTGGTCTGGAGTGTTTATTCAATACTCATATATATATATACATATATATATATATATATGCTGGAACTAGACGATGCTGTACATCAAGTGGGATTACAAGCATTTCATCTTAAAAAAACCTGATTCCACAAAATAATGTAAATAAAACAATGAGAGAAACATAATAATGGTCCCAATATTTATTATAGTTAAATTTTATTTACAGTACTGATAGCAAAAGTTATATACACAAAAGAATGGAGGAAAAAAATTTCTTCTTCTGCAAATTATTTACAACTTTTTTTTTAATAATTTGCCTTCACATTATTTTCACAGTGATGCATAGTAGAAACATACAATAAAACCAAATTTTCTAGTAAAACTTGTAAATTTGCCTTTCATATAAAAAGTATAAATGGCCAGATTGTAAAACTTAAAACCATATTGTAAAAATAATTCATTTAATACAAATTTATTAAAATTGGAATTTTCCACTAAAAAGCAAACATTATAAAGATTTATTTTCAAAGTACAACAAACTTTTTTGCGAGGATATATCTCGTTACTAGATGAGTTGTTTAGACATTGTGATTAAGCATACTAAACAGATATTTTAAATGCACAAAATGAATTTTATTTGTAGATTTTTATAATTATAAAAATAAATAAACGATTAGTTTTAGAAGCATATAAAACACATCAGATTAGATAGAAAAAAATTATATCAATACTATATTATTCTTATCATTAAGGAAGTTAGAGAAAAAAAAATCAATTATATATTTAAATTTGAAATCTTAAGTACTGTTTTAAAATATCATTATTTAAAAATATTCTTATTATAAGCTTTCAACATAAAACTGGTAAAACAGTTGCCAATATGCTATTCAACTTTTATTATAATTAAATGAAACATGAAATGTTTCACAAATAACACACAAATACTAAAGTTGGAAAATATAACAAAGGATAAATTTATTAAAAATTTAGTTTTAAACAAAAAATTGCTAAATTTTTAAATAGCTTACAATAACACAAAGTTATACAATTTGTTTTGTAATTTTATAAAAAATAAACAAAATTTCTTCATATAAAAATTCAGAGTGACCTGATATAATCAGAAAAAAATATTTATCTTTAAGAACTATTCAGGAGTAAACTAGTTTTGAATCTCATTGAAACCCTTTCGTTATGAGTTTCATATTCCTCCGCTACATTTAGTTTGTGTTTGCGTGATACTTTTTACCAGTGGATAACAGGCCCGATCTACTTTAAACCCCAAGTGGCTAACATTCCATGTATTCCACTGCAGGTAGCTAATATACCATAGAACTATATTATATAAATACCCCTAAAAGTATATTTTGATGTGCTTAATATGTTTTTTATAACAGAAAAATAATTTCATTCGGTTTATAAATCAGTAGTAAAAAACTTAAATAGAAAGTTTTTCATTTGCAGTTAAAATTGCTTAAGACGAAAATCTAAATATAAGTGAAAAAACTGTAATGTGGGTTTATAAGTCAACCTTAGTTTTAAAATTTATCACACTATCTTTATTTGCATGTCTATTTATAATGTTTGCAAAATCTTCAAATCAACATGCAATGTGCACATTTTGTGTTGCAATGCATTACTTCAGAGGAGTAGAATGCAATAACAAAAGGATTAAAATGATTTGTAAATTGGAAAATATCGTTTACACATACATTACCAAGAGTTTTTCGAAATTTATGTACACATAAACACAGTTGGAGCCCTTATTAAACAAATTTCACAATTTAACATTATTTGTTTTGCTAATTAGAATGCAAGAAAAAACACAAAATTAACGAATCATAAACCTCAACTTGATTATTTTAACAATGGAATTTTTTTTGTAGTCAATATTAATTTTTTTCAGAAATTTTTGGCATTAAAAAAAACAAAAAAGTCTATGAATATACTAGAAAAAAGTTTTCTTGTTTACATCATTAATATCCTATACATCTTCCAAATGGTGTTTAAAAAAAAAAAAACCCATCTTAGACAAGTTTTCACGTTCAAATTACGCAAGTGTCCTTAATATCTTTAATTCTGTAATAATTAAATTAAAGTTGTTTATGAAAGAAATAACAGCATCGTTTTACAAAAATATGAAGAAAAGATTTAAAGCAAAAGCTTTTGGATAAGCATTGGAGAAATTTTATTTATGAGACAATCTTGGACAAATTTTCTAAAAATACAATTGAAAAATGCTTTCAGAAAAATTAGGATTACTTGACACACACAAGTGAAATTAATATTAAATTTTTAAGTCACTGTATTTATAGATACATACATTTTCTAATATTGGACATGTTTTTATCGCTGTTTGTTTGGGTTGTTTTGTAAGGTAATTCCTGACATATTTTTATTGGGGTACAACTGTGTATAATATGCGCATAGGAAAAGTTAGCAATAAGCAAAGATATATATTTAAAAACTGACAATCTTAAGATACTAAAAATTTAATGAAAAATAAACCAAGTTTTTATGGAGTGTAATTTTTTTTTCGCAGAGCATTTTTTAGAAAACCATTAACTATAAGCTCAAAACAGTAAACGTTTTGAGAGTGTACTTCAGGGCCACTCTGTTTCATCAGCACTGAACAATATAAATATACCAATGGTGCAAATTAATATTAAAAACTATAATTAAAGAAAAAAAATACAATAAAATATTGTCTAACTGAAAAATTTTAGTATTAATAATAATTATATCTAATTTTGATCACAGTGTAAGATTAAAAGTTCCTTTTAAACCAAGTTTTTCCTTAATTTAGTAACTTAGATGTTGATTAAAATAAAATTAGTTTGCATTAACCCTTTGATGCAGAATTTTTATTAAACTTATTTTTTATGCCTTTTTCATTATTAAGTCAAAGTAAGTGAAAAATATTATAATTAGCATTTTAATAATTTATGGTTACTGCACTGGTGTCTTTTTCTGCATTAAAGTAAAATCTTCTAAACAATAATATTTAAAATTTACATTTATTTTCGGTTATATAGATCTAACAGAAACAGTTATTTATCATTAAGATTCATTTAATTTACAAAATCAATTAATGAATACGAAATTAATATAAATTTTCGAATATGAATAAAGTACAAAAAAATACTCTGACAATCTACCAGATTTTTTTAGTTAATATTAGGCTATTTTTTCTTATGAATAAAATATAACAAAATATATTTTGTTTGTTATTAGTCAGAAAAAAAAATACATAAAAGGGGCATTTGTGTCCTACCTGCATCAAAGTGTTAGGTAATGTTTTGATCATTAAGTACCCTTAAAGTATTTTTCCCACTAAGTACAATTTCCCACTAAGTATTTTTCCTTTAAAGAAAAAAAAAATGAGTGAAAAACTAAATGTCCTCAAGAGCATGAGGAAAGTTGACTTTATTTTTAAATGAACTATAAATAATGATGTGCATAATAAACTTTTTCATAAAACAATGTTAGCATTCCAATGACATCATTTATTCCTTTAATAACATCTTCTCTTTCGTTTATAAATATGTGCAAAATAAAGTAGAGTTATCTAACTAGCTTTGACATACAATAAATTAGACCATGAGTTTACAAGAGACCATGGAGTTCTGTTTCAACAAAAGGAAACCAGTAAAAACACTTAAATGCTGAAAAACTTTAAGGAATTTATCAAATCCATACTTAAAAATATGTATTAATAATCAAAATTAATTGCACACTGCACGAGAAAAAATTTGCATGAATAAAATTTTGTGAGATCGATTACAATAAATGCATAAGCAATATAAAATTACATTTTCAGTCCTTCATTTACTCAAGTCAAAGTCAGTTAGATAATTCTTATCAAACTGCGGATTATATTAGGAGCTGCATAAATCTTACATTTTGCAAATACTATCTCTTAGCTAATAACTTTCAATACAAACTATTGTAAAAAAATAACAAAATATTCTAAACAAAGATCAAATACCAAAATAATTTTATTTCTATTAGGTGTTTAGAATGTGCTGGTGCTATAAAAGTGAATAATTAATTTATATGATTGCATTTTGTGTATTTTAAGTGAATTCCAAATCTACTGTTTAACTGTTCAGTTTTTTTCTAAAAATATTCACAGAACAACTTCAGCGGCACAAAGGAAAATTTACTAGATTATAAGCACCATTATCATACAAGTAGAAAGCAATAATGAAAGTTTTGGCGATGTACATTTTAAAAACTACAAAGTTATGGTCAGTGGCGTACGGAGAATTTTTTCAAGGGGGGTGTTCATAATTTTCTGAAGTTACTAAAAGAAATTCGAGTATGTAATAAAGCACTATTATTTCCCTAATTTAGACAGCTAGACAGTTTTGACTCTTTATTTAGACAACATTGTTTAGTTAAATTTTGATTTGATTTTTTAAGTTTAAGGACATAATGTAATATCTTTTTGCATGTAATATCTTCTGAAAAAAGTCTAATGTCATAAGGATGGGAAGTAACACTTTGAGGACCACTTTCACATTCATCAGATTTTGTTATGCTAGAAACGTTTTCTTCAACGGAAGTATCACATTTCTGTACAACAGAAAAACTTACATTGTACTCCGTTCCCCTTTTTATATAATTTTTCACCGCATCTCCAAAATTCTCGAATTGTCTCAAAGACGACAGAACGTCTAAGATTCCAGAATCATCGCGTAAAGACCTCGCGAATGACAGCCAGTCTCGAAAACTATCGCGACTGGCAGAACAGAAAGGAACCAGTCCATAACAGTATCACGTGAATTTGGTTTCAAAAGTACAACCCTATTATAGTAAATGTTTTTTTCAGTATTCTGAGAAATACCGTGAGAAAAAAAGGTAGGCATATGGCAAATAAAAATATATAGTCTTAAAAAAATATCTGCATAATTTCTACTAAAATGTTTATTTTTGCCATTTTGTCTGAGCTCTAGGGGGGTGTTCAAACCCCTCCCTAGCGTACGCCACTGGTTATGGTCATAAAAACAGTTCAAAAGGAAAAAAATTAAATACAGAATAAATCATTTTTAAAGAAAAGGAGCAATTAATTAAAATTTATTACATGAGCTTAAATAGGGAGAGCTCAATTAAATTCTCAACAACCTTCAATTAAATAGGTATACATAGACCATAGCTGCACTCACACTATCCTAATGTATTATCACTGATAAACAAAAACATACATTTAATAAGTTGATGGTTAGTATAAAAAGTTTTTGTTAATGTAAAAGAAAAAATCAATGATTAAAAAAATATATTAAAAAAATTAGAGCCATAAGTACATGTTCTAAGTTAAGTAGTTTACATTAAATGACATCTTTTAAACCTTCTTTATAAACAACAAAACATTTAAAAAAATATTTACATAAATATTACACAATTTCCTTTTAAAAAGAACCAAAATCTATTTAGCATGAACTTAAACTAACTGTTCTTTCTGATGGCAATTAAATTTAAAAATAAAAAATTATAGTTATTAATATAATTATAGAAATAAAGACAACCATAACAGATTTTCTGTAATGAAAATACTAATTCAGTCAGACAGTCAGCTCTCCTTAGTTGCATTGCAGATAACCAGATGTCACATTTACAGGAATAAAATTTAGAGGAGCAAAATTATTTCACAAATTTTCAGAAATAAAAATACTAATACAGTCATTCATACTTATTTGCATAACAAATAACAAGATATTCTGCTTATACGAATTAAATTAATGTTAAATTTTTCAGATTGAACAATTTTGTCTCCAGTAGCATTGTTTAGAGAAGATACTTAAATAAAATAGAAAAATTCCACTGGGGAAAGGATTTAATCGCTACTTAGAAAGCATTGTTTAGAGGAGATACTTAAATAAAATAGAAAAATTCCACTGGGGAAAGGATTTAATCGCTACTTAGAATAGAATTTTGTTTTCAAACTACGAAGATAAGAATGTTAAATATGGTCAACTTAAAAAGAGTTTTTTCACTTTCATAGATACTAAGGCAGAGGTGTTAAGGAATTAAATATTCTTGCTCAATTATTACATTAATGGTCTAAATTAGTTGCCAAATGGACATAAAATCGTTGGTGAGAGACCACTAAAATTCTGCTAGGATGATAATCAGCAGTTGAATTAAAAATCATATTTAATTGGTTAAAATTTTAGCATAAATCATAAATTGTATTTAAGTTGGTTTGACCATATTTAAAGAGCTTAATCAAAGTTTTCTTTTATATATAGAAAAACATGCTAAATGGCTTTTTAAAACACTTAAATATATCGGTTCGTACAAATAATTGATAAGTACATGCTATGATCAGCTGTAAATACCCACAACCTTCTCATGTTTGTATACAAACATTAATATGGTTTTTTTCAAACGCCACTTAATATGTTTTTCCTTTAAGCTCTTTTTTTCCCTTTAATAATATTTTATAATATATCAATCAATACAATTTTCAATTAATAACCATTTTTAGGGCTCTTATAACAAAACAAAATTCTTCTAAATATCAAGTCAATTTTAAAACTATGTCTTTCATTATAGAAAGTCAACTTTCAGAAAATCCCAAAAATAAATAAGAATCTTTTTTAGAGAAAACTGTGATTATGAGCAAAATAGAGGAATGAACGATTGCTCTTCAATCTTCAAAACAACAGACATTTTTAGAAATGATGAAATAAGCATAAGGCCACATAAATAAAAAAAATCACATAACTGTCATACTTGCAGCATTTAACTTTTAAAATGCATATTTATTTTAAGTGGACTAAGCTGCCATAGGGTACTTCATTGAAATAAAACTATTGCACTTTAAGACTATTAAGCAAAGATTATTTTCAAACCAACGTTGTTTTAATTTATTTCAATTAGCCACTATTATGCTCATAATCTCAATTAGGGCATTCAATAATAGATCTGTCAATACACTGAGAGCATTTAAAGATAGAAAAGTTTCTTTTAAATGGACTGGGTATTTTTATGATTGAGAACAATTGAAACATATGAAAACCTTATTGTGAAACAATGACAGCAAAGAAAAAAATTGAAAAATAAATCAATTAGTAACACCTTAGGAAAAAAAATAGTTAAATATACAATTTTATCAAGTTTTTTTCCTTATATCTGTGCGATTGAGTGACTTGTAAATAACCCGTCAAAAAAATAAATAATAAGTCGCTTTAATATGTTTTAACTTGATAAAATACTTCAAATGAATTTGTAATGGATGTTTTTAACAGACATTTTCTTGATTAAAAAATTATAAAACTAAAATAATGTAAAAACAGCAATTAATCATGGGACACTCAGTCTCTCTTCATTGCTTCGGGCTATGAAATAAACTTTGGTGGGACAAAATATCATGTAAACAATGCAGACTGGGACAGAAACTCACTTGGTCAAAGTATTCTGATATTGAATAACCTCCTATATAATTACATGATTTTCCTCCTACAAAATATTTTACAGGGTACATAGATAAATCTTTAAACAAAAAATAAGCACTTTCTAAGTACTTTTTATGCACTAAAAAAATATTTTTAAACTATATATACATTAACAAAATAATTTTCAAAGACCACATGATCATGATAAAATAACTAGTTTCTGACAAAGAACTATTTTCTTAATTATATTAGCCACCACTAAAAATAATCGACTTTTCGGTTAAATTTCAGAGGGTTGGAAAATGAAGCATGAAATTGAAAATTTCTTGCAAAATGCAGCAGAGTTGCACATGAGAGTGCAAGAATCTCACCAAACTTAGCTCAGTATACGCACACGTGGACCCGCAAGTATGTCATCAAACATGTAAAATGATTGGCACTTTCATACACTACATACCGACGGTAAGCGGAAATGCATTTTGTTTGAATGAATTGTGAAAAAGTTGAATAGAACAATGTGAAAAGCATACTTCTGCAAAATACATGGCGAAAATCTCATTTTCAAAAAAGGAAAATTAAGCAGTTTTTAAAAACGCTACGCACCATGTTTTAGTAATCAAAAATCACATTAGTTGTAGCATTAGCATTTGGTGCACAGAAGATTTCTTCTCATAGCCGGTCTGCATATAAACTACAATATAGAATAAGTTTGCAGTTTTTTTTATTTCAGTTTTCATTATTCAATATTTCAATTGCGTAAAAGAATATTCATATAGTAACTGAGTAATCATATACATCCATATATATTGGCAATCACTGTTGTGGTTACGGTTTATATTTTTATTAGAATCTGTTTGAAAATGAAAAATGTGGCATGTCATTATTTCCAAATAAGAAATTCATAAATATAATACAACATCAATAATAAATATTTTCCTGCAATTGCAAAATGAATAAAATAGTAACATTTTTAGGAACAAATTAAAGTAAAAAAATAACACAATTAAAAAGAAAACCCGTAATAACAGGAATATCAACGGCTTAGCATAAACTACTTAATTATGCAAATAGTTTTCAAAAATCCTTTGACTTATTCCCCAAATAAATATAACTGTTGTAGAAAAACATTTATTTGTTTACCAGGTTGCTTTATCGAGGCCTTATTTTTTCATACATAAATTGTTGGCCTTTATCAGAAACCACGCCATCTTTAACTGTTAATGTTCTCTTTCGAATAAAATGGAATTGTTGAAGAACAAATTCATAAAATTCATTTTCCATTTGCCAGACTCGAGACATTTGTATTTTGGCTACTACTTCTGGAGATGGCTCTACTTTATTAAACGTTTTTCTTAAATGAGACTTTTTACCTAAAATAGATGCAATTATTCAATAATTATGTAACAACTTTTAAACATTGAATTTTATTGTAGATTGAGTAGACCAGGTGATCAACTCGACAAAATTGCTCAACTCTTTTGGCAAAAATATATCTGAGGTTATAACAGTTACAACATAATGACATTGGGCACTATTATCAGCATGGGGTTGGGTATAAATGTGGCCTTAAAGTGGTCAACATATAGTCCCGGCATTCTAACAAAAAAAATCAAGTGGGAAAAAGTACATAACTAATATTGCTAACTAATTACTTAACTAATATAACAAATTATATTGCAAAACTTTATTACTGGTGAAATTGTAAAATTATTCTTCAAACTAATAAAAAAATTCTTAGAGAAAACACCAAAATTACAGCTTAGAAGAAAAAAATAATTTAAAAATATTAAAATATGTAATTTTCAGTTTTTTTTTTAAAAAACTTGTTATAATTTACCCTATATCTCGGCATATAAATTGAACCATTGTATATGCCCATATTTTTTTGTAATTGAAAGTGCTCTTCCTAACAAAAACCTTTACATGTAAAGAAAATATGATGAAAGAAAATGCAATTTTAACTGTATATAACATATTAAAAATAATTTTTGAAAGATGTAAATTGATTCTGAGTTATTTTTATCTATCTTATTGTTTGTAACGCATCGACATTTCACTATCAGCAAATGTCCAACTTTCTTACTAGTGTTAAACTGGACACTCTGATTTTCATACAATTTTCTGGGTTTGGAAAGTTGATTTATACACTGGTATATATGGTAATTTTATTCAAAACAAGAAAGTAGGTAGCAAATTTAAAATAATTAAACACTTTATGGATGAATTCAAAAGCATGATTGGCCAAATTTATGATTTCTTAAAAATAAATAAGTACATAAGTAAATAAAATAAAAAAAATACTTAAAAAAATTGTATTTTTTTAAATTTATATTTAGTAGTTAAACTATCTGATACAAAAAGTACCTATTATTTAAAAATAGTAACACAGCTAAAATAATTGATATTTCTAACCAAAATGTTTAAAAAAATATATTTTTAATTTTTACAAACTAATTACTGAATAAATACAATCCTGGTTATTTTTGTTCAAGCCATAAGTCCTAAAATTTTAAAGATAGAGAGGCAATTTGTCAATTAGATATCCAATTAAGAGTAAATTTGTGTAGATCAGAATACATTAAAGAAAAAAAAATTCTTGTAATCTTTTCTGAGCAGAACAATTTTTATTTTATATTAGTAAGCGCTAATATGTTTTAAAAGCACTTAAAGTATTCAAATAAATATAAAACTAAATGGGTATAGTTGAAATATGTTTATTACCAGCAAATAATTTTGTATACAGCTAATGGAAAAGTATAATTTAATGTTACATTATCTATTTTTGGTCTAAAATTTTATTTATTTATTTGTTTATGTATATATTTTTTATTTCCAATGGCAAGGCAAAAGGTACAAATAGAAAGATGAAATAAATAACGAATACAAATATACGCAGGATAACAAAAAAAGAAGACCAAAGTCGTTGCCTTAAAAGTTCTCTTGCTTCCCAATATCTTGAGGACTCAGTGTGTCCATCCGTGGTGGAAGGTCAATGCGGTATAAGTGAGCAGAAAGACAACCGTGGCCTGTATATAAGCGGAAGGCCGCAACTGCATCACATCTTAGTTTGTCGGGAATTACAGAAGAGCTTACATTTCTCCAACTTTTCAAAGCTGTGCAAGTCTGAAGTTATTAGTTTATATTAAAATACAAAATAATAATCTACCCTTTCTTTAGTTCTTAGGATAAAACCTTCATTTTCAATGAAATCAGACTTTGATAAGAATCACATCCTAAAGAACATATTTCAAAAAAAATTATTTCGACTTATTTTAAAAGAAATCAATTGGTTGAAATCAACAAATTTCTTTAAAAAAATTACGATAATCTAGTGGTTTAAATCATGCCGACCCTGTAGCTCAAAGGCACAATTCTCTTGAAGCATTAAAAAAATATGGTTAAAAAAAACGAGTTTAATAATTGAAAAAATAAAACAACAAGAATAGTTTTGCTATTTTTTAGAAACTAAGCAAGAAAATTTTTTTCTTATATCATTTCATTATTTCCTAGTAAATAATAAAATAGTTAATTTATTTAAAGTAATTTTGTAGATTTGAACATTTTTGCTTACTATTTCTGATTAATTATTTATTACATAAACAGGCAAAAGAAAATTAATTGTCCACCAAAATATTAAATTATTCAATATAGCTGAATATCAAGTAGTAACTTAACATTGATGTTACATTTATAAGCAATTTTTTTTAGCGTACGGCAAAAGTTCAATGTTTTGCCAAGCACAAGTTTTGCAGTTACTAGTCTCAAGTGAAAAGGATAAAAATAAACAAACTTACCTTCGATGAAATAACTAGTTGCTCCGTGAAAATAACGAGGCAAAGCTGCTTCTAGCAATGAGATGAAATCTTGCAATTCCTCAGTAACTCCAACAAGAAGATAATGCTGGGCTAAATTAAATTTTGCTTGAGCTAAAGCCCACTCACTACCAGGAACCCTGACAAATAATGTTATTGTTACAAATTCAGTTACTAAAATGTGCATTTTAATTCAGATTTTACAAATATAAACAAAGATGTTAAAAACAAAAAATAAGAAATTTTCAAATTAAAACTCAAATGCATCAAATAGAATTTCTATCGAAATGCAAAAATAAAAACATTCCGCAGTATAGTTAAGATTTATATCAGAAATTATAAAATACTTTGTGAAATCTATATAATATGAAAAAAAAGCACAACTCCAACTATTTCCATTAAAAAGCTGATGCAATTCATAAAAACTGGCTACTTCTCCTCTGAAAAGGTTTTTATTGGGATTTTTAAAAAAAAAATGTAACAAATTTATGTGACAGGTCTTAAATATTTTCTCCCAGGGTTACAGTTCAAAAAAGAGTTTCATGAAGCTACATTTACAGAAAAAAAATTTTAATACTCTGAACTACATAAATTTATCAAGCTGTTGCTTTTGGTTTTTAATTTTAACATAAAATGAAGAAAATAAGTTAAAAAAAGTATATTACTCACCAACATTCTGCATGATGGCCACAAAAGAAAGGAACTTGAAGCCACATGTTTTCTGGATCACAATCTTTCTCATGTTTTATTACACACTCATCAAAAGACTAAATAATAATAAAATGCAATGCAGTTAAAAATTAGATGCACTTAGACAGCATAACACATTAATAATGGCTTTTTGAATAAATTAAACAAAAAAGTTATAAATATTATTTTATCATTTAATCTATACAATTTATGAATAACATATATATAAAAAAATAATTAAAAAGAAGAGCATTACAAAATATGATAAATAAATACAGTCAAACTCAATCATTATTAGTTGTCTTCATTTCATGTTTATACATAAAATATTTAGTTTTAAATACACCCATTCTTTGTGAGCTTTTGTCACAATGCTTTGGATATTCTGTCTTTGTTATTAACAAGTTTAAAACTTCATTAAACAATTTAGTGTCATTAGATGTAATACTTCTTATTTTTTTATACTAATTTTATATATTAATAGATATATAAAATTTACCATTTTGTTCCCCTGTCTTCTTCTTACTACATATGGCCTAAAATCGTCCCCATATCGAAGAAAATAATAATATGACACTAGTCTGTCAAGTGGTTTTCTCACTATATTTATAAATATTGGTTTTTTCACCATACCAAACCTGAAAAATAAAATAAGACCAAATGAAATAAATTATAAAGAGTATAGTTACTGACAAATGTGTATCAAGAAATGGATTTACTGGAAAGAAACACAGACAAGCACTCAACGGCCCCTGACTGTTTTGCTAACGGTTTTTGAGTTCTGAAATACTCCACCACAGATTCTAAACTGATCTATGCATAAATTACCACCCGTAAATTTTATAACAAACAGAATCAAAGCAAAAGTTTTTGTGAAAAATTGAAAAACAAATAAATTAACACAAAAACAAACATTTGTAATTTTGTATGCTCTGCTCTCTTTTTATTAAAAGTTTAAATATATTTCCAAAACAGTTTTTTTTACAATATGTCATCTAATAGTTTCATATTCATATAACAGTGTTATAATGTCATTAATATATACATATATATTAGGAAAAAAATTATAAACAAATTTAAAATTCTAATGACTTTTACAGACAAATCTAAAACAGATAAATATAGACTGTGTATTCGGAAAACCAAATTATCGAATAAGGGCTAAATTGATGCGTTGGATAATAATAAGTAATGATTATATTAACTGTTTCTTTTAAGCTTTTATGAATTTTATTTTATTTCTTTTTTAAGTACATTTCTCAACAATTACACTACCAATAGAGAGCACTGGCTTAAATGTTGCTTACAAATATATTAGTCACTTCCTTCTCTCTCTTTATATTTATAAATAATGCCAGACTGTTACAAAATTTTTTAACATATCAGTAAAACAACTAGCACATGATAAAGATAGGTTATCCTTGATGCATTGCGTAACTGTTTAACATTAAACAATATGCATTGTTTCAAAAAAAACCTTCAGTAATTGACAAATTTCAACTGAGATTCTATTTTAAGTAGAAATAATAGAAAAAAAAATCTATAGCCAAAAAAAAATTCTGTGGTATTCAGTCCTCTTCTTAGCGTTTTTACCTACCAAAAAATAAATACATAAATAATAACTTGTTTCATATAAAATATGCCTAACATGAACTATACAATTTATTTAGCGCTAGATTAAAATAAATTTATAAAAAGATTAAACATAAAAAAATCAAAATGTTGAAGGTATTACACAATTTTATTTACAAAATAAATTAAGATTCCAATTTCAATATTAACCAAAGCCCTAAAATACTTAGTGCTATCCTATTTAGCTTGTTATTTTTAAAAAAGCACTTAAAAAGCTCTGGTAAGCTCTTGATTTGAACAAAAATTTGTTTTATTTTTTTGATAGAGACATTACATTTCACAAATTAAATACCCTCAGTTTCAATTATAAACTGTTTAGGAATACAATACAGTTTTATTAATTTGAAAATTAAGCAAAAAAGTATTCAGAGATGCCTGGAATAAAATTTAAAAAAAGATAATAATAATAAATAATAAAAGAATTACAAATTTTTTAATAATTGAATTTACAAACTGAAATAAACTAAGAAAAGATATAGGACAGCATTAATAGAGAAACAATGTCAAAAAAGAACTAATAATGATAGAATTACTTGGAAAAATCCAAAAATGCTATGTGCCCATGATATAACCCAGGTTTTTTGGCACTCCATGTTGAAACATTATGAACAAATCTGACCTGTAAAAGAAATTGCCATAAATAAATAATAATGAAACTTCTATTGAATACTACACATGAAAATTATTTATTCAACTAACCAAAAAATCTAAGTTTACAAGGCTTTGCAAAATTACTATATTTACTTTTTTGTTGAATCTTTCAATTTTCTTTTTCTTTAAAAAATAAATAAATAAAATAAAGATAAAATTTTACTGTTTTAAATAGTTGTTATGGTACTTAGTAATATAGTTGACAAGGTTTTCGGTGCCCCTTATAACTTTATTATTAAATATGTGTGAAAACCAAATGGCAAATTGCAGTTACTATAAGAATAATAATATATGTGCTTATAATGGAAGATTTTAATTCCTCCAACCATGTGTAAAACATAAATAATACCTTTGTGGTTTTAGTTCTAAAGTTCAATTTTACACATATTTAAATTGATGTTTGCAATGAAATAATACACAATAAAACTTTATAGAAAGAAAGTTAAGTCTAAAAGTATTTTGATAATGCAAATGGCTTTAAAAAAAAGTCCATACCATTTTCTCAAGGTTTCCACTCAATTCCAGAAAAAAAAATTCTTGACTTTTCCAGGTATACCAGGTAAATTTTAATGCTAATCGAGACCATATTTGCATTAGAAAACTTTGATACTTTTATTAATAATGCAAATATTAGATTTTTTGTGTAAAAAAATATTATTAAATGAGGATAGGAACATTTCAGTTTGACTAAAATGTGAGATTTTTAATAACAAATAATTCTAACAGATGTACGAATCGACGCCCGGTGGCCGAGCGGTAGTGCTTCGCGCTGTCGTGCCACAGGTCGCTGGTTCGATCATCGGGCCGGGCAAGGTTGACTCAGCCTTTCATCCCTTCAGTGGGTCGATAAATGAGTACCAAGTATGCTTGGGAACTAAACACTGGGGGTTCCGAGTTCAGCTGACCACCTGACCGGAACATCTGCTCCTGCACCCCAGAGCCCAAGGTCAAGAAAACTGAGTTGGGCACAGTAGGCCTTGGCCCTCTACGGGCTGTCGCGCCGCTGAGTTTAGTTTAAGTTTAGATGTTAGAATTATTTAACTTGAATCTCAATAGCTGANCAAACCACGATACGGAAATCTCAATAACTGATTACTGTTACTGACAATTTTAAAGCTGGTTATTTTTCAAGTTTAATATAGGAATATACCAGGTTTTCGTAAAAAATTGCATCTTTCCCTGACTATTCCTTGATTTTCGGTTTTAAAATAAAATTTCCTGACAATTCCAGGTTTTCCCTGATCCATTGAAACCCTGTTTTTTTATACTTAGATTTTTCTACAGTATAAATAGTAAAACTTATTTAAACAATTACAATTTTATAAAGTTTATTAAACTAAATGTTACTATTTTCGTCACAAAATAAATAACCTGCACATATATTTTAATAAAAAAAAACTAGCATTTGAATAGAAAGTAAGGCTGTTAATGTATAGCCAATTTATTAGAAATTTCATTGAGAAAAGAAACATGGTTGTTTAGACTTAGGAATGCTCTGAATATCATCATCAAAGCCAAATTATTAAAAATGGATAGCTAAATACTAATGAACAGCTAATTTTCTATACATAGAATAGAATTCTTCACAATATAAATTGCAAAGCTTATTTAAACAACAATTACAATTTTATAATGTTTATTAAACGAAATGTTACCATTTTCGTTACAAATACGGTATAAAATAAATAACCTACATATATATTTCAATAAAAAAAACTAGCATTTTAATAGAAGGTTATCACAAATCCATTAGAAATATCATTAAGAAAAGGAAAATGGTTGGACAGACTAGAAATGCACTGAATGCCATCATCAAAGCCAAATAATTAAAAATAAATAGTTAAATTTCTTTTTTTTATTTTTCAAATCAGAGTAGATGAGTAAATAAGCATAAAATTGTAAACTAAAGATTAAAGAATATCATATATAATAAAATTATTAAACCACTAAAATAAAACCAATAATTTTTTAAGAATATTTTAAATTAGGAAAGATTATAATTAAGTTAATTTTTAGCAATGGGCTCAGCCAAATAATATTCGATTTTATAGTTGACCGACCAAATATTTGTTATTCAGTCAAATTATTATAAAAGTTACAAGATGAGTCTTTATGATGAAATTAAATTTAATTAAATACGTTTTAAAATCACAAACAGTAAAAATTTATTAAAAGCCTATATGCATTTCGATGTCACAATGATATTCCTTCATCAGTTTCCCTGTGGTAGAATTTTTTCGAGCAATCTGTGACAAAACTCTCTATCACTAATATCTTTCTGCAAGATACTTTTAATAATAACAAACATGTATGTTACAAATTCAAAATAACAAAAGCCCTGTGTTTCCAAAAAAAGAAAACAATATAATTTCTTATTCTAATATTATGGGTGATATTCTCGCATTTTGTGGGGGGGGGGCACACAAATTATTTCCTTCATCGAATTTTATAAATAATCATCACAATGAAAGAAAAATAAAGAATTACGAAATTCGTAGTAGTAATTGCCGGAAAAAAGATTGACAACGAAATCACGCGAATCGGGCTCCTCAAATGCGTATTTCGTTTCGAAATTACGTTATTGCAATATGTAATATCGGATTTAAAAACTATGGTGAAATTAATAACAGTAACTATCAAAAATTCGATATAATTATTGCCTTAAAAAAGTAAATACTCAAATGCATGATTTGAGTTTTCCGTATTGTTTGAAATATATCGGGATATTTAAAATCGATGTGACAATCAACAATATCAATAACTGCCGAAAATACAATAAAAAAATTACATTGATTTACATAGGTACTTTACGTCGTAAATTGAGAGCGTCAAAAAGTGACTATCTAAATGCATGACTAAAACATTACGTGTAAATTTCCGTAGAGAAGTAATTTTTTTTAAAAAACTTCTCAAAAGAAAAATCTTTCTGTAAGAACTCCGTAACATTTTGCGACAATCTTGCCGTGTTGCTGCGATTCTGCCACAGGGATCAGTATTATAATAATAGATGAGATTTACAATAGGTACTTTACAATGTAAATTGACAGCGTCAAAAAGTGATTATCTAAATGCATGATTAAAACATTACGTGTAAATTGCTGTAGAAAAGAAAAATCTTCCTGTAACATTTTGTGACAATGTTCTCGTGTCGCTGCGGTTCTGTCATAGGGATCAGTATTATAAAAATACAAGAATATAAAAAACAGAGATGATTAAAATCAGACTCATGTTATATCATACTAAAAGAGAAAAATATGCAGTTTAAACAGATAAGAAAGTTTAATTTAATTTTTTGTCTCCTTTGACAGTGTATTTATCTATTTTAACTGCTCTTTTAGTATGACATAACTATACTCGGATTTTAATCAACTCTCCTTTTTTTATTCATGTCTTTTATCCTACTGATGAAGGTGTACCATTGTGAAACTGAAACATGTATAAGATTTATAACAAATTTCTACTATTTGTGATTTTAGAAAGTTTTTAATGAAACTCACTTTTGTATTAGAAAGTTTAACATAAAAAAAACCCAGTTTTTCACAGTCTCTTTTTGAAAAAAATAGGCATAGAAATAATAACTTTTAATTATATTATCAATATTTAATACCTGATCAGAAAGCGAAAGTACATGGGAGTTTTTCGTAGTATTGATATGAAGCACATTAAAGTTATTTCTTGAGCAAAGATCGTATGCAACTCCCATAAAACTGGTACTTCCTGTTTTCGGAACTCTATTGTAGATGATGACACTGTCGTCAAAGGATGATTTGACCTCCAAATTTAAGAAACTCTGGTCTTCATTCATAAGTTGCAAAGATTTGGGAACAGGAGCTAAATTCTGTCTTTCAATTCCAGATATAACAGTATCTAAAATTGATTAGATTTGTTTCATAACACATAATGGAGCTTTAAATTAATAAATGCAAAAACACAGATAAATTTTAAAAAAATCCCTCATTTTAAAAAAGTAACTATCGTCTTCATTAAAGTGAGAAACAAATAATTTTTATACAAAATAAAGTAAAAAATCTGTGAAAGAATTTCTCTTTATTGGTACCAGTGCTGTTTGTCACCAAGTTTTAGTGACAGCCCGCACACAACCAAAAAAAAAAAAAATTGGGGTGAATCATGAAGCACCTCTGAGCAAGTTACTAAGTAATAAATTAAAATTTACTTCAAGTTCACAGACTAAGCAGTTTCATTTGGCAACTAGACGATTTTACATTTAGGTACCGATACAGAACTCTCTCGCTCTGTTTTAAGCAATTATACAATTTTTTTAATGATTTATTACATGTACAAAAGCAAAGCAGGACACTTGTTGCAACTAGGATCCAATTAAAAATTTTCTTCATGGGGAGATTCCCGTATCGTGATCTGTGGCAGAATAATTGGCAAGTCTTGGAAACTTCCAGGCAGAAGCCAGCGAAAAACTAAAATAAACATCACAGAAAGGGACCAATTTAAAAGGTATAACTCGTGACCATCTACATGTTTTTCTTTAAAAAAATTTTAAGTTTAAAATCCATTAGGCATCTTGGTGATTGTAGTTGGCGAGACAGACCACGATACGGAAATATCCCCAGTAACATCATTATAAATAAAATATTTCATGAATTCAAATAAAAAATAAAGGAAACAAGTATTTTTTTTTAATCAAAATTGCCACAAATCAGTTCTCAATATCACTTAAAAATCAGTCCATCGTCAAAATTACTTGCCACTGCATTTTGGTTGTGAAAAGACATTGTATGCTTATAGAAGGTATGGCTTTATAGCAACTTTCATAATATTATTAAGATCCTGAAAAAATTAAAATAATTTAAGTAGACTTTCTCCTGTTTATCTCAGAAGATGAAAATCTAATTAGTTATTATGTTCTCCAGCTATATTATTATATTTTTCAATATGAATACATTTTCATGTTGAAATTCAATAGCGTTATAACGAAGGTAGAGTTGATTAACATATTGATTTAAATAATTACATTTAATATGATTAATCTTATACAAACTTACCCAGTTTTTTACGGGCATCATCAAGCTTAGAAATTTTAGATTCAAAGTGGTTGTATAAACAAATGAAAATTATGAGACATATCACAGAAATAAAAATCAATAATCTTCCCTGAAACATTCTAAAACTAAAGAAATGCATGTATTCTCTGGCCATCGGTAGCCAATGGATACAGTAAATAACAACATTTATATATTTTAAAAATTTTGGACTATCAACTTTCAGAAATATGTATTCTGAAAATCAGTTCTCAGCTGGTTGATAGAACGTTTTATAATATTAAACTGTCTCATAGTTTGGTTCAAATGAAAAATAGAATACATCTTCATAGTTTGATTATTCATACAACACCACAAAACATTTTTAAACACATAAAGAAATGTCAAAAGTGAAATTCTGATGTTTTTCACACAACAAATATAAATAAATGAATAAGTAATGTATTGTTGTTACAGGTTTAAAATCAGCAATTTGCTGATTAAGTTATAAGTTTGAACTATTTCCAGGCACTGAACTCTTTCCATGCAATCACACTTTGATTCGTAATTGCGACTCAAAACTACAGTAAAAGATATCAATTTTGTACTGAAAAAGTTGAAACACACTGTTCAGTCTATGCAGTCGATCACAGAGCTACTTTGAGAACGAAAGTGAAAATGCGATTAAAGATTGCTTTTAAAAGTTTTAAAAATTCTGCTATTTAAAAGTGTGGTTTAAATTTATGCCTGAGTAATTTTTTAAAGACAAATTAATAATTTTTTTGAAATTTCAGTGGGTGTTTATATTTTTTTATCACTTAATGGTGTTTTCAAACAGGTTCTTAATTGATGCGCAATGAATTCGTTCAACTTTTAAGTTAGATGTTTCTTTAGTTTTGAACGATTTTTTTCACACTTTACGAATAACAACATATTACATTTTTTCAAAATTAGTTATTAGTAAAGAAGTAATGACTTATTTATTTTCAGAACAGTATTCATCTTTGTGGATGTGGCAATCATTGTCATATTTATAAAAGTGAAAAAGGTTTGTGTTTAATATATTAAATTTTAAATTTAAGGAACTTATTATTAAATAAGTAAGGTTTTCGAAAATTATTTAGTTTATAGCGTATAATTTCCCTATAAATTTTTTTTTGTAGTTTCAGAGGCTTTGTTTTTTCATTCTTTTTAAAAAATTACTTGCATTATGTAACTGAAACAAGCACTACATCTGTAATGTGGCGCATTGCTTCATAAAATTTCAAAAAATTTTCTGATTTGTTCTGTATTAATTATTTTAATTTAAGAGTTACCATTTCCAGTACTTTTTCTAAAATTCTTTTTTTTTCCTATAATACAAATGATACAATTATAAATTTTTTACTTAATCGAAATGATCATTTTTATTTATTTCTTCATCTATATTAACTATTAAACTAACTTTTACTGACTTGTGATAATTATATAGTTGCTAATTATTTGCTATGCAATTTTTAATATTTTTACATAACAAATGTTTGAAATTACTGTTTGACTGCTAAATGTTTGAATAATCAAATTTTTAGTTTCCATACGATGTCATAATTGATCACCATTTCATTTCTTATTATATTCGGAATTCTCTGAGAGGTTCCGCTGGCTCTTCGTATAATTTTTTTTTATTTCGTATTGTCTTTTGGCATAGGAAAATCCCTATATCTTTCTGATCCTGTTTTCGGTTCGGCTCTATCCAAAATGAGATTTATTTGTGCTGATTCCATCTTAAATTCTCATGGGATAAGCGGCTTAGATTTCTGTATCGTGATCTGTGGCAGAGTAATCACCAAGTCTTGGCAACTTCCGGGCATTGGCAACGAGTAACTAAAAAACACATCACGGAAAGGGACCAATTCGAAAGATATGGCTAGTAGCCAGCTATGGGCAAACATTTGCATGTTTTTTTAAAGAAAATTTGCAAGCTTAAGATGGCACCTTGGTGAGACTGATCATGATATGGAAATATCCTTATCTAACCTACTGGAAAGGTCACTTTTATGATTGTTATTGAATGTCTGTTTACATGCAATTTTTAGACTTCAATATTTTCAGTACCTCATTATTAATGCACAGAATTTAAAGTAATCACTTCTTCCTGTTGTGGATTGACTTCAATAAATAAAATTTTGTTATAAATGCAAGCCAATTTTCAATCAATTATGGCAGTTTCCATATGTTTCTCGAATTCTAATTATTTAAGTCTGGGGTTATAATACAGGAATTTTGAATTTAAGAAATTACTTTTTGAGAAATTTTATTTTCTCCTAAATCTGCATGGCTTTAAATAGCTTTATGGATTCTATTTATTGTTTAATCGGCCATTTCTTTGAGCTTTTTTAAAATGCTGATATATGTAATTCCATATTTTTACAAGGCATGAATTTTAATTGTGTCCAAAATCACTTTTTGATATGCCTAGTTCCATTGCAATTCGACAAAATTTTTTTGCAGTTACTTATTGATATTTGTTCACATTTTGAATTGGACACAAATTTTGAATTTGAATTACTTCTTGAAGTGGTAAATTTGCTAAGATTATACATAGTAAATCAACATATTTCTTTTATTTTTTCAGTCATTTCATATGGTTCCTCAAATTCCAATATTTTGAAATTGATTAACCATTTTTTAAAGTGTTTGGTTATGATTTCATCATAAATTAATGTCGTTTTCGAATCCTTACTTTGGCAGTTACTTATCGTTTTTTCTCCAGTGAATTTCGTGTCGTTTTTAAAATTCTGATATTTAATATCATATATTCGTAAATCTCTTACTCCAGCATTAAAAACATCAGGATTGCGATGTAAATGGTATGGTTTCCTAAGAACCACATTCTTTTGTGAAATACAGTTTCTTTTTTGAACATATAACTGCTCTTTTTGTTTCCAGATTTCTGTCCTATTTGAAGTCTGAAAGAACTAATAATTATTTTATTAATATTTAAAATAATTATGTGACAAAAACTACCATAGATTAGTTTAAAATCTTAAAAAATAATGTTCAATTCATCGTTTTCAAACACTTAGAGAACATTTTTACAGTTACTCACAAAAAGTAATAAATGAAATGGGTGGTAGAGTAAAGTGAAAAACAATGTCAATAGAACACAAATCAAGTTCAAAATGGACATATAGATTCAGTTGATTCTATATGCTATTATGCAGACAAGAACCTTTCTCAGTGTCAACACCGAAGACATTAAAAATGTAAAGACATAATTGTGTGCAGAGTGGTAACCAATGAAGACAGAGTAATAAAATGGCGAAAGGGGTGATAAAAAGCAAGTGTGGGGGGGGGGCTTGGAAAAACCACAAAGTGCGAAAGATTAAATTAAAATAGATTCGCAGACATAGGGAAAGGGCGGGATACTAGAATGATCATTAAGGGAACTATTAAAATTTTTCAAAGTATGGAGTGATTCCGAGAAATCAAGTTGGGGAGATGAAGAGCAGTGCAGTGTTACTCTTTTTTAGATAAACAATTGCGCAGTTTTGCTCTTCATCTACCTAACATATTTTGAAAAATCTAATAATTTTATCTTTCTAGTATTCCATTATTTTCCAATGTAAATCTATTCTAATTTAATCGTTTGCCCCTGACTTTCCCTCCAAATTCCCTCATACCTGTTTCTTATCTTCTTTTTTCAAATTTGTGCCTCTGTTTTGATTGTTTGAAACATTTAGCATGCGCTTATCTCCTTACAATTCTAATTACATTTGTTGTTAAGACACTGAGAAAGGTTCTTCTCTGGAGAACTAAAAATATAGTATGTTTTTTTCTATACTTGATAAAGTATGTTTATTTCTGTGCTTTATTCACATTTTTTTTCCACTTTAGTATATCCTATCATCCTTGTTATGCTTATAGATTTTTTTTTTTTTTTTTAACAATTTTTGTGTTGTAATAGGGATAATAAATTTCCGTAATCTAGTTAGGAATTTTTTTAAAATAATGTCTCATAATGGGAAGCTTAGCACATCATTTCTTATTTTGTTAACTTATTATTCAAGATAGGGTTAGTTATTAGAATGTGGTAGTCAGGCATCAATGGTAGCTAAATATTTCTTTTTTTAGTTGCTAATTCTGTTCAGATATGCTTAATTTTAAAATTATATTTTTAAACACAATATTTATCTTTGGTTATGATGGTAGTAAAAAACTTTTTTTAAATATGAAAATTTTGAAATTGCAACACTTAAACTATATTTTTTAAAAATCGCAATGTGAATCATGAAAATACAAATCTTAATGCTTGAATGTGAAAGAGGATGTGTGAATTTTAAACAGCTTGAATATGAATTGCTATGTGTAATTTTTAAACTACGTGAATAGGAATTGTTATGTAAACATTTTTAAACAGCATGAATATGAATTGCTATGTGTTCATTTTAAATCCCATGACTTTTGAAACGCAAGGAATATGATTCACATTGTGACTCTGTTGTAGACATATTATATAATTACCGGTTTCAGAGTCAAATGCAACGGAAGAAAAGAAGGGCTAAATAATTGCTCTTCTCCAACAAATGCAGTGACTCAAGCTTGTGACATCTTACCCATAATTTCTGGTCCAGGCACCCACTGATACTCGGAGCAAGTTGGCGTCATACTCGTAACTACTTATCTGTCATTTACCTGGATCAAAAGTTAAAGCATAGAAGCAAAAGTGTTTTAAAAGTTAGGCATCAATATGACTGGGTATAATTTTCTAGGAATCGAATTATAATTTTAGGTGCGAATTACGGCTAACAGCAGCATATTTCTAATTGTGATAAAAGTAAACTTTTCTTTGTTTTATTTTTAGTATTCCATTGATTTTTGACTTAAACATATTTTCCTTTCTTTAACCATATTTTAACACTTTGTTTACTGTAGTTAGTGCCAAACCTATTTTCAAAATTTTATCTAAAAAGAATTTAATTGAAAATCGAAAATAATTGTACAAACTTTTACATAAACAAAAACCTCTTCATTGATAATTTTCTGAAGTTATCAGCAGATAGGCACATAAATCATAGGCGGGAAACAGCTTTCCATCGGCATTTTTTCTAAAAATGGAATTGATGGGAAGTATACTTCCCAAGACCTTGTAGAAGGTTGAAAATGTCTCTTCTAGCTTTAATACTTAAAACAGTATGTCTAGCTGTTGTGTACAGAAAAAAAACCCGGTTGTTATCTATCTTCTTTTTAATTTGTTTTGGAGATGTGAAATTTCTTTGATTATCAATATTTATTAAAAGTCATAACATCTATATCCCACCATTATTCCATTTTTTCTTTGTTGATAAATAAGCACTTTATATGTCATGGTAGTCACAGACATTTTACTCCTCTATATAACAGGCTAAAAATGTAATAATTGTAACGTCAGTTTTTTTCTTTTACTGAATAAGTTAATAACCCTGAGTATAACATATTTCTATGATTTAATTTTGTAACATAATCATTTATTATTTCTTTTCAGTAACTTTTATCAAAATGGGTGTTCCTAAGTTTTACCGGTGGATAAGTGAGCGTTATCCTTGCCTGAGTGAAGTTGTAACAGAATTTCAAATCCCGGATTTTGATAATTTATATTTAGATATGAATGGAATTATACACACCTGCTCTCATCCAAATGATGATGACCCACATTTTCGAATTACAGAAGAAAAGATATTTGCTAACATATGCCATTATATTGAGTTCCTCTTCAAAATGATAAAACCAAAAAAGGTTTTCTTTATGGCTGTTGATGGTGTTGCCCCACGAGCAAAAATGAATCAACAAAGAGGACGCAGATTTCGTACTGCCAAAACAGCTTTAATGCTAGAGGAACAAGCGCTTGCTTCTGGTGAATCTCTACCACAGGATGCAAAGTTTGACTCGAATTGTATCACTCCTGGTACACCATTCATGGTACGCCTCAATACTATTTTAAAAGAATTTGCTGTTTATAAAATATCAACTGATAAACTGTGGCAAGATGTTAGAGTTTATTTATCTGGACATGAAACACCAGGTGAAGGTGAACATAAAATAATGGACTTCATTAGATATGAAAAATCACAACCAAAATATAATCCAAATACTCGACATTGTTTATATGGACTAGATGCTGATCTAATAATGCTTGGCTTATGTTCTCATGAGCCCCATTTTTGTTTATTACGTGAGGAAGTAAAGTTTGGTAAGAAAAATCAGAAAAAGATTGCTACTGCAGAAGAAACCACTTTTCATTTACTTCATATATCACTTCTTCGAGATTATTTCTATCATGAGTTTTCTCCTGTTAAAGATAAACTACCATTTCCGTATGATGTTGAAAAAATTATTGATGATTTTGTATTAATGAGTTTTCTTGTTGGCAATGATTTTATACCTCATTTACCGCAACTGCATATTCATCATGATGCTTTGCCAGTTTTATTTAAAACTTATATGGACGCCTTGCCTATGTTGGGAGGCTATATTAATGAGGGTGGTTTTTTAAACCTTGAAAGATTTGAAATGTTTTTTGAAAAGCTTGCTGAATATGATTTTCAAAAATTTGGAGAGTTAAATGAAGACTTTCAATACTTAGAAAAAAAATCCAAATGTCAGAACATAGAGGAAGATGACAAAACAAGCACTTCTGATATTCTTTCTGGATTAGGTTTCAGCAATTTAGCTATTGCAAAAACAGCTGAGTATGATTCTTCAAGTGAAGATGAAGATAGTGAAGAAGAGTGTTCAACTTTAGAACTTGAATTTAATATGCATAAAGTAGATTACTATATGAACAAGCTTGAGTTAGAAAAAGTAACAGACGATGTTATGAAAGATCAGGCTGAGGGTTATGTTAGAGCTATACAGTGGAATTTGCATTATTATTATAATGGTGTTGTTTCATGGAGTTGGTATTATCCTCACCATTATTCTCCATATATTTCTGATGTTAAGGATTTCAAAAACATGGAAATGAATTTCGAGCTGGGTCATCCATTTTTGCCTTTTCAGCAACTTCTATCCGTTTTGCCTAAGTTAAGTAAAGATCTTTTACCTGAATCATATCAAAAGTTAATGTGTGATAAAGATTCTCCTTTAATTGACTTTTATCCTGATGACTTTTTAACTGATTTAAATGGGAAGCAGCAAGAATGGGAAGCTATAGTACTCATTCCGTTCATAAATGAAAAACTTTTATTGAAATTTGCAGCTGAGGCAGATAAAAACTTAACTGAAGAAGAAAGACTGCGTAATCGGCATGGTCCTCATCTTTTGTATACATATAATTCAAAAATAACCGGTGGACCCTTATCTTTTTTACCTGGTCATTATTCTCCTATTAGTGAAACACATGCTGAAGTTAGGGGAATCGAGCCTGATTATTTTCGCCTCCCATCTGAACTCATTTATAAAGGGCTTTGTCAGGATGTTGTTTTAGATCGATTTATTTTAGGTTTTCCTACTTTAAAAACTTTAAAACATTCTGCTTGTCTGAAAAATGAAAAGGTTAAAGTGTTTCATATGGTAAGCATGAAAGATAATATGATGATAACCATCCAGGAGTCTGTTGAAGAGGAGATGATAAAATTAAGTGAAAAATTAATGGGCAAAATTATATATGTTGGTTGGCCACATCTTCAGGAAGCTTTAGTAGTATCTTTGTCTGATGGCAAAGTAAAATATTGTTTTGATAAAGATTGGCGTTCAAATGAAAAAATGATTGTTTCAAAAGATATGACTAAAGATGAACAAAAAATCTGGGTTCGTCAAGTAGAAAATGTTGAAGAGCAATCCTATCAACGATGGGGAATTTTCACTCAAAAAATTAATGTACTTGTATTTGTAAAAAAATTTTCAGGTGTGAAATACATTGTCAAAAACGATGGTAGAATTGCTGAAGATAAACAGTTTGAGGGATCTTTAATATATTGTGCAGCGCAGACGGTCGTCAGCGATATCATTCCCTTTAATCCTGATTCAAAAACAGAGAAAAGCATAGTTGATATATTTCCAATTAATTCAGTTGTATTCCTGCTTACTTCACAATATTATGGCAGTGCAGGAAAAATTAATGATAATGATGTTATTAAAAATAAAGGATGTGTACTGGTTGATATTGAACTTACTACTGAGCCAAATCTATTACCTGTTATACACAATCAAGAAGCATTAATGGAAGAACAATTCATGCCTGGTTATATTGCTGCTCAACAGTTAGGAATAGAATCACATTTTTTTTCTTGTATTACTGGTGTTATTATGATTCAAACTAGTCCAAAGGGAAGCAGTTGTCCTAATCGTGTAAATGTTGGATTGAACTTAAAATTCAATAAAAAGAATGAAGAAGTGCAGGGCTTCTCCAAAAAGAAAGATAACCAGTGGTTGTATTCTGAGGAAGTTGTTAAAACTTTAAACAATTATCTTTGTAAATTTGCTGACTTTTTTGAAAAATTGTATAACTTCATGGATAATGATGTGATTTATGTAGAAGATTTATATCCTAATGGGGAAGGGTCTGAAATAATGAAGGAAATTACAACTTGGTTAAAGGAACAAGCTTGTTCTTTAGCAGATCGCCAACAGTGTGGTATGAATAAGCTAGATGTGGGAATTATCTGTGCAGTTGAAAAAACTGTTTTAAATTCAACAAAAGATGAGATCTATCATGTAAAAAAAGTTCTAAAACCAGATCAGTTATTCAATCCTCTTTTAAACAAAGGTGTATATAAGCCTGATCATAAATGCTCTTTTCATTTATTTGATAGAGTTGTAAATATAAGACCTTCATCTAGTGTACCTTTAGGACTCAAGGGCACAATTATAGGCATTCAAAAAGCTGAAAAAGAAAGTGATGATATGTATGAAATTCTTTTTGACAAAGAATTTCTTGGTGGTATTGCTATTGGTTCTGGAACTAAAAAAGGATATAGAATGCCAGCTGATGCTCTGATAAATATATCTCATGGATTGAGACTTCAAAAGCAAAATAATAACTCACCCATTAAGACAACTAGGGTTTTGACTCCAAAGTTGAAGCGCACATCAGTATTTGATTCTGCTGTGAAACAGTTGCATCCAAATCCACCTCTTGTTCAAGTTCTACAAAAATTGAACTCTTCTGTTCCAAATCAGGCAAAACCATTTTATAAAGCTGATAATAATGACAGCTTTGTGGGAATTAATCAAAGCTTTAATCCTTTACCTTCAAGTTTAACTTTTTACAACTCCAGTAATAAACAATTTGTGACCCCTAATGCCAATCGGCTTAGTAGTGGATCATCTGGAAGCCCAAGCAGGCAAGATAGTGCAACAGGTTCTCATTCGGATTTTCAGAATTTTTGGTTGAATTTGAAAAAAAGAGCCCCAGACTCACCAACAAATCCAGAATTAACTAAACAATCTCCAAAGCAACATCCTCAACAAACAAATTCAGTTTCTGAGCAAACATATGGCCAAAAAGTATCTGTTGAAGAATTATTTCAAGGTGTTCAGCACAATATGAAACAAAGCCAAAATCAGATTAAAAATAACAATTCATTCCCCAAATCACCAACTTCACACCCAAAGGCTGAAGCTCCAGATTTATTACGCCAATTATGTTTAGATATTTATAAAAAACCTCCCATTTATAATTACCAAAGCCATGGTATTACAAATTTCCATACAGCAACTATCAAACTTCCAAACAATGAACATGTTTCCAGTATTCCATGTGCCACCAAGCTGGAAGCTGCAGCTAATGCAGCTGAAACTGGCTTGGCTTTTCTTAGAACTTCATTAAATCACAATGTATTTCCTCCGGATCCTTCAATCTATAGACAAATACCACCACCAAATTTCGTTGCTGATCCAAGACCTTATTTCTCTCCTCTTAGACAAACTTCATCAAATTTATTTCCACCTCCACCTACAAATTTAATTCCTCCACCGCCATCAGGAAATTTCATCCCTCCTGTAAACTTCCGTCCTGCTGCACCAACTTATCCTCCGTCAAACTACCAACCTTTTCCTCAGCGTTTCGATACAACTTTAATGCGTCACGGGCAGCCTTATCAGAGCCAAATACCCGAATCCTTTTTAAAGGTGAATCAAAGATTACTGTTACCTTCAGAAACTGTTTCAGCTGTTCAGCAAAACAATGTTGGTCCTCTCCCATCTTTTGATAATAATGCTTCTGTTTCGCAAGGGGATGTATTTCATCTTCCAGGTGGCGGTACTGCAATTGTAAGAAACAGCACAGTGCAACAGTGGTCTCCAAGAGGAAAAGATAATCCTCCTTCTAACATGTTTGTTCCTGCTCAAGTAATGAAGTATGCTATCAAAGCTGAGGGTCCTTTATCTAGTTCAGAGTGGCCAGATCTTCCTGCTAAAGAAACTAAAAAGTCTTTAACAATTGTATCGTCTCCAGATTCTCAAGCTTCTGATAAAAGGACTTCTAAATCATTTTCTGAGATTTCTAAATGTTTATCTCACGGTGATTCTTCTGCTGAAAGTTGTGAAAATTCTGTTCCTTCAAACTCCAGTATGACTGTTTTAAAGAAGACAAAACCCAGGCGGAGAATAGCTGCAAATTTTCAAAATGCTTGAATAATTTATTAATTTCTGTGACTTTCTTCTCTCATTTGTCATTTGATGTTTTATTAACTGAAATCATCAATTTTATCTTGTGTCAAAGAGTTTATATTCATTGTTTATGTAATATTAAAGCAAAATAAATTAACTTTTTATTTTAATTCAGCTTTAAGGGAATGAAGTATTTATTTCGTGAATCATTTCCTTTCACTGAATTGTTCATATTAATCGAAACATTTATAAGTATAATTTCTTAAAGCATGTTAGCATCTGGGAAAATTTAAGATTTTTCTGTCTGTGCACTATTTTTCTTTTCAATAAAATAGTGAGAAAAGCACATTGGCTGAACATAATTTTAAATTGTAATGCAATTAAAATAATTTTTTTTAAACATTATATTAAGAGTAAAGAAAACTGAATTGTAGTTAAAAAATTATTTTCTGATGTTATTGATAAAAAATAAAGTTGTGTAATTAATAGTTAAGAGATAGTAATGAAAGTTTACTGAAATTTTTTTTGATGAGTTGAATTTTTCGGAAATGATCTACCATGATTTTATGCAAAAAATAGTATTCATCATTTTTAGATATTTTTATTTTTTTGTTGTCAGCCTTAATTGGATAATGAAAAACATTCTCGTTGTGAGATCTGATCGTGCTAATTTCTGTCAAAGGCACCACCACCCTGTTCCAGTTTTTACAACAGATTACGAATGCAAATCATGCCTTTGTGGCATCAGTCGTTTATTTTATAAAAAATAAAATTTTAATGGTACAAAAATGCCCCTTAGATTTTATAGTATCTTTTCCTAGTATTGTTAAATTAGTGACTTTAAAGCACATATGTAATAATTTTTAAAAATTTATTAAAAAATAAAGGTACTTATAAGTAAATTATGTTGCACTATGTAGAAAGAATTTAATAATGTGGGTAAATGCAGAAATGATGAGGGTTGGCTTTCATTATGCATTTTCAATATTAAATGCATTCTCTTTTCTCTAGCACCATTCCCATGATTGGTTGCAAATAATTGGTTTGTAGTAGCTATTGCAATGTAAAACCTAATGACTAAGGTTATATTCCAGCTATTATCTCATAAAATATGACTTCTGTACCATCTGGTGGTAATTAACACCCCTCCCTGTTGTGTTATTTAAAGTCATTAATGTAATTTTTATTTCATTATATTACAAATGACATGTTAGAAGAGCCTTTTTTCATCAGCTTTAATGATAATTTTCTTGCCATAATTTTCAGATTCAATCAAACTTTTAATCAACTCGATGCTTACACTTTTTCTTATTGGACTTTTAGGAGTAAAAACATAAGGTACTTTATCTGTAACTTTAAAATTTCAATTTTTCATAATTTTTGTTTCATTCTTTTTTTTTTTTTTTTTTNTTTGTTGCATTCTTTTTTTTTGTCTAAAGCAAAGAATAAAATTCCTGTGCTGTTTTTTTTCCTTTCAATATCATGTACAGTTGATGTTGTAGATGCCATTCTATGCTATTTTTGTCTTTCTTGAATATTTTATCAATATTAATTTTTTAATGTAACAGCGAGGCTGTTTTGTGTGATTGCTTATACAAGGTTATGATGGGGTCCTAGATATATTTTGTGTTTTGGATAATTAAATTTGAATAAAAATTTATATTGGACTAATTTATATTAAATTATGGTTGTTATATGCATGATTATCCTTGAACTGAGAGTTTTGATTTAATTTTTATTTAATTATAAACTTCCCAATTTACATAATTGGGTAAACAAAAATTTGAAAAGTGTAAATTCTTTAAATAGCACTGCAGCACATCAATTTTTACAAAAAATTTCCTTTTGAGCTTCTGAAATTCTATTCAGGATTAACTTTTTAAAATTTAAGTTCAATTTACTTAGATTTGCTGTAAATTAAAGCTCTATAATTTTCTTTAGTTATTTGTATGAAAGTGTGTTATAAAAAAATATTTTATTTTTTAATTTATTTTGAGCATATATATATATACTTTTTTTTTAAATTTGTGCTGCTTTAAAATGAAAAAGGTGTTATTAAACTACATTTATTTTCCTTTAATGTATTATGTTTCAAATATTGTAACATTGAATTTTAACTTAGTATAAATATGAAGGGTTAATTACTTTACTCATTATTTTCTTCAATCTTTTTTTTATGATTATTTGGCATTTTTAATTATAATAAATGCATTGTTAAATTTCTTGTGTCAATAAGTTTCTGTTGTATAAATTTGTTTATGTAATTTTGAATGTCTTTTCTGTTTAATTACTGTGAACCAAATGATTTGAAAACTACTTTTTTTTCATTCTATAATTTCTAATTAAAATCATATTTGTTCAACTATTGTCATCTATGAAAATAATTCTAAGAGAAAAACATTTGTTGATGATTTCTTATTTTTCTATGCTATTACGTGCATAATTTAAGTGAAGGCGAATGAAAAAATTTTGTTTACATATCAAAACAAAAATTATTGTTAAAAAAACTTAGTTATAAACTATCAGATAAGGTATACCATGAAAATTTTAATTTCAAAAATGTTAAGTAACAGCGAAAAAAATTATATATACTCCAGAATCTTCATAAAAATCTTTATTTAACCTAATATACATTACATTTTAACCTGCAATAGGGTTTAAATTATGTGTATTTGTTAATGAAAAAATTAACATATCTATTTAGATTATGTATGACTAAAGCTTAAACTTCATATATAACTATTTTACAATTACTTAACTTTTTTGTTTCTCTTTTATATTTATATTTTCAAAAAAAATTTAATTTTATGTTTTTAGCCCAGAAAAATGAAATTTTACAAGTGTTCTGGGAGGCTTGAGTATTTTCCAGTATATGTAAAACTTTACATGGCAAATATGGGATCAAGGTGACAACTTTTTATTGACTTGAAATTTAGATGGAAAAAAAATGTCCAACTGTTCAATTATATATAAGGCATGGTCTCTTAGACACTTATCATTTTAAAGCTTGGTACTAGATAAAAATTCTAGTCATGAAGGCTCATTTCTTTGCATCCTTCTTCATTCACTTATCCTACAATCATGAAATACTTAAGTGATTTTTTTTTAAATTTCAAGTTCTGCTCTTGTTTTTAGTTTTACAATATTTGAATTTTAGAGACTTATTTTATAATCATATGTATGCATTTTACAATTGTCTCTTAAAATATTTCACAAAATGATTGTGATTTTACACCTATTGTGAATAAATATTATGCAGCTTAAACATTTTATGCCTGTAATTGATCTTATTACACAATGACCTTTTACACTCATGTCACCAGTATAAAGGTTTCTGACCTACACCAACAGTTGTACCCAATTTTTTTTAATAAAAATATTTGATTTATAAAGAGACATGTTCTGTTGAGAGATATATGTTGAAAACTAAACAAATATGGTATTACAAAAATTTAATATTTGCCTATCATATATTAAATACTTTTATAACCATAAAAAAAAACTTGAGGTACAACTGTCCACTCTCTCCAAAAGGTCAAAGAACTAGCTTTAAATTGGTGCTGATAGTAATTTGTCATATAGTGTTATAACTTATTATTTGATTTTAAATGTTTGCTTTCAGTATGATAAAAATGATTTATAACTGTGTCATAAGAAAAGTATGCATAATTGAAACAATTGAATAAAGCAAATGAGATGTGATAACAAGTCTGAAATAAAAGCATCAGATTTTAAATGTTGTGACTTATTTAATTCTGCATTTTAAAATACATAAATTAATATTTGTTGAAATTTAATGAGTCTACTTTGTGTGAGCAATATATTTTTTAATTTAAAATGACCCATAAAATTGAATTGTTTTTCACTTTTATTTTTTTGAAATGAAACTGGAAGGATTATGCAAATATTTAAAAATATTAGGCATTTCTCACAGCAAATTTTTTTTTATAGATAATTTGATATACTTTTTTATTAAAATCAATTTTTTCATAATTGGATTATTTAAAACAAATTGTTGCTGCAATTTTATATTTTTACATTTTATACTTATTTAATGTTATAAATCATGCTGTAAAAAGGATTAAATTAACTGTTTTATTTTCTTCATTCCACAGATCCATATTATTTCAGACCCACATTCAATATTAAGTTCTAAACATTCATTAATATCTTGGAAAAAAATAATTAATAGAAGATGTTTGATAATATGCTTATTATAATGTGACATGATATGATGAGAGAAGAAAAATACTAGTTTGATTTATACTTCCTGAAATAAAGAAATTGAAAATAAAATAAATGTAGAAATATACTTCTACGTACTAAGCTATCCTAATTTGTTTGAAACAAGTGAAATTAGTCAAATGTTTAGTTATCTAATATGAAATATATTTTGTTTCTTTTCTTCAATACAATAACATATTTTATTAATTTAAAAGCAATTTTTATTTGTTCTGACGATTAAAATCACAACTAACCAGTCCTATGCTGTTTTTTTTTAAACAATATGGTGAAATAAAAAAAAAAAGTACCAGAACAATACCAACAAAAGTATTTTTCAATTTCTTAAGTTTATTTAAAACGTTAGAAGTTTGCAAATCACAAATGATGCCAGCAAAATAAACATGAATTTTAGGAAGATAATTTTATGTTGCTTTTACTTTTGTAAAAATGTTTCTTAAACAGAAGCAATAATTAATTTGTGCAACTGCATGGCTTATTAATGACAGTTGTACAAATTTTACATCATAGTTAACACAAAAAGTTAAAAAAAAAAAATTCTAGTTTTCATTCAGTCTTGTAAAAAATCTGCTTTCAATTATTTGAAGTAAAACTAAACTCATTGGAAGCAAACCGAAATAATCAAAGAACATTTTCAAAGCATGCATTATATACAAACATGACAAATACAACAAAAAATTCATAGAGAAAGACAAAAGACTGAAATGATAGAATATGAATTCTACAATGATGAAAAGCTTAGAGAAAAATCATTAATATTTTCAATAAGGATACAAAGATACAGATACAAAAACTAAAAATTTCGTTGTATAAAGTATAACGTGGCTTTCAGTATCATATGAAACAGCTTGAACTTTAATTTGATACTCTTCGTTTGAAGGCATACTTCTTTGGGTATAGAGCACACCTTTTCCTTCTTCTAAGCGTATTCTAAAAGGCACACCAGTTTTATTTTCTATAATAGAGAATACAGTGTTCTTAAGCTGAACTCCATCTTGATCATAAGCTATAAGTCTCACTAAATCTTGATAAGCTTGAATTCCACTGGGAAGGGCCACCATTTTAAATGCTAATATTTCAGAATATCGTACATTTGGAGGGCACACTTTGCTATCTTTATCACATTCTAATTTGCAGTACCTACATAAAAGAAATGCAATTGGATTTTCATAATTCTATAGCACCATTTAGTTTTAGGTTTTTAACACTTATCTCACCTCTGAAAATGCATGTTTTTGGTACACATTTTTAATACTTTCAGCTTTAAAAATAGTACTATTGCATAATACAGTATTGAAAATTGTATTAATTGATGCACTCTTTATTACTAATGTATAATACAGAGTTTAAAATTGTATTGATTGCTGCACTATTTTTAATACTTTTAGCACTATTATAAAGTACAGTGTTAAAAATTGTATTGAATTAATTACTATTTTTTAAAACTTTCAGTGTAAAAAATAGTGCAGCAATAATTTAAGAGAGTTATCATGTGTAAATATTTATTCAAATTGATTAAGACTAATGAATTTTTTTTTTTTAAAAACAGAATCAATTTGATAATTTAAACGATTTTGTGACAGTTACTCTCTCTTTTGCAAAGAAGTATCAAAATTAACTTCTTAAATGGATTTTTTCCTCTTTTCTCATAAAGTCAATAATGATAGAACCCTAAGATTTTCATTGAAATAAGGTTTTTATGAAATAACATAGGCAATAGTAAAAAGTATAAGTATTGTATTAAATAATAATTATAAAGTATAATAATTATCATTTAAGGTTATGTAATACAGTAAAACTTGTGTAAGTTGACCACTTGTGGTGCATTCTTTTAGTGGTCAACTTATAGAGGGGGTGGGTCATTGTTTACTTTTTCGTTTCCTATATCATGTTGCTATATATTTAAATTTTTTTTTTCTTGACTTAAAAATTTTATTTAGCAAATAGCCAAATAAATATCTTAAGAAATGTGTTTAAACCTGAATGAACTTCAATTTGTTACATATAATTCTAATATTTAACTAACTTTTTAAAAAGAAAATTATTTCGTTAGTTATGCATGTGACTATGCTCACTATTGCAACTGGAAGAGCAACTTTTCAACTAACACACCAGTTTTCAATGAATGAAAGAAATGGTCAAAAGCTGACCCCCTACAGTTTCCCCAGATGGTCAACTCACAAAAGGTTTAGATTAGCTTTTTACACTATTTCACCAAACAAATGAAATTTTAACATACAATGCAAAATGACAGAAAATTTTCTGAATTTTTTTTTCTGGTTAGCTTATGAGGGTTTTAGAATAGAATTTCATTATACTCCTAGACAAAATTGACTTATATCAGTGGTCAACATGCAAGATAGACAGGTGGTCAAGTTACAGGTTTTGCTTCTCTATATTATATAGGAAAAATTCCGTTCTTGATAATTGAGGTCAAGATATGCAAGTGTCTAACTTACAAGGGTGGTCAACTTGGCAGGTTTCACTGTATAGTTATGAAGTTTTTTTTTTCGAAGTTTCTGTTTCGTTTTTTAAATCGGCCACTTTTCATTGAATTATTTGTGATAAAGAATTTTAACTCTTCCCAACTATAATTATTTTTTTTTCAAGATGAAAGAATCAATAAAAATTAACTTACCCAGTTAATGGATCTTTTTCGTACTTAGGTGGGCATGGAGTTTCAACACAGTCATAAGATCCTCTTGTATTAAAACAAGTTTTATCAGATCCACATTCAATATTAAGTTCTAAACATTCATTAATATCTGGAAAAAAATAATTAATAGAAGATGTTTGATAACATGCTTATTATAATGTGACATGATATGAAGAGAGAGGAATTATACCAGTTTGATTTATACTTCCTGAAATAAAGAAATTGAAAAATAATTTACCAACCTAAAAATTAATTCTAAAAAAATTTAATACAGTTAAACCTGGTTATAGGGAAGCTCCCAAAATGTGGGAATATAATACAGGTTTAAACCTTAAGCTCTCACAAACAACTAAGTTTAAATTTAATTCACAGTAAAAATTTAAATGACAGGAATCAGTATAAATTATTTCTAAAGTTATCTAAAAATTACTTAAAAAAAATATGCTATTTCCAATTAAAAGCCCAAGTTTTGGAAGTTCATGATGTTAACTGAGTCAATGTAACATAAAAAAAAAAATATTTTTATAGTGTTTAAATGTTTTATAAATGAAAATAAGAATGAATAATTTAAATATAAAGGTTACTTGATAATATCCTTAACAAATCGCAGCAATAGAAAAGTTATATTAATATGTGAAAGATTTTAATAAAAAGTAATTTAGTGTCTTGTTGCTTGTCCAAAAAAGTAACAAACAAAACTGTACTATTATTTGAACAAAAAATATATTGTAAAGTAAGTACTTTAAACTTATTCATCCATTCTTAAAATACTTTTTTCGATGTTCTTATGAAATATTTCTTTAACAAAATGCCATTTTTTATGCATATAATATAGGATTGCCAAAAAAATGTTACACAATACTAGTAATTTTTCCCCATAAATTTATTCTTTAAGATTATCTTCTGTCCAAAAATTCAATGTAAAAAGCTATTATAGTGTTAATTGTTTTTAAAAAATAAAAAAGCATTTTGCAAAGTGATGACTACTTTGTGCATATAACATAAATAACAGTAGAATTCAGAATTGGCTGTTGTTAATCTTATTGTTCCCATTTCTTGAGAAGTACTTTATGGCAAAGAACATCAAATTATCACTGCAGGCAGTTTCAAATATGACAAAACAGTTTAAATGACATGATTAATCCTAACATAAAGCTTTCATTTTATTTTACACGCATAGTATATTTCTATTTTATTAAATAAATAATAGAAATATTTGTATACCTTCACAAGTCTTGCCAGATTTTGTTAGACGGTATCCAATTGGACATATGCAACGATAGCTACCAATTGTGTTTTCACATTGATGTTGACACTTTGCTTTGTCTTCACATTCATCAATATCTAAAATTAAAAGAATAAGTTAAACGTTAAAATTTGGTACACATTTAAACAGCTATAATTTTAAATGCATCTGGGTTTAGCGTGGTAACATAGTAGAAAGTCATAACATACTCACAGAAGAGTTAAAACTCAAAAAATTTATATATGTGTTAAAAACTAGTTCAACTTTGATACGATGACACTGTAAGTTAAATATATATTTATATTTTTGTATAGAAGTTTTTAAAATAGGTAACCAAGGTTTATGTTTTGAACAATAACAGTAATTTTTTTTTTACAAAAATAGATTTTTTAAATTTTAAAATAAATAAATAAAATATACAAACAACTAATGTAATAAATAGAAAATATTCAAATTTATGATTTTTAATGTGTAGATTAAAAATCAGAAATTTTAGATTTTTAATGTGTGGAGTAAATTTAACCAGAGATTAAAATAATGGTATTTACACACTTGGTGGTAAGTTTAAAGTGGGCTCACATGGCATAAGATTTTTTATCTTTTAGATTATACTCAGTGAAACTTCATTTTTGAAAGCATAATTATAGAGCCATATAAATCAAAGAAAACTTGATGTTTTTTTAAAAAATTAATAAGTAATTGTTTCATGTACCTAAACATTCTCCATTCTTTCTGTAAAAACCTGGCAAACACTGAACGCTAGCAGGATGATTAATACGTGTTTCCGAACGTGATAGCAATTCTGCTGAATAATTTCTTTGGAATGGGAGATAATTACTTTGCCTTTCCCTGCCGACATTATCCAAATATTCGATTCCTGTAATAACAGTACACATTAGTATTTGATGGTGTTTAAATTTTTTTAAAATTAAATGATTTTCAAAAGTTGAAAATTTCATTCCAAGAATAAAATATGACTCTAAGACTATGTTTCAATATGAAGAAAATTGTTCTAACCAGCACATGTTTTCCCATCAGGTAATCTTTTGAGTCCTGGAGCACAAATGCATTCAAAATCGCCAGGCAAGTTGCGGCAAAGGTAGCTGCATGGCTGCGGTGTTTGCAAGCATTCATTTATATCTACATTAAATAGTTTAGATATTATTAAAAACAGTAAACGAATCCAGACCTACAAAAGTCATTTTTTTATGTAAATCATCCATGTTTGTCTCAACAAAACCTTTAAAAATAAATGTATTGATGAGTTAAAATACTCACAAGCTACTATTCTGAGCGATAACACTCCAATTTTTCATAATCTTTTTGGGAAATTATTTTGTTAGAGTTGTCAGAAAAAATAGGTATTTGTTTATGAAAATTTCAATCCCTTTAAAACCTCTTTCAATTAAAATTTTTCAAAAAAAAATTTGAATCAGCTATGAAGTGTTACAGTGTCACTCTTCTCTTTTGTCAAGAATTATGGAGGGGAGATAGATGAATTAGAAATTGTTTTCGAAAATAGCAATGATATAGAAAAAATTCTATATCTGCTATTGTTACTGTGGTAGCTCATGTGCCTGCAACTATTTCCCTCTACAATTGTTTGTGAATTATAGGTCAGATCATTTATCATTCGACAAACAACTTTGATAATAACTTCATAGAGTCTTGATAATTCGAAGTAGACTGTACGGAGCCTACCTCGAACTTTCGAAAGCTCGAATTATCGAAAACTTAAAAAATTTAATAAATATCTAAATGAATGAAAACAAACCAGTTTTTAAATGTCAGTTTATTAACTATGAATTATTTTAGTTGAAGTAAGATAGCAGTAAATTAATTGTTTATACCTTGACAGGGTCTTCCAGGTCCGAATGAGAAATAACCCCTGTGGCATGAACAATGATAACTTCCATAAGTATTTATACATATTTGAGTAGAGTGACAACTGGATAATCCATTGTGGCATTCGTCAATATCTAATTAAATAAAAGATAATTTATAAAGCAATTTATAATGACATCTAATAGAAATTTCTTAAGAATAATACTTCCATAACAAAAATTAAAAAGAAATCTGTAGAGTCTTTTAGTAGGAATTTTACTTTCAATAAAATTTCATAAATTTTTACTAAGGCACATTTACTGAGTGGTGTGACAGCCTATCGATGGTCAAGGCCAACTGTACCGTGGGCTCTCGGGTGTATGAGCAGATGTTCCAATTGGGTGATGGAATTTCAATACTTTGATAGGTGATAGTTTAATGATAGATTCATAATTTTTCGACAGTATTTTTATAATAATATTAAATGTTGCAGACTCAACTGAAAAATTCCTAAAAGATGAAAAAAAACTTATGTGAAAACTTGTTACAGATGAAAAAACAAATCTATAAATTTTGATCGCATTTACCCAAGTATTAGCCAAATAGTACAAATAAATTAAGACTATATTATCAACAAAACACTAAAACTAAACTTTTTCAACAGTATTTTTATAATAATAATAAATGTTTCAGACACAACTGAAAAATTCCTAAAAGATGAAGAAAAAAACCTTATGTGAAAACTTGTTACAGAGAAAAAACAAATCTATAAATTTTTAAAAGTATTTTTATGATCGCATTTATTATCAAAGTATTAGCCAAATACAAATAAATTAAGACTGTATTATCAACAAAACACTAAAAACTAAACAATAAAAAAAATAATGCTTAAAAATGATTCTTGCAAGCTTATGATACACGCTAAGAGTCGTTCAAAGAAGAACCTTGGGCATGAATAGATTAAAAATAAACATTTATTCAGCTAATATTTTTTTTACTTTAAAAAACTGAATTTTCTAAATTTTCATACAATAGCTTTTGATATTCCCTCTAAGTAAAATGAATTATGAAACTTAATATGTATCAGAATTTTATACATATGCTAAACACATCTTACCTATGCAAGAACCATTGGTTGCTCTTGAAAATCCTTCTGAACAAACATTTATGCATTCATATCCACCAATAGTGTTTTTACATTCCTGCTCAACAGAACAAGAGAAAGTTCCATCTTCACACTCATTAATATCTAAAATGTTCAAATTAAATTACACTACTTTATACAGATAATCATAATAAAAAGCTGATTATAAAGTAATATATATATAACTACATGTATATATATAACTAATATATATAACTACATGTAGGTAAAAATAATGGTATATCTTGAACATGAAAAAAAGTAAAAAATGTAGCATTATTAAATATTGCGTTGAGTGTGCAAAATAAAAAAGGAGACACTTTAATAACTGAATATCTAATGATTAGATTCTCTAGTTCTAAGAAGCAACCTTAAAAATTTGAAGGACTATAACTTTAATTATTTTGTGAACAGTGTGTTTTAAGTTAGAAAATTGGACACAAAAATGTACTTCCTCAGAATAAGCATGACTTTTTTTTCAAGGGATTTGGGTTTTTGATCCCTAAAATTAGGAGGATAACAATAATTTAGAAAATATAGCATAATAATTTAGGCAACAGGTGGTAGAAAGAATGTTTCTGTGCCTGGTTTTGTATCTTAAAATATAGCACAAAATTTAAGGATAGTCCTTCTCATCATCAAGATTGCTAGCGAAATCAATAACTAGTTTTCTTTTTTATTTAGTGCACTGTCTAATACTTCAGTCAAAACTAAAAGAATGTTAACCATCAAAGAATTGTAACAATATTTTTACATGAATATACGAGGTATATCCACAAAGTAAGTTCCGTTTTGTTATATAAAAAAAGCGTGTACAGATACAGAAATAATATTTATTGCACAAAAATCTACAACTGTGAAACTAATTTTCTACATAGCTTCCGAAATTTTGTAGGCACTTGTCATAGCGTGGCACAAGTTTTTGTATGCCTTCGTNTGTCATCATAAAGAAGCACTACAAAGAACACATCGGCAGCAGGGATCTGAAAATGGCGCACAATTCTTCTGCTTGAGTCAGAGCAACTAGCGCGCATGCTCGGAACTGCGATCGCAGCGCTGCCGCGGATAGAAATGAAAACGGAACTTACTTTGTGGATATACCTCGTATGTTATGGAATTTATGATGTGACAATTTATCAGTGTCAGCTTCACCATTTAACCAGTTTTACTTTACTCTCTTAATTGTAAAAATATTAATGTCTGTAACACTTAACAACTTGATAGGTTAAGACTAATTTAAGAACAATATAAAAAATTTTATTTCTTATTATGAAAAGGACAAAAATTTCTCCCTCAATAAAAAATGGATTCCAAATAATTTTACTAAAGCTCTATTATTAAGTGTATAATTATACTATCAAGAACTTCAATATAATACATTATGCACATTTCAATATATTCCTACCTATGCATGTCGTTTCATTAAATAATTCATAACCATCAGGGCAACTGCAATAAAAACTACCAGGTGTATTGGAACAATAATGACTGCATGGAGACTCTACCATATTACATTCATCTAGGTCTTAAAAATACACATACAAAAAATGTATTATTTAAGAAGAAAAGAAATAAAATGTGGCGTCTTTTAAATTTTAATAATTATATTTTACCAAAGCAATCTGTTTCATGAAGAAGATAATATCCATCATGGCAATCACAGGTATAACTTCCGATTGTGTTTATGCACTGTTGGTTACAGTTATCAGAGTTTTCTATGCATTCATTGATATCTAACAGAAATAAATAGAAATTAGAATTGTATCAATTATTGAAACATATTTATAATTATATCTAAAAATCTTTTGATGGTCATTGTATCATCTTTATTGTTTCGTGAGTATTCTTATAAAACAGAAAAATAACATGATATGATCTTAAATATTTAAAGATCATATATGTTTAGCTGTCATAAGCATAAAATAAATAAAAGTTATAATGGTATATACCTATAAATTATTTATTTAAGGGTATTGAGTAATATTTACTTATCATTCCTTCCTAATATTATACTCTGTTATTAATATGTTATGAATTTCTATTAATTTTCAGAAGCAAATTCTTAAAAGTGATGTTCATTTATTATATTATCAAGTAATCACACAATACTTCCTTTTTATGCAATATTTTAAGATTAAGATTTTTAGTTAAAATTTAAGACAAGCTTCCCTCAAAATAGAGATACAGTGCCTACCAGTTACTAAACCCAATGGTTAGTGTAGACATGTAATTAAATTTACAAATAACAGAAAAATTTCTTTTGTTATCATACTCACTCCCACTAATAATTTGGTTTCTTAATGAAAATTAAAAAAAGTGAGATTTAGGCATTGAGTCTGAGAATCTGAAGTGCCTGACAGCATGTTTTCCAAGAAATCATATGTTCTTGTATGGTGCATAATCATGTTAGATTCTTTTCTACAAATAAGTGCTTACTTCTAGTTCTTTACCTAGATTGGTAAATAAACACTAATAGCATAAATTTTCATTAATTTAAACTGGCATTAATGAATCGATGTAGAATATCCAATTTAACTTGTGTAACTTCAATTTATTTAATATTAAATCAGGTAAAATAATGAATACTAAATAACTATTCAAAATTCTAATACAATAAGTAATATCAAGAATCAACTTTTTGCTCGATTGCTCAATAATATAACAAAAAATATTTTATTAGCTAGGTGGGGGCGTTTGGGGAAAATTGTAAAAGTTTTAGAGAAAGATTGAAAAAATTCAATTTATTTATTATCAACCAAGATTTATTTTTAAATAAAAGGAAATAGTTATCGATGTTAGAACTGATGAACTTAAAATTAATGTGAAATTAAAAGCTTTAAAATTTTTAAGTCTCAAGAAACATTTTTTGCCACTTTTTAAGCTTTTCTTTGTAGGTGAAGTTTAAGTGGAAACAAAAAAAAAGCTTTCTTATACTAATCAAGTACAAATTTCACTATATGAAACCAAATTAGTATTTATACAAAAAAAAAACACAGGATGCTTTATGAATAATTTATAATTTTGATGTAAACTGTTTAAAGAAACAAAAATGGCGGAGGAAAAATTGTGGGGGTTGGTGAGCAAAGAAAGCAGCTTTCTAGTTTCGGAGAAATAAAATAATTTTAATAAAAATAAACTGTAATGGGCAAAACAAAAATCATACCTGTGCAATATTGTTCATTCTCACTTCTCCTATATCCTTCTTTGCAAATAATTATACATTTATAAGATCCCAAGGTATTTATACATTCTTCTGACGTGGAGCAGTCATCAATATTGATATCACATTCATTTAAATCTGTTGGGAATAGTGAGAGAGTAAAAAAAATATTAGAAAAGTTTTTCTTGTTATATGCTTTAAAGTTATATTATAAATTAAAATTAGAATATTATAAATTAAGGATATTATAAATGAAAAATAATGCCATTCAAATAATTCTGAATATTTAATTAGGCATCTNCTGTTTTCCTGCTCGGTCCGACTGCATCATTTTACATATATATAATAATACTCTTAAAAAAACATATACACTATAATAATGGATGTGTTTAACATAGGAAATTCGAGTATATTAAGAAAATTGGTAAAGCATATTAAGAAATGGAACAATGATTTTATTTATATATATATTTTACATAATTTGATAGTTTGCACCCAGGATAGTATCTTAATTGAAATGAATTTTATAAAAGTGACAAAAATTCTCCGCATATTTTATTGATATGCGGTCAGCTTTTTGATAAACTTTCAATCTGGTTTTTATCTGCTAGTTAAAATTGTGTCTTGTTTAAAATTTCTATCACAGTTTATTTTTTAAATATCTATTTCTTAGCAAATGCATTTTGAGAAAAGATCTTTTACTTCATTTTCAAAACTTTATGACACTCACTAAAGTCAAAACTATTTAAGTTAGTTTTCTACGCAGAACACAGGAGAGCAACAACAGCAATTTGACGTATCACAAATGCATACAATTGATGAAGAAATACAAAATAATTTCATTCACAAACTTCAAAATTGTCTTTTTTTTTTTTTTTTACTTTAGTTGAAATATAAATAAATGCAAGATTTAATACAATTTATAAAGTAAGAAAATTAAAAATAAGATTAGTTAGAAAGAAAATTAAAACTGAAGGTTAAATCATAAAATAACCAAGAGGTAATGAAAAAATATTCAAGAGAAGCTATTACCTATACCAATAGCAGCAGATATGAAAAATTTCATATTTAGTGTATCAGGATCGTATTGGCTTTCAATATTATCAGCATAAAGTCTTTCCACCACAAAAGGCATTTCACCAAGACTATCATCATAAAATATTGAATGGTTCCATGAATAAGGAAGAATATAATCCCCAATTTTATAAGTACGTGTTGACAGAGCATAGATTGAACCTGGACCGGTCTGTATGTAATCCTCTGAAAATTTTAAAGCAATTTACTTATTTAATATAAAAGTCTAAGTTAACATGGTGCGTAGCTAAATCTTACAACAAAAAATAAGCACCTTTCAAGTATTTTTTAAGCACTCAAAAATTATTTTTGAGCACTATATACTTTAACAATATGCAAAATAATTTTCAGACTTTACATGATCATGATAAAATAACTAGTTTCTGACAAAGAACTATTTTCTTGATTATATTAGCCATTATAAAATGATCGGGAGATTTTTCGGTTTGATTTCAGAGGGTGGAAAATGAAGCTTAAAATTGAGAATATCTTGTAAAATGCAGCAGAGTTGCACACGAGAGTGCAATAATCTCACCAAAAACAGCTCACTATACGCACATGCGGACTCGCAAGTATTTCACCAAACCTGTAAAATGATTGGCGCTTTCATACACTATGAACCGATGATACGTCGAAATGAATTGTGAAAACATTGAATAGAACAATGTGAAAAGCACGCTTTTGCATAATATGTGGCAAAAATCGAAATGGTAACGAAAAAAACTCTCATTTTTGAAAAGGGAAAGTTCTTTTTAAAGAAGGAACTTTTTAAAAACACCTAATGAAAAAAGCCCCTTTAAGGGCTTTTAAATAGCGAAAATCGAAAATAAGCACCTTTAAGCCCGTTTTAAAAACACTGCGCGCCATGGTTAATATACATTTTTTCTTGTCCACTTAAAAACAATTTTCTTTTAATCACTGTTTCTGAAATAAAATTAAATATACACTAATAGCTACATGTAAGTAATCACGTGAGATATAAAATTTTTTCTGAAATAATATGTTTGTTAAGTCAAAGAATACTATGTAGGTGAAAAAGGAGTAAGATTAGATAAAAAATAATAAAAATACTATTAAAACCAATTTATTCAAATTAGAGTGAAAATGGATGAAAATTTCATTGTCTATATCTCAGTACAATATAACCAACTAGGGCTAGAAACTAACGGAGGTATTGTTGTCAGGAACAACTAATATTTGACTCGGACCATTAAAAATAATTATCTGTTGTCTCCTGAACCAGCAATAATATAAAGGGATGCTATCTTGTTTTGATTTGTTGACTTTAAACTTCATGTTTTGGTTTATTTTATTGTTGCAAAATAAAATATTTCATTATAATTGCGAACATTACACATTAATTGAATTTTATTTTATAACCCTCATTGAACAGTCGGTCCAATTCTAAGTTTACGACTATCAATGTTTAACTCAATAGCTTTGAAATTTTGAACCCAACCTAGAAGACAAGGGAATCCTGAATGAAGCATTGGGAAAAACTAGCCTTTGTGAAGGACTTTATAACTCGAAATTCTCCTATGGTAAGCTTGATGGTAAAGGGATTTTTACCCATGATTCGTTTACCACTGACGATATTTTATGTCAGCACTGTGGTTGGCGCAAGCCATGAGCAGCCATCGCTGGGATTCGAATCTGGGTTACCTCAAAGGGAGGCAAGTGCTCTATCCCCTCACATTCTTTGTATTGTAATTTTTTTTATTTAAATTTACTTCATTGACAAACTAGTGAAAATGTGTACGTACTTGTAATACTTCTTAGTTCCTAGACCACTGATATTTAGACCTAGACCACTGAGTAATTTTTTTTATTTAAATTTACTTCATTGACAAACTAGTGAAAATGTGTACGTACTTGTAATACTTCTTAGTTCCTAGACCACTGACCATTACTTAAATTTTAGTAATTTTTATTCTAGATTTCAATTTCTAAATGTCTTAATTTTATTATAAAACTGTATTGAGATCCCCATTGTTTACCTGAATGCAATATATTAAATAATCATTTTATTAGCTTTTCATGAGTGATTTTTTATAAAAAGGCAAAAAATGGCTTGCCTGTTATCTTAATATTGGGGTAGAACAGGGTACTAATTAGATATTCTTCGACTCACCTGTAAAGGGATGCAGAGTTAGATTAGAAGATGGTAAATCTGGAACATCTCCACTTATTACAATATCGACTAAGAGGTTACCCTTTATATCCAATCCTCGTACTACATGAGTCATATACAAAACTTCACCTGCAAAAAATAAATAAATAAATTAAAAATAAATAAATTATAAATAAATAAATTCTAAATAAATAAATTATAAATAAATAAATTATAAATAAATAAATTATAAATAAATAAATTATAAATAAATTATAAATAAATAAATTACAAATATATAAATTTTAAATAAATAAATTATAAATAAATAAACTATAAATGAATAAATTATAAATAAATAAATTATAAATAAATAAATCACTTAAATATTTCCTGCATTTATTTTTAGATAAGCTAAAAAAAATTATCAAACCTGTAGCAAAATTGACTTGCGTTTCTTTGCGGAAGAATCCCTTAGTTAAAGTGTAACCATTGACAGCTCTGCCAATTTCATCTGCTGTAGTCCAGTACATGGGAGTCAAAATAGGAATCAATACTCTCATTTCATCAGCTAATGAATAGTTAACATGATTTTTAATAAATGGGGTGAATAAATTAATAATATGATAAAAATAATATTAATGTATGTACCTATATCATCTGTTATGTTTTCAATATTCCCTATAACAACATGCTTCAAACCAGATCGGGATACGTTAGCTGTGAACATAGAGAGACCAAAGTCTATTCCATTTAATATTCCAATCAAATGACCAGCAGCTTGAGATGGTAAATCTGTAATAAAAAAAGAAGATAAGCAAAAATCTATATGTAAAATAAGCACATTTCTTTTGTATACATATTTACAGTTTCTTAATCTTTTATAAAAAGAAATTTAAAAACAAAACAAAAGTTTTTGTTCTTCATATGAATGTAAAAAAATTTTATAAGAAAACCCCTGAAAAAATATGTGATTTGCTGAAAAACAAGTAATGATACAAAAACAAGTAGGTACTCTTTTATTTTTTTCGATTGTTTCTTCATCAACAAGTCATATTAAAAAAAAAAATTAAATCTTAAACATCTCCTCATCCTTTCCTTTAACATTCATCCTTTCTTTTAACATTCATTCTTCCTTATAACATTCATTCATCTTAATTAAATCCTTTCTCATGAAATTGATATCAAACAAGAATGTTTATATTAAAATAAGTCTCAATAAAATCACCAATGACAGTTTGTCTGATTCTAATTTAGGATGTATTAAATGGTTTGTTAAGCATAATTTAATATTTCATAAGTTGTCCCCCCCCTTCTTTGTTGTTACTAGTAATACTTCTTGTAATTATATTAATCTTTAAAAAGTAATGTTTTTAAACCCATTTCCTCAACTATTCATTTGTCATTGGATTTAAAAATCTATTTCTGACTAACACAGTATATTATTAATTGCCAACTGAATATTTAAAATTTTGGCAAGTTTTTAAAAATTAGTGGTTATGTAACGACAACGTTTCTTTCAAGTAAGTCATTTTTAAAAAAAAAAAATTTCATCACAACTTTTACTAATAGGTTACATCACTTCTATTTCAGATTATGAATTATCTTAAAGTAAAGAAAATAAAAACATTATACAAATGAGATAATCCAATATTCTTCAAGTGAGTCACAAAGTGATCCGCAGATCAAGTTGCTGACCTAGGGTCTAGACATTTTCCCTTCAATTCACAACTTTCTTACTAAACAACAAAGAGAAAACTGTTTTTTTAAAGGAAAAACAACAGGTTAAAGGATGTCCTTTTTAGTAGATTAAGTTTAAATTTAATGAAATTTTTTTTAACCTTCTGAGAGTTAATCTCAACTTTTTCAGATGCAGGCTATTTTGCATCAAAAATACCAATTTTGTCCATGTTATTCAGTTGAAAAGCAATGCTTAGGGAAATTTCAGTGCAATTTTACCCAGTGGCTCAATGCTTGAAGGGTTAATAGGAGAAAAAATATAAGAAAATTTTATTCATAACTTGATCACTACTTTTCAGAAGTGTGTTTTACATCTGACACTTTAAAAACATTACAGTTTTCTGAACATACATTGAACATAAAACATACCATGACATGCTTCTTCTCTGCAGTCTTCATAATCTTCAGAATCTCCAACACAATCTTTCCCTCCATAAGTAGGATCAGGATTACTGCATTGTCGAATTCGTGAACGAACTCCAGTACCACAGGAGACAGAACAAGTAGACCATGCACTCCATTCACTCCACTTACCATCAACTATATCAAATGCAAAATTAAATTATTCATAAAAAAATTATTCAGCTTCAAATAATCTTTTGTGTAGCCATTTAAATTTTTTTTACTACTAGATAACATTACTCCATATTGCCTTTTGCTGAAGTCTAGTCTAAAAATTTTTCCTCCAATTCATAACTTTCTTATTGACCAACAAGGAAGAAAGAGGTTTTTGGCAGAAAGAACAACAGGTAAAAGGACGTCTTTTTCAGTAGAATAAGTATAAATTTCATGTATTTTTTTATTCGCACATTTAATGTGCTTGAGTGCAAATTTACAATTACAAGTAGACCATGCATTCTACTTACCATCAACTATTTCAAATGCAAAATTAAATTATTCATAAAAAAAAAATATTTAGCTTCAAAACATCCTTTGTGTAGCCATTTAATTTTTATTTACTTTCTTAGAGACTACTAGATAACATATTACTCCTTATTTCCTTTTGCTGAAATCTTGTCTAGACATTTTTCCTTTCTGTCTTACTAAACAACAAAGGAGAAACAAGTTTTTGATGGAAAAAACAACAGGTTAAAGGACATCTTTTTCAGTAGAATAAGTATAAATTTGATATATATATATTTATTTACGCATTTAATGTCTTTGAGTGAAGTGTCATTTGCAATTACTTTAAATTGCAATTATTTTTAAGTAACTGATAGACTTGTATATACAAAGTTAGTTTTGACTGTCATTTTATTTACTTAGCAAAGAATAAACGTATATTTTGCTAAATATTATCATCAGAAATTGATGGATAGATAAATAGAAATGGATATTTATTTATAATTATGAAAGTGAAATTTAGCATTAGTGCCATAAAAAGAAAAAAATAGAAAACTAATGCTATTATATACCTAGAGATTGTTTATTTGAATGGATGGCAGTAAAGCTCTATGCATTTACACTGCACCGTGTAAAAATTACTATTCATTAAAAAAAATCAGTCAAAAGATGCTAATTTCTTCCTTTTGATTATTTAATTTTGCATTAAAATATCAAAAAATTAAAAGAAATAACTCACTACACTAAAGGGAGAAAATATCACTAATTATGATTGAGTTTATCCATCTATACCTACTTTGAAACAAGTAAACTATCTGAGCTAGTGCTATTTAAGTCAGGCAAATTGGCATTTTAAGTATTAAATCATTATTTCCAGCAAGATAAAGTCCATCTATTACTTTGTTTTACTTTGAAGCATGATACTAAGAAGAAAAACATTGGTTTTCTGTAGCCCCATTTTGAGCAGCATGTATTATAACTTTGAGCTGCACATATAATTTTGAATTATAATTTTGCAGTTAACCTCTTTCAGTTACATATTTGTTCAAAATTCTAGTGAAAGGAAAAAGAAACAAAATCAAATTTGGCAAACTGAACCACAGTCAAATTTATAAATACTTTTTATTTGCGTGAAATTTTTTTAAACACCTTCAATAATAATGATTTAAATTTGAATAGGTTAGATATTTTAAAAATTTGTGTTTTTATATTTTATTCCTAATTTATTTACTTCAATTATTTTTTTTAAATATATTAAAAAGAACTGAAGGCCAATAGACTTTCCTCCTGTTTCAGGAAAAATTATTTTTCTTACTTATGTTCATATTTTTTTATATTCTTGGTATAGAAGGTGTTCTATAAACAAACAGCTTAAAATATGTATTTTATCATTGTAAAATATGGTAGGAAACAACTTAAACATTAGATTCACAGCAAAAGAAGAAAGTTTTTATAAAAGTAAAAGAAAAAAATGCTAAAATAATTATTCAATAACATTTGAGCAAGAAAACAATCATTATTGAATAATAATGAGTCATAATTAAGGTCAATCACAATGGATGCAGAATTAATAGCTTCAAAATTAGCTTACTGTTACTGTACTGTAGAAACTAAAAGCAATTATTAGAGTTTCAATTTTCACTTACAACCACACTACTTTTGATGTTTTTAATCCTCTTTTCACTGTAATTTGTAAAACTTCAAAATTATTTTTTCTTAATTCAATACTAATTTGCCAATTTCCCCAAATATATTTTTCATACTTCATTTCTGACATGCATAGAAAAATATACATTAACGAGGTGCATAGCCAAATTATTCAACAAAAAATAAGCATATTTGAAGCACTTAAAAAATAATTTTAAGCACTTTAAAAATATATCATAATCAGGCAGGGTTGGAAAGTTTTTGACAATTGACGACTTTATCTTGTTTTAACCATCATGCCAAAAAAAAAACCATTGTTTTTGACTATTGTCAAAAATCATGAAATTTTGAATCATGTAAGACGAATGGCGTTTTCATATGCTATGGACTGACAATACGCTGAAATAGATTGGGTTTGAATTAAGTATGAAATTGTTGAATAGAACAATGTAAACTGTGTCCTTTTGCATAATTCGAAGCGAAAACCAACACAGTAAAAGAATAATCTCATTTTTGAAAAGGGAAAATTAAGCACTTTTTAAAAACACCCAATGAAAAAAGCACCTTTAAGAGCTTTTAAAAAATGAAAATCAAAAATAAGCACCTTTAAGCACTTTTTAAAAATGCTACGCATCCTGATTAAGAACAGCAACTAGGTAACAACTATGCCTAAAAAAAGTAGTATCAGGTAAAATAGACACACATGTAAATAAAATAAATAAACTTACCTGGACATAAATGTGCATTGCACACCTCAATTTCTTGAGAAGCTCCAGAGCAATCTCTTCCACCACCAGCAGGTTCAGGATTGTCACATGATCTGAAACGCTTTTTTTGACCTTTGTTGCATGAAGATGAACATGGACCCCATGTAGACCACTGTCCCCATTCACCATTTACTATGAAAAAGTATAAGAAGAGAACAATTCTTTTTTTTTTATAACAGATCTCAGATATTTTTACATCACTGATTTTAAATCTGCTATCAATAATGCTCTCTAAGCTAAATTTTTTAAAATAACATTTAAGTCTATGTTTTGTTGAAATGAGCAAGTTCAAAAATGTTATATATGCTACGGTGAATGACCGAAATTGGTGGTTGTTGACAATCACAGTCGCTTTGGTGAATGTCCGAAATATTTATTACATTCGATTTTGTATGAATTTATTCGTGGATATAATTACATTTATTCGATATTTGAATACTTACTGACGATAGATCAGAAGAAACATCAGTGTTTGGAGTATCGGGCCATACATTTACATTTGACGGGTATACATTTGCTCGGTATACCCTACACTGATGTTTTTTTAAGGTTAAGTGCCACTGCCCGGTATACCCTACACTGATGTTTTTTAAGGTTAAGTGCCACTACCTGGTATACATTTGCCTGATACTCTAAACACCGATGTTTCTTCTAATCTATCGTCAGTAAGTATTAAAATATAGAATAAATATAAATATATCAAATAAATATAATAATATCAACGAATAAATTAATATAAAATTGGATATAAAAAATATTTCGGACATTCACCAAAGAAACTATGTGATTGTTGACATTCAACGGTGAGAGTCGACATTCTCCAGATTTCGGTCATTCACTGTAACATATATAACAGGGCTCCCATATATGTTGGGACAAGCTTCAATTGGATTTAGGACACATCATCATGATTAAAATTGGATAGGAACTCATGCCCGAAAATGTCATCATGCCATTAAAGTAGCTTTGCTATTATGAACTGTTTCGTCATGTGCTTCTGAACAGCTCATAATAGGGAAGCATCTATAGCTGCATACAATGACATTTCCAGTCATAGGTTCCTAAGAAACGTTTGTACATCACCTTTAGGGGAGTTAATTCCGATATAGGGAGTTAGAGCATAGAAGTAGTGTTGGGCCAAACTTCAATAGAAGTTTGGTACAACATTGTATGACCCCTTGTATGACCCGATTTTAAACTTATACATTTCAACAAAAACTAGACTAAAAATGTCATTTAAAAAAAAAACTGTAGCTATAGGAGTAAAACTAATTTCAGATTTGAAATCTCGACACTTGAATTATGCAATATCAAGTATTTGTACAAATGCAACAAAAAAAATTTTCCCAAGTTTTATAGTTTAAAACCACATAATAACAATATTAATAACAATGGATCAAAATTTTTTCTAATGCGATAAAAAAATTATAGTTAGTAAAATTGTGGTTATTGAGTAATTAAGATTATAAACAAAAATATAAAATAGTAACAGACTGATTTAAGTAGTTTATGGTGCAAATAATAAATACATCTCACATGGTTGTTTAACATTATAAATAAAATTTTCTTTCTACTGAATTTGAAAATTATTTTAAAACTGCAAAAGACAACTAAGTTTAATTATATATTACAAAACAAAATTTAAGTATGTAGCACTTTTATTTAATAACAATAAAATTTTCAAAAAATTTGTTTAAGTTATTAGTTTTAATTTATGTATTATCAACCAAGTATTCACTTTTCTATATTTAATAATGTTTTTTTAGAGGGGAGAACCTTAAATTGTTGTATTTGGCAAATTTTTCAATTAAAAAAAAACAATTAAAGCAGAATCATGTTTAATGCACTCCTCTACTTCAAAGTTAAATGATTAAAAAAAAGAGGTTATTAGTAATAGGGTTAAAACAAAAAATAATGTGTTCTAAAATTTATTTCAATGCACAGAAAAACAAAATATACAACTCTAACATCCCATTTGTGGCACTATAATATTTTTTAATTATATTTTTGCTTCAACAAAATAAGATTTGTTAAGTTACCTGGACATTGAGCACTGTTGCAGTAATCAATCTGGTAACTTGCACCAATGCATTGGTGACCGCCATTGGCTGGATATGGAGAATCACAGGCTCTTTTTCTTTCTCTAATACCTCCACCACAAGAGGAAGAACAAAATGACCATTCGCTCCAAGCACTCCAGTCACCATTCACTGTAACCATTAACATAGAATTAAACAATATTACAATATTGATAGATATTTTGGTAATTCAATGCATAAACAACCAAACCCAATGTTTGTAAGAGGTTTTATAATTTGCTATCAACAAAGACAACCACGTCAAACTTTTATAGAATATTTAAAAAAAATCACTAATACTATCTGATAAATGCAAATATGTACTTTTATTTACAATTTCTACAAGCATGCATTTATAACAATTTTCTTAAATTAAAAATATTTCGCTATTAGTTATTCTTGCGTTTTACATACAGAACCTTTTGAGAGTCTTACAGGTAAAAAGTCATTGCTTGAACTGCAGTCCTTACTAGAATAAAATGTATATACAGGATATATATTATTTATTTTTCAAACAGACTCCTGAAAAGTTGCCAGATAGATAAATATAAGTACATGTGTGTTTAAAATTTAGTAAATGTACAGTTAAAACTTTTAAAACCAAATACTATAGATGCTTTAGAAATTATTCTAATGCAAAAATTTAAATTACATCTTTATCTAGTTTCTATATGGAAGCTAAAAATAATACTTTTTTCTCTCATAATGTTAAAATCAGCTGCTGTAGAATGTATTAACTCTTTAAAATCATCACTAACTATAACCTGCCCTGTAGCAAACACACTTAAACATAGAGTATAAAAACTTTTTAGGAAAAAACATTTCTTTTAAAAGCCTTTTGAAACACACAGCACTCTTTTTAAATTGGAGATATCGATAAACAATTACATAACAAATACAGAAATATTCAAAAGAGATACCATCAAAAACTAGCCAAATAAGACATATAATTGAAATAATAAGAATAAGGGCAAAATACAACGATTAATTATTTAATGTAAACAGAAAAAACTCCATAAGTCTGGATAAATGCAAATGTAAGGTATATAAAATCAAAACATTGATATAAATTTGATTAATAATAAGTTGATAAGAGAGACAGGAAAAAATACTAGACATTTATTTAAATGAAACAAAGTTGTCATAACTTTTATGATTAAGCTCTATTAGATTTATATAATTATAGATTCTAGAAAAAAATTCTAGAAGCTAAAATAGTCTTATTTTTTTATTCATATTTATTATGATTCTATGTTATATTCGTTATGATTCTGCAAGGTTACTAGAATTAGGTAGATTTTACTAGAATTCTACATCAAAGTTGCAGCATTTGATTATGAAAAGAATTTGTGAAGATTTAATTTTAATTTCTGTACATAAATTAAAAAAGAAAAAAAATTATTCTTAAAATAATTTTTTTACAATAAAAGATCCATGTCACATAATTCTATGAACTTCAATTCTTCATAAACCAAATAAGCTTAGTAGGTGTAAGCAACAAAAAATTTGTAATTTAAAAATTTCTATAACTAAACTATTAAATTTTTACATTATTTGCTCAAAGGTTAAAATTTTAAGTAGCAAGCTAAAATTGATTTATTAAAAAAGGAAAAAAATTTATTCTTAAAATAATATTTTTTATAATAACAGATTTATGTCACATAATTCTATGAACTGCAATTCTTCATAAACCAAACAAGCTTAGTGGGTGTAAACAACAAAAAATTTGTAATTTAAAAATTTCTATAACTAAGTTAGAACTATTAAATTTTTACATTATTTGCTAAAAGGTTAAAATTTTAAGTAGCAAGCTAAAATTGATTAATTTGTTTGTTACTAGCTCTAATGCTTCAGACAATTTCCATTTTTTCTGTAAATAATAAATACTTAATTGCATATTTTGTGTTTTTAAGTATTTGTATCGAAAAATTGCTTTAAAACATTTAACGATTGATCAGTTACAGACTATTGCTATGTTTAGTAGTTAAGTTTAAAAATAAGAGATCCGGGTAATTAAGATAATTAAGATCATCTACTGTATCTATTTGCTTTTCTATAAATATAATTATCACAACACGATACAGAATATTTTAATTATTATGAGAAAAATTCACCTGGACAGTCTTCCGTATAGCATTCTTGAATCTCTTTACTTTCACCGAAACATAGTTGTCCACCATGAAGCGGTTCAGGATTATTACATTCTCGGACACGCTGTTGGTTTCCTTTTCCACATGACACACTACACGGTTGCCATTCAGACCACAAACTCCAACGACCATCAACTGAAATTTAAAAAAAAACAATAAACATGTGACAGTATTCCAATAAATAAAGCATTAGAATAAGAATATTTTCTTCAAATATTTAAGTCTAAGTTTCTAATAAAAATCATTACAATGTCATAACTCAAAGAAAACATTTTTAAAAGTTTAACATCATTTTAAAGCTATTTTTTATACACAAGAAATGAATTAAAGTAAGAAATATAAACTTAAGTTTAAAATAATGTAATAAGATTTAAAATAATTTATAGCTGAAATCTTCCATTGGAATAATAAATTTGAAACTGGATGACACTTTTTTAAATTAGTAGATATTTAAACACTCTGCAGAACTGAAAAATTGGGATGAAGATTTGCATTATAGACATAGAAAATGTGGTCAAAGTGAGTGTAGTCTAAAAAGAAAGACTTCTTTCAGATTAATGTTATTAAAAAAAGTGAGAGATAAAAAAAAATCCTTAAGATTTATATAGTTTAAATGATTTTAGTGGTTTCTAATATGGCTAAAAGTATTTGTACATTGCTTCTAAAAGGGTACAAAGAAATTTGATAAAAAGTTTTCTTCGTAAAAATAATACAAAAGTGAAAAATCTAAAAACTAATAACAAAATAATTAGAAATAAGAAAAAATTAACTAAATTTATTCCAGAATAACAATTAAATATAAAGTAATTAATAATTAATAAAGTAATTAAGTGTGCAGAAGATACCTGGACATTTTGTTAGTAAACAAGATTCAGCTTCCATTTCAGTTCCAGAACAGTTTGATCCTCCATATTTTGGTTTAGGATTATCACACATTCTATGTCGCAATCTTTGTCCAACACCACATGTTACACTGCATTCTTGCCATTCTATCCAATTACCCCACTCGCCATTAACTAAAATGAAACAGTTTCGATTAATAAACATGGGAAATTTTTTCAGATGATAAAAATTTAACACTAAGGTTCCTAACTCTAATCTGAGTGCTATAGAATATTGTAGAGAAGGATCACCAAAATTTATCCAAAATTAAAAATTAAGTTTTTTTTCTTTCAAACTTTGAACATTATCTACTTTAAACACTGAATAAACCAACTAAATAAATTTAGCTTGTCAATCTTATAATAATTTAGATACTATTGTCTTTTTATTTAGCTTATCACTCCTGTTATTAATATTTTCAACCGTATCATTTGATTCCCTAATTTTATTATTATTTTGTTTATCAATCTGTTACTATACACTACTCCCATTATTATTCACACAGCTTTGAAATAGAGGATGAACCTGGTAAAGAAATTATTCTCTTTTAAACAAGAATAAAAGTAATTAACAAATTTGTTTACCACTTGTATATAACACTATTTAAATAAAATAGGGTTTAATGCCATTTGAATGTTAGTCTAGTACAAAATATTATCAAATATATTTGATAAGAAAATTACTATAATTTAAACTATACCTGGGCATGGGTCTTGTGTGCATTGCTTTACTTCAGATGAAATTCCAATACAAGTTTTTCCATTATTTCGAGGTGCTGGATTGTTGCAAAATCTTTGGCGGAATTGACGTCCTTCGCCACAAGTGGCAGAACATTCTCCCCAATCTTGCCACTCTGACCATTTGCCATGAACTATAAAAGAAACAGTATAAAATGCTTATTATAAAAAGTAGGAACATACTACTTAATTTGTGTTATGAATTTTACTACATTTCTTTTATTGTTTTTAAGAAAATTCACAACATATATGATAGGGTCAAGACAGCTAGAGGCAAGGGATATAGCACTTGTTTCTGATACAGGCAAGAGTATTTGCATAATACTTCTATGAAGTGTCAACTTAAAACAACTAATGTTTCAGATTAATAGATCCTAATTAATCAGAGATTTATTTTTAAATCTGGTAACCCATTTAAGGTTTTCAGTATGAAGTAGGAATAAAAATTAATTTCCATCAAAAAGCATACTACAAGGACAAAAGATTTTTGATTCCTTGTTTTCAGTTGAGTTCAAAATTACACAGATATAAAAATTAAAATTTATGCTTTCAATTCCATAAGTAGACTGGTTATCAATGATGATATGGTCAAAATATTATGTCAGCAAAAATGTTTTAAATTATTAGAATAACTTTTAAGTTAAAATTACTTTAGCTTATACGGAGAAATTTTGAAAATAAGTTTTGATCGCTGATTTCCGCCTCAAGATAAAGTTTACGAAAAAATTTTCTAAGATTTATGACTGCAACTTTGTAACTTACAACATATCACCATAAAATTGTTAAGAACTTTAAAAAGTTTTAACAAAACATATCTATGAAAGAATATGCATAATTATCTAAATTATTCTTAAAACAGTGGCTAATTAATACCATTTTCGTTCATACATTTCATAATTTTGTTTTTGATTAGAGAAAGATAGTTCAGAATAATCAACAATTTTATTCATTGTAAACTCGATTGCCAATTGTAGCATATTTCTTAAAGGAAATATAGATATAAAGTTTTCTTTACTTTTATATTTCATCCATTATAAAAAACAAAAATAAATTTCCATGAAAAAATGAAAGTTTTAGTATAAAAGAGTAATGTAATAACATATTAAACTAAAGGCTAGGCAGCATTACCCATTTTAATTATTTGAATTTATTTCAAGGAAATATTAGTAAAATTATAAGCCATTACAAGAAACAAGTAAATAGTTAGGGTATAACATTTAAACTTAACCTTTTTAAGCAAATCCAACGGAAGATTATGCAAATCCAACTGACACTTTTAAGAGTTAGGTATTATTACCACCTATGATAATTATTGAAACTTCATTACAGACTATCCAATATTTAAGTCTTAAAACTAGTTTTAATACATCTTAAAGTTTTATTGTAATGAATTGTTTTCAAACTAAAAAATGTTTAATCATCTTTTTTTTTATCTTAATACAGTAGACTCTGGCTTGTGACTACCTAGCTTCTATATATAACTATCTGGGCAAAGGGAAAAGTTAAAAGTATTATAGAAAGGAATATATTAAGGAATATAGAAACTGACCATACTAAAGCAGCCATCTGTCCTAGTCGTAAAAGATTACAATTGTGTAGTTTTCAAATAAACTTAAAGAGTATTTTTGCATTAATCACTTATCTTAAAATGTGTAACGTGTATTATTAACAAAATGACAGAGTAGGTAGAAGTGGAACTTAATCCTATTTGGCTGTTTTATAATCTGACCTACCCTTCCATCATATTAGAGCAGATAGTTGGGAAATTGCTAAATTCAGAAATTTGTATCTGAATAATGTGGTATTATTTAAAGAACTCTCTTGACAACTAATGATTTCATCTACTGTGAATGTGAAAGCTATTCACATTTCTTTAAGAAAATATAGTCAGAAAGTTATTTTTTAAACTTTATAATAAAATAGAGAAAAGAAATTTAAAAATGAGTGATAAAAATTACTCTTTCCATTTATTAAATATACTATATGAAACAAAATATTCATAACAACTTTTCAAACAAAACTAATAAGTATAATAATATATAGTATAATAAAATTCTTATAGTAAAATAAAATTCTAATAGTATAATATAATAATATAGTATACTAAGAGTATAATAAAATATTATAATAGTATAATTGTTGAAAGAGTTAGTTTATATTGTTGTACATAGATGGCATCACAACTGCTGACATAGATGGCAGCAGTGCTGTCCTTAATGGATGGGTGATCGTGTAAAGCTAAGGATGGTGGCGCTAGTGGTAAAATTGCTCTTTCAAGACTTCCGGGTTACTGCTTCCGATATATTTTTACGCCACAGATTGAAGAAAAGCGCCATCATATTATTGCATCATATCTTTTGCAGTATTTCACATGTACCGAGTTCTTTCTTTCAGCCTTTAAACTTCAGCATTATCATATTAATATTATAATCATTAGAATATTTTCTAATTAGGCCAACTTAAAAAGATATTTTAAAGATATTTATAAAGATATTTTAAAAGATTTTAAAGACATTTTATTCAAATGTAGCCAAATAAGGGATAAAATACAAAACATGGCAAACCTTAAGAATTATTCAATGAGATATTAATTTTCTAAAATTTTTTTTGGCCTTATGACCTCTGAGAATCAATACATTTCTGAAAGCTCTTATGAATGGTACAATTATGTTTAGATTTGAACCCAAATTACAATAACGAAACTGCATAGAATATTATAGGCTTGTTCACACATCGCCTCGTAGTCATAACATAAGCGGAGGGATACACCGGAAATTTTCTAAATTTCTTCCGGTTTAAGGACGCTTGTTATTGTTTACATTAGACCACCCATCCATATAACCTCTTATCTGTAATAAAATATTTTGTCCAGTTTCAGCCTTCACCTAGGTATGTTGCTTCATTTCTTGTGACCTCATGCTTAATTATTGGGTTAAGTCTTTAATAATAAATAATATAATAAAATTCTAATACTAATAGCATAATAAAATTCTTCATGAAACTGGAAGCTATGCAGATTTGAATTTCATCTACCATTATGTGGAAAAGAAAATATTTATGATAATGATATAATAATATGATAATCAGAATAATTAACCATAATTAGGGAAGCTAAACATTTATTGTCTAGTTTTTTTTATCACATCTTACAACTAGTTGTAGAACTAACTAATCTAATTGTAAGTTATGCCTCATTACCTATGATAATTATTTGAGCTTCTTTAACTGAAGTGCCCAAAGAGTTATTAGCCAAGCATGAATAGACTCCTTCATCATCAATTTGAGCAGCAACGATTTCTAAAGTGCTGTTGGGAAATATGAGAATTCGCTCTTGCTTCAAGATTGGAATGTTATCTTTAAACCAAGCAACGGACGGCTTAGGTTCTCCATTCACTTTACAGTCAAGGAAAACATTACTGCCTTCAGTTGCTTTTGTATTGTGAGGCATGATGACAAATCTTGGTTTACTTCTGACCACAAGTTCAGCTACTTGCTCTGCAGAACCAAAATCATTGCTGGCTACACATTTGTAATGACCAGAATCTTGATCCTGAAATCAATAATTATATAGAATTAGTCAATAAAAAAATCTTCTTCTTCATTATTACGATAGCCTATGGGTGGGCCTAGTACTTCCTCAGAATCCTATTCCTTCTAGAATTCTATTTTACTCTTACCCAAGATTTTTCAGTAAAACATCTTTTTACAAATTTAAAATTGTCAGCAGCAAAAAATATATATCTTGAATATGTAGCCAAAAATATTCAAGGTAATAGTTAGTTTTAAATGAGTTACAATAACTAACATCCTTTAATTTTCAGTTGCCCTTTTTGAAAGAAATAAAAAATTTCAAGTTAACATGCATATCTTTTGACAGTATATCTACGCTATGCATATTGATTTGTACTTTTTTTTGCCAATTATTGACTTGGTCACTTATAGCACCATACTTACCATATGTTTTTATTAATTTAGGAGCAATTCTTCAAAATAAAGTTATATGCAAAAATTTCTTTAAAAATTACTTTTATATCTGAAAGATTTAATGTTACTGAAAAGAGACAAGATATTAAAAAAAAAATTTTTTTGCCTAGAAAAAGTGTCAGAAATTTCATTAAGCTTTTGGTACAAAATTTTTTTTTTAAGAGATCTAGTTGCAGGAATTTTTAAATTCATTCAGTTATAGATTTTTGATAGATTTTATAAACACTCGATTTAAGAATTTTTAAATTTATGAGGCAATTTTTATTTCACCCATTTCACAAAGAAACCTATTAATAAATAATAAAAAAGCATGCCTCAGAACTACAATCAGGTGGTGCAAAAAATTCATGCATCACATTTAAAAGTATATCTTCATAACTATTTCTTAATATTTTAAAGGCATGACGCTGACTTAAAAGAAGTCAAATGTTTGAGTCAAAATTTACAATTATTGATTTTTCGCATTTTTTATTCTACACTCCTTTTTAAGATTAATTTATGATTAAGGTGGCAAACCTTAGAATAATCACCTTTTTGACATGAAAAGTGGTTTTTCTTTTGAACAAAACAAGTTTTTTTTATTTTTACTCATTTTTCAAAATAATTTTTCAAAATTTAAGTTGTAAGTATTTTTTTAAAATAAAAGCTTTGTGCTAAAATATTTAAGCAGAGCAGTGAACTCAAATAAGAAAAAGTTTTAGAAGCACCTTGAAGCATTTTAGTAGATCTTTGCGTTTTGCTTTGTTGAAAATAAACAATCAAACATCTACGCTTCAAAGTGTTAAGCACTAAAATTATAAGTCATTAAACAACAAAAATAATAAATAATTAAACAATGAGATATTCTGTGTGAGATGGCTTGAAAAATAGATTAAAATACTTATTTATGCTTTTGTAATACTGTAAAAAGAAATATCCATGCAAATATTTTGTAAAATTTGAAAAGTTTAAAAAAATGTGAAGTAACATTTTAAAAAAATAACTAAATAAAAATATATAACTGCTTACGGAAGAATTATAGATAAATAAAGATCCATTTTGTGATAATTGAATATGGTGATTGAAAACCAGTTGCTGTCCATTTTTCACCCATATAATATTTGGAGATGGGTCTCCCTTCACTAAGCAGTGCAATATCACAGTATCTTTAACCTGAACAGTTTTAACACCAGAAGAACCCAATATTACTGGCGGTGCTGAAAGTAAAAAAAGTAATGAGAACTTCTTCGTTAGTAATATTTTGAATGTTAATTTTAAAAAAAAGTATAAATCAAACAAAATAAATAAAACTCAACTTAAATAAATAATCCCAACAAAATGAAGTGATAAGTTATTACTTGATTAAAAACTTCATTTGCTTCAAAAAATACAAATAGGAAATAACAGAGGACATGTTTCAAATGCTCAAAAACATGTGCCCATTTTCAAGACTTGCCAGACAAGAGAATAATCATGAAAAGAAACAAAATTGATTTGTAATAAATGTAAAGTTGCCACCTAAAATGGAAAAATAAAGGTGAGAAACCAAACAAGAAAAGAGGACAGTAGGCAAGAGAGAAAAAAGATAAAAAAACAGAACAAGAAAAATCACAGTGGCCGAGAGAGGCAAAACAGGGTAAAATGCATTTCTAAATGCTATGGAGAGGTGGTGAGGAATTAATGTCGTCAATAAGGTAATCAGCACAAATATAAATAAAACAACATAAATAAACTTGATTCCAGGGTATCAAGATGAGCTCAAGAGTGGAAATGATTTCAACATTGTTAAAATTAAATTTATGTCAAAGACTTTTGAAAGGTATGAAGTTTTTAATCATGTAAAGCTCAACCTATGTGTTTGACAGATGGATCAACAGGTGAAAAAAATAAATGTGCAGTAAGTCTAATTTCTCAACTTTAATTTTTTTACAGAAATTCTTTTTTAATAATTGATGAAGAAGAGTATCTTTAATGAAAAGTAATTACTTCTAACTCTGACAGCTGCAGCAGCTTTTCGTTCGCCAGCAGCATTTTGAGCTAAACATATGTATGTTCCTTCATCTTGTTTGCCAGCATTTTCAAAGACAAGTTTGCTTCGTCCAAGAACGGAGTTACTAGAACCTAAAACAAATTTTAAAAAATAAATTTAAACTGAGAAGAAAGGTCATAATTTCCAAATACAGCATATCCTTAAAAATTTTTATATACCAGTGATTTGAGTGTTATTCAATAACCAAGTAATTGAAGGATATGGATAACCATTAGCTTCACAGCTGAGAGTAAGCACATCTCCAACAGAAATATCCTGACTTTTAGGCAGATTTGTGATTATCGGTGGCACATGGACTTCAACCAAAACACCTTTGTGATCCCTTCCGACAGCATTAGTTGCAATGCAAACATATGTGCCACTGTCTTCAGGCTGAAAGGAAAAGAAACTCATCAATGAAAGGTTTTTCAAATATATTTTGGACTTTCCCTCTCATTCGTCTGCAAAAAAAAAAAAGAAGCAAATAGCAAACTTATTTCATGCTTATGTAAGAAGGTTGCAACCCCTCTGGTTTTTGCTTTAACTTTGATCGTAGTACATAATCTAGTTTTAGGGTTAAATTCTAATAAAAAGATGTAACAGTGCACTGAACAAAGAATATGTTTGATGCTCATTTTATAAAATTTTGAGTAGAATATTCTTTAGGGAACTATTTTGTTTTCTTTTTGTGTTCAAAATCGTTGACCTTTGAATTTTTTTTTGTCAATCTTTTCTTTCCTGAATTAAACTCCTTATTTCCCATTTTAATTTTTTTCGCTAAATTCTCTATATTGCTTTTTAAGATAATTGTGAAAATAAGGGGATTTTAATGAATGCTTTACACAAGCATTGCTCAGAACCCCTCCTCAACTAAACTAAGCAAATCACAACTGACTCCCCCCCCCCNAATGATTCCCTGATGGGATTTAAAGAAAACTATACAAAATCGTCATGATTATAATAAAATTAATTATAGCCATAGCAATAATTACAAAATAAGCGACTTAGAAACCTATTTGATAACTCATAATTCTTAACAGTTTCCTAAGACAATCAAATAACAATGAAACATTATAAATACTAACCATACAAATGTGCTTTAGAAAGAAAAAGTAATATGGCATTTTAAGGCTGTTCTTCAAAGGCGTTTCTGCCATATAAAATAACACTTTTTAACAAATAAAGTAGTGCGTTTTTCCCACTATCTCCAAACAGAAAAAAAATTGCGAAAATGCTTCTTTATTTTCGAAGTATCTTAAAGGGGTTGAAAAATGGCTACTTTTGGCCCTCAATGATATTGATAAGAGCCTTCATGTTCTTTGGTAGTTTTCTAATAAAATTTTAAAAATTTAAAACTTTTAAACATGCATGTATTAGTGCCTAATATGCTATAATAGGGACTACTACAATTGGCAGTCCTAATCCTAGTAAAAGTTTGAAGGGAAGTTACTTTAAAACATTCTCATAGCCATTTTTTAAAGATGTCCAATTACTGGAATTTCCGTTCTCCGGATTGGATTTGATTCCGATTGGTACAAATAATTGGAGTTCAATTGGTCGGTTGTTGTGTCCATGGGCAGTCTACTAGATTCTGCCATGGGCAGTCCACACAGTCTCAATTATCTGCAAGCAATTGTCCACATAGAGGTCTTCTTCGGGACAATCACTAATCTGCTGTATTACAGCTATTATAGCAGAGCTGTTGAACACATGATCAGGTCCGAGTTTGGTTCCATCCTCCAGAATTTTTATTCACCTGAAGTGCTGAGTTCTCAGTCTTGTTAGGGATTTTGCAAGCTTTCTGCCAGTGTTGAGTACGCAGGTCTAATGTTTCAACAAAATACCCCTATTTTCGAAGCTCTACTTTATATTACTTTTAAAATAACTACTTTATATCGGAACTCTACATCCGTTTTAAATATTTTATTGAAAATAATTGCCAGTAATAAAAGTTACAACAATAAAGTGTAATTTCTTAAAATATGTATGTCTTAACTATCAAATATAAGAAATATTTTTTATTAACATAAAGACTAAAATAAACTATTTCAGTTATTGGAGTCATTTGACAATCTTAATTAGAGCATTCAGAAAATACGTCTATTTACTCGAATATTTTCAATTATCAGCTTTCCAGATTTAGCAGAATTAGAAGCACCAGATATTGGTATGCCATTTCTTTGCCAAATGATATGAGGAGGAGGAAAACCTTTAGCAGAGCAGAATAATCCCATATTTCTTCCTTTCAAAACTACAAGCACAGATGGTCCAGAAATTGAGACAGTAGGTGGAACTGCAAAAAGAGAAACCATTAATTAGTGTTAAAGGATTGAAATAGAATTCAGAGAAGTCAATTATTTGATTTTCAGAAAATTCAGATATTTCCAATGATAAAAAGTAAAATAAGTACATATAAAATCAAAACAGTTGGGAAAACTAAATTGAAAAGTTCTCAAAAATAATTTTTAATGTACACAGGAACAAAATAATAAATCAATGCATAAAATATATCAAAAAATGCAATAAATATGAAAATAAATATTAAATTTCTGGCTTTGATGTTAGTAGTTTTTCCCTTTTATAAGACATCTTGAATCTGCATTGAGACAAATTTAATGAAAATTATGCGTACTTTTAATAATTTTCATCATAACTTTTTATTATGATTATAACTAAAGAGAAAGTAAAAGTGAATAAATGGGCCACGATGGCTAAGTGGTTACGGCTTTGAACTATTATTGTGAAAAACTCCAATTGAATCCCAAGTGGGGAGTTGAAGTCCACCAAGCTTTAGATTAATGGGGACCAGCTTGACAGGAAAATAAAGGCAGTGAGCGTGCAATTTTGACTATATTGTCATAATCATATAATTGGTCACGAAATTGTGGAACCTAATTTCCACGGCCCTCTCGCTCAAAAGGTGCGGTTGCGAAAATGCTTTGCTTTTCCAAAAATCAATGTGTGATGCAAAACGTAAAACTAAAACAGAATAAAAATTAACAATTCAAGATTATAAACTGGACAATTAGCAAAAAGATTTATGCAATTTTTTTGTTCTTCAGATCCTCTACAGGATGTTTCCCAGACTTCACCAGTAGCCCATTGTGTAGCTCTAGTGCAATGTAAATAAAGAACTACTAACTCCCAAATATAAATAACCAGTCCCTAACTATATCATACACAAAGTGCTGTTGGGTTCATAAATATCCTCAATACTATTAGAGTTTTTAATAGCAGCAACAAAAAAATTCAAAATTGAAAATTTTTATATAGTTGACATCTTTGTGTAATAAATCGATCTATTGCAAATTTTTTTTAAAAAATAAATTTTGTTTTATCAGTGTATTGAAATTCTATTTTAGCATTCATAGAATTAGCAATGAAAAGAAAATAGTTGTTTTACTACATTTCTTGAGATCTATCAGAAGCACTTATGTTGTTTTGTCAATTGCACAGCAGTATTACAATCATTTTGTAGTAAAGATCATTACTATTAAAATGGTTGAAATAACATTTATGAAACATTAGTCCTTAAAAAATCATTATTCATTAATGTTTCTTACTTCAGTTTTGTAAGTAGTTAATTTAAGTTAATATGTTGCTCACATAGTTTTTAATGAGCAAATATTTAAATTTTGTCATCCTCAAACAAAACAACCAATAAGTTTGGAATCATCACTGTATTAACAATTTCTGTTTTTTCACTCTTAGTAAGAAAGAATTGTAATTTTCATATCAATAATAATTGTAGTATAAAAATTTTTTACTTTTGCAACTTTTACAAGGGTAAAATGTTGATAGAAAATAATAATTCAGAGCAATCTGCATGAACAATTTTAATGCGTAGTTAAGTTAACATTCAATACTAACCTAAAACTATCAGGTCAATGTGCCTAACAGCTGAGCCTGCTTCATTTTTAGCAATGCATGTGTAGGTACCCATATCAGAAGATTGTGTCAGAGATATATGAAGATCTCCATTTGGAAACAACTTATATCGAGGGTTATAAAGATCGATTAAGGCTCCGTTATGTTCCCATGCTATAGAGGGGGGTGGGGTACCTTCAGATGAGCATTGAAGTACAGCAGGTTGCGCTTGAACAACTTCATAATTTGAAGGAGAATCATCAGATATCGTAGGAGATGCTACAGAAAATAATAAAATAATTTAAATATAATAGAATTCAATACGCTTATATTTGGAAGCAAAATCTTAAACATCATAAATATAACCAGTTCTATAACTGGGTAAATAACAGACAAAGATTACATTGAGTCATAAGTAACTCCAAGCTTAATAGGTTTGAAGTGAATCTTTTAGCCTGATAGTGAACTATATATCACCCAACCATGTCCAAGCACCTAGCCCAGTTTTCCAGGGTTCTATCTTGTAACTGCCTTGGATACATAATTTTAACTTCTGGCAGACAAAGTGGACAGCGCCTGAGCTTATATTACTCTTTTCAAACTTTTAAACCATAACAAATTGGACAAATTTTAGCCACATTATCTTTAACGTGCACCTTGCTGCACGTATATGCCAGTTGTTTAGATGGCTGCCAGGATCAAATTAACGGCTTCCAGTTCTCCAGTAGCAGAGTAAATCAGTACCGTCTTTAAGCATGGGCACACCCGGGCAGTGCTCAAGGGCCCCAGGAACTCAGGGGGCTCTTGAGAATCTCACTTTTTATAAATTGTGTTTAATAAACTATAAAATAAACAAAATTGCCTTATATTTTTTTTAAAAATATATTCTATTGCACAAAGTGTGTATTTTGTTTTTCTTCCCACAAATAGTGATTGATTATCATACAAACAATAATTTAAAAAGTTTATCACCAGGGAAACTTAAAAAGGCAACCGGAATCTAATTTTCAACTTTCTAATGAAGTTTTGATGTGGACTTAGTTTTTTGGGAAAATCAAACCAAAATTTTTCTGTGCCCGGGGGCCCTGCAAGTTGTAAATGACACTTTTATGGACTATAGGAAGACCTAAACAAACAGCTTCAATCACATTTTATTGATATAAAAATTAAAATAAATAAGATGTTAAAAAAATTATAATGCAATTTAAGTTTTAAAATCAATAAATTTGCTATCAAATAATTATTTCGTTTGAACAGTTTAGTTTATTTATAAGAGGCAATTATGTGATTTTTTATGCAGCACCTAATGGAACATCCTTTGTATTCGATCATTTAAATCAAATCAAATACATTAGAGAGAGAGATTCCTCATATTCCATTATATAAATGATATCATTACTACACTTAAATTATGTCATTACTAATTTACTTTACAAATTCTAATACATTTATTTCTGAATATTTCCAATGCATAAGTTATTTTAAACTTCCTAAACCCTTTGCTTATGGTGTATCATCACATGTGGTCCCCCTGCTGTAAGCAAAATGTTAATATATGCAAAAAAAAAAAAAAAAAAAAAAAAAAAAAAAAAAAAAAAAAAAAAAAAATAGAAAGAAGAAAAAAAAACAACAGCAACAATTCAGGTAACTCAGTTGATTTAGATCAGATAAATAATACAGTAGAGAACCGATTATCTGGAACGATCGGGACCATCGCTATTCCGAATAACTGATTTTTCCGGTTTTCTGGATAGCTACAAAAAGCCGTTTTTCTTATTGTTAAACCCAACTAAAAAAAAAAGATATTTGGAAATAATCTTGAAAAAACGAAGTAATACACTAATGATTATTTCCAAAATGATGGTAAGGTAAACATCTTTCAAAAAAGAAAGAAAAATCCTAAAATCTTATGAGGAAAAAAAAGAATTTTTTTTTTAAAAATGGCGGGAAAATTTATCGAATTTCGTTCCGGTTTTTTGGTTTTCCGGTTTACTGATTTCCGGATAATGGGTTCCGCACTGTATTAGGAAAATAGTTTTGATTAAATAAAAAAATATTACAGAGAAAAATTAAAATACATTGATGAAGAAGCAGATAGGGAACAAAACAGATCTAGTTAGGAAATCTACTCTCAAATTATTATCAGATGTAGAGTTATGTTATATTGTATTCTTGTTATCTACTTTATTTTTATGCAATTTTTATTCCATTATTTCTAACTGAAAAAAAAAATTATAATAAAGTTAAAGCATGAGATGAATTCAGCTATTTTAAATGAAAAAAGAACTTACTCAGAACATTTAAAAAGCGAGCAACTTCATAAGAGCCAGCTTCATTTTCTGCTAAACATTTGTAAGCCCCAGCATGTGATACATTTGCTGATTTTATGTATAAAGTACCATCGGGTAATAATTGACTATCTGAAACAAATAATTAGATGCTCTGAATTTTATACAACCAATAAAATAGGAAATTTCAATAAAAACTATATATATATATTTTTACTTTCATTTCCATTAATCAAGATAGAATCTTTATGCCACATTATTAGAGGAGCTGGATGCCCACTAGCTAGACAAGGAAGATAAACAGAATCCCCTGACAGAACTTTTTCATATAATTCATTATCCTTGATGACGGGAGGAGCTGAAAAATAATATAAATAAAAATAATCAAATTAAGGATAATACACATATACATTCCTTTTTACTCCAAATTGGAGCACAGGGCTTTTATTATAGCTTTCCAAATCACTCTGTTTGAGGCCAGAAATTTTGTTTCTCTTCATGTCTTTCCTATTGTTTTCAATTCACTTACATTGTCCTGCACCAAATATTTTTAAGTATTCCTCTTTATCGATTGCCCTGAGAGCCAAAAACTTGTTTTACTTTTAATTTTTTAGATTTACGTAGAACATGATCAATCCATTTTCGTTTACGTTTTTTAATTTCCAGATCAATCAGTTTATATTTTTCTTTTCTAAGGATTTCTGCATTACAAATTTCGTGGAACCACTTGATATGCAAGATTCTTCCTAAACAGTTGTAAATAAATACTTAAAGATTTTTCATGTTATTTTTCTTGCAGTGCCACGACACAGATTCATATAGTAGGACAGATTTAACATTAGTATTGAAAATTCTAATTTTTGTTTGTTTTTGTTTTTCCAGAATTTATTGAGAAATGCATAAGTGCATCAGGCTTTCTTTAATCTATTTAGTATATCTTCAATTCATTCTTTTAGTATATTCAATTCATCAATATATCCAAATCAATAAAGTTTATTTTTTAAATTTTTACTATTTTTTATTAACTTGAAATATTTAATTACTAGTAATTTGAAGTTAAATTCTATATACAAATGAATAAAAAACTGGTTTCAAAAAAGAAAGTTTTATGGTTACAAATGTTAATTATTGTGCTAACCAGAAGAAGACAAACCCTCTGAAGGATAAAACACTAATTATAAATAAATTTTCTTAAAATAATGATAACTAGGAGTTGTTAATTTAAAAAGTACACAGCTACCTAAAGTCTAGTTGAATGAAGTCAAATCATAATAAATAACTGTTGTATCAAAATTGTTACTACTTTTTTATATTTTAATTGCACAGTTTGAAAGATTTGGTAAATTTTTATTTGTTAGCGTTTTTTTAAATTGTAAATTTTTATTTGTTGTTTTATTGAATTTAACTAGGCTATTTAGAGGTGGGATTGGCTAACGTTGGAAATAGGGTCAATTGTAATCAATCCAATGATTAGGAAGGGAAGTTAAAGTTGGTTGGTGGATTGGTCAACAAATAAAGAGGACACTGAGATTTTAACATGGGAGCCAAACATGGTAGAAAATCTTGAAGAGATAGAGAAAGACTGATGATGTGCTTCTGATATATAGATAAAAAGCGAATTAAGATGTCCCCCGCAAAAAGGATGCGGTAAAGGAGGGTTGCATATCTTTTAATTGAGTCTTGGTGAGTTCTTTTTGATTAATCATTAGACCTTTTTGGTTAGAATTTTCAGCTTGTCCCCTAAAACTAGGCATTACATATTTTTATAAGTAAGAAAATGAGTAAAGATTTTAAATATTGCTCACTTTAAAGTTTTACCTTGTAAAGTTTACTTATTCTAGTAAACATATCTTTTATTTTCCTTAAATTTGTTTTAGTTTATCAATTTGCATTGAAAAATTTTATATTACAGCTCAATAATCTAAAATCAAAACAGACCTTGGATTTCAAGATCACCGAAAACATGCTTACATGTCTAACTATACTTGACAAGGAAGCTAAAGGTAGTTGCAAAACATTGTAGGCAGTAAAATTTTCAATACAAAATGGGGACCTAATGTGAGCATAGAAAATTAAATGTTACCTTTAATTGCAAAATGTAACAATAATCAGTTGCATTTACCTATGATTTCCAATGTGATTGTTTTAAAATCTTCCCCAGCTTCATTATTAACATAACAGGTGTAGTCAGCAGCATCTTTCAACTTGACATTGCTTAGAACAAGAGAAAACTTCTCCACCCTTATAGAGTGTGCCTCAGTTGCAACTATCGGTAGTCCACCTTTCATCCATGTGATATCTGGGGGTGGAACACCATCAGCAAAACAAGTCAATACTGCTTCACTTCCTTCCACAGCTTTCATAGATGATGGACTATCTTTTATAGTAGGTGGTTCTAAATAATAGGAGATAAAGTATGCTCAGTTATTCAGGCATTAATTATAAAAATATATACATAACTGAAGGCACTGAAATAATGCTTAAAAATTCAGAAATAAATTTCGATATAAAGATGAATTTAGTTAATTCTGTCTTGCATATGCTAGAACTAACATATTCAATTGTAAGAAGTTATGCAGCAACCATATATACTTAGACAAGAGGTGTATTAGAATAACAGTAATATTTAACTAACTTTGAAATATTATTTAGAGTTGCAAGGTTGTAAGTACATTAGACTTAAAGAGGATATTTGTTCAATTATGTATTTTATTTGAATAACACAAACAATAACATTAAAAAAAACAGATAACAGTTGCTAAGCCAGATGATTCCTCCTTGTATTAAAAAGTTTCAGATTAAAAAAATGAATCCAGTCATAAATTAATATGGTGATCAAAAGATAAACCCTTTAACTTGTTAATCTTTAACTCGTTAATCTTTAGTCAAACTTCCGTATAAAATGATAGAAATACAGGGTGTTTCAAAACATCTCTTTGAACATATATTTCTAGAATCTTTGCAGAACATGAAGAAAAGTACATGTATTAAGGGTTCCAAATGTGTATTTAAGCAAGGAAATTTTTTTATGAAAACCTGGTGAATCATAATAATGAACAAGACAAGAATAAAAACTATCAAACTCTGAATGATAAAAGCAACTGACAGGTGAAAAGAAATAATTAGAAATAACTTCAAGTTACATGTTGCAATCTAACGGGTTTTGATATTTTTTATCCTGTCTTCAATAAACATTCGTAAAATTTTTATAAGAGTTTTGTTTTTCACTTTCAAAAAAATATTAAATTATCACCCAAAAAAGACTTACTTTTCTTTATTTCATTTCTAATCAGGGTCATTAAAAATATATATTAAAGAAAGAAATTAGAGAAGACATTTTATATGGGCAACCTGTAGCATGTAGTGGCTAAAAAAGTTTAGAAATGGCTAAAATATATGCCATAAAAAATAATGATATTAAAAAAATATAAATCAAAAATACCTAAAACAGTTAACATGAAATGGCGAGAAGAATTTCCAGCAGGATTGTTGGCAATGCAGGTGTACTGACCCGAATCCCGGAGTTCAGCATTTCTAATAGTAAGCTCAGTTCCTCGGTGACCAATATGAAACTGGGAGGTGTATGTTGTTATGATTGGTAATCCATTCTTCAACCAAATTATTGAGGGTGTAGGAATTCCAGTAACTGAACACTGTAAAGTTGTTGATTGTTTGACAGAAGATGTAACAAATCTTGAATCATTGCCGCCTTCAAGTTTAGGTGGTACTAAGAAAAAGAAAAGGTTGTCAACCCCAAAAAATAAATAAATAAAATAAACACATAAATTTTTAATAAGTAAACTTAAGTAATTAGGATATAACATTTTCTAAAAATCTTGTTAATATAATCTTTTAATTTCTCATAATTAGTTTTTCACAATACACTCAGCGAACTCGGCACTTACAAACGTTTGCTTAAATCTAAATTTTTATTTTAAATTATCAGAATGTAGTCCAAAAACAGCAATATATATATATATAATTATAATTAGTATTAAAAATTAAAGCAATTTTAAATATTTAAGTTAAATTAGAAAGTAAATTAAACCAAAAAACAGTGTGACTAAAGCACAAATGAAGTATAGAAACAGACATACCCCTAAAGTTTTAGTTCTATAAATAAAAACTTTCCTCAGTATTAAAACACCAAATGTTAACAAAAATTTTCAAAAAGATTTTCAATGTAACTTTATAATTTCTTCTTCACTGTTTACTTGGATGAGCAAGCACACATAAACACAAATATTTGTCTAAATTTTGCTTCATGTGGTGGGGAAAAAATAAGCAATCAAATAACTGTTGTTGGAAACCTGATAGTGAGGCTTTTAAAAATTAATTATGATAAAAAACATTGCATTGAATGCAAATAAGAAGCTTCATATACAATGTGTGGAAAAATAAAGTTTATAAAATAAATAAAAAATCATTATAAAATGCAAGATTATATGCTATTTATCACATTACAATTTGACTAAAAATATTTTGATACTACCTCAAAATTAAAAAAGTTTCCAAAAAATTACAACATAAAGCAAAATAGTTGGCAATCTTTACTCAAATCAATTATAAATTCATTTTAAAAAGCAAATAAATGACTAAGGCAATAATTTAAAAGAATGGTAGACTCACTCAAATTATATCTGGCTTTTGACCTATTATATTTTAACTCAAATAACATTTTTAATATTTTAAAAATAACTACTAGACATATTATTGTAAGATTACACTGAGTTTAATAACTCCCTCTTACTTAATTATTTTGAACTGCTTCATAAGGATATTAGCAACTAATTTTAATATTGTAATTCATGTCACAAAAGCATACAAATAACTTATTTTCATTTAAGTTGGTGTCCGAAATAAACAAAAAACAATCATAATTCTACAATAAATTAAATTCAGACGAGGAAAAGAATTCAAGAAAATACCTCAACTATGTAAATTTTATTTTACTTACCTAAAACTTGCATATTGAAATCTTTAGTTATTTTTCCAGCAACATTGCTAATCTCACAAGTATAAGTTCCATTGTGGCTAGAATCAACATTCAAGAATTCTAAAATGTCCCCTTTAATGACAATGTTTTCATCACTTGCAATTACACTTCCATCTTTAAACCATGAAATATCTGGTTGAGGATAGCCTTTAACCGAGCATTGCAATCTATTTTGAGACCCAACTACAGCAGAGATATTATCTCTTTTCTCTATTTCTTCATCTAAGGTTGGTGGAACTAAATAAAAGTTTTATAATAGAATAAATCTAAACTGGAATTAAACAATATGATAATTACCAAATAACAAAACCTCAATGCATGCAAAAATGTTATATTTTTTAAAAAGAAGTAAAATGCTTTCAATATTTCTTTATACTTTTAAAAAACTGTAACTGTAAACAGAAAAAAAACATTTGAAAAAATCTCAGTCCAGCAAAAATAACTTCATCATCTCAAAATCCTCTGCTAATTCACGATGGAAATGAAGTGGAAATCATTTTTGTCATTATACAAAATAAGCTTATTGAGTTTTGCCTAATTCACCATGGAAATGAAGTGGAAATAATTTTTGTCATTATACAAAATGAGCTTATTGAGTTTTGCCTTTGCCACTCGATCAATGCAATAATTATTAAAATTACATAGATATTAAAATTCTATGTATAAAATTCTATTAAATTTTAAACTAAAAAAATAAAACTAAGGAAGAATGAAGCTAATTTAATTCAATGTAATTTTTTTAAAAAAAACTTTATTTAATGCTATCAAAGAGCTTAATGATGCTTAACAACAGCTTAACATTTTTAAGTAGAAAATTATGTTTATTAATTGCAAGTCATAAATGTATAAAAACAAAATAAATATAAAGTATTCGCCATATACACAATATATATAAATATCACAGTTCATTCGAGCAATTGTTTGTTTTTTTTATATTCAAATGGTTCTACTCGTTTAAAGTAACTTCCACTATACCAAAATGATTGATCTATTTGATAGTTGCTTTAAATTATGGAAATAAAAATCCATAAAAAGTTTTGAGCTGAAAAACATAATTTTAAAATAAATATAAATTACATAATTTGTAGATATTTTTTATTTTCTTCTATATTTTATACATTATATGGCATCAAAAAATTTAACTTTAATGTTAAAACAAAAAAAATCTGTTATTGTAAAGCTTGTAGTTCTAAACACTCATAACTACATACTGGTAAAACTAGATATTTAAAAGGCATAAAAAGAAACATAACTTTAATGTTACAGTAAAAAATATCACTTAATATAAAGCTTGTAGTTTTAAACACTCAAAACTACTCACAAAATCGTTCAAGAAGAGAGTAACCAGGAATTTGAAAGGTACAAAAAAAATTCAATTGTTCCAAAAATATCATTATTTATGTTGTATTACTGATTAATATTTTAAATAACTATAAATCAATAATAACATAATCAGTAATATAATAGTATAACCAGTAATATAATAATATAATCAATATAAAAGTAATGTAATCAATAATAATATTTAACAATACTTCTTATTTACATGCACTGATAATAAAGAGTAATATCCATTACTCACATTTCTTTTTTAAAATGAATCAAATTTAATAAGAATTTTTAAAATTTTATATTGATTATGGTATAAGAATAAAAATCTAACCAGGAGAATTACATAGGAGAGAAATCTATTTAGAAAAATACAAAGAAAGAAAAGATAATTTTGTTAATTACAAATAATTAAAGAACAAACCTAGAACAGTCAAGTTAAATTTTTGCTCCACTGTTCCAGCATTATTTGTAGCAATGCAAGTGTAGTTCCCAGCAGCAGCCTGCATGGTATATGTAAAAAGTAATGCATAATCATCATTAATTAATTTAACGTTGTCTTTTTCTGTTAAAGGCAATCCATTTTTCAACCATGTTATGGTAGGGGGTGGAGTACCCGATACATCACAATCAATGCGGATGGATTTACCCAAAACAACTTGATATTCCTTGAATTTTTCATCATCATCTATTCCAGGTGGTACTAAAAGTTAAAAAAAAAATTTAAGAATAATTTTCATTAACTAAAAATAAATAACGAAGGTTAAATGTTTTTGTTCTAAGTGAAACAATTAACAAGTTAAACTATTACATCTCTGGACATTTTACTATACAGTAGGACCTCTACCTAACGAAGTTGCTAAATCCTGATAATAAGTTCGTTATATGGAAAATTTGCTAAATAGAAAATCACCTTTTAAAATACTTAAACAACACAAAACAGGTTTTAAATTCATGAACACTGGGCATAATTAAAATAGCAATTGATGCACCCTTATCTTGTGAACTAGTATCTACTATTTATTTTATAAATCTTAGCCATAAAAGAAATCAGCATGGAAAGCAAGAAAAGGGCAAAACATTATCCAGTGCTACACTATCATGCTACATACATTTTCAACTAAAAAAAAAAAGAAGCTAAATTTATGTATAAAATTATAGCTGCATTTATTATAAAAGTAATTTTAAACATGTATTACCAGAATAGTTCTTAAGTTTACTACTACTGATAAATCCGTTAATTTGGAAAGTTTTTTATTTGAAATGCAAACGAAAAGGGAAAAGAATTTTACTGCTTTGTAAAACATTACATAAAGCAGTGGCTTCGAAAATTAATTCAAGTTCATTTCCCCCATAAAATGCGTTAACAAGTTTGAAATGTTCTGAAATATTTTGGAAAATAGGGAAAGTGAATCTCAAAGAAAAGTTAGTTAAATGGAAAATTCACTTTGCTATTTGGAAGTTATTTTATGAAGAAATTTCCAAAATGTTCTTGGTTCCTCAAAAAAATTCGTAAAATAGAGAAATTCGCAAAATGGAAGTTCGTTAAATAGAAGTCCGACTGTATTTTATAACAATCTTGAGTTTATGGCTATCAATGTTCAACTCTGTAATCTTGTCATTTTTAACGAAACAGAAGAAAAGCATCGAGATAAACTAACCTTTGTGTAGGACTTTTTGATGGAACTAACCAGCATTTGTATTACATTTGTAAAACCAAGAAAACATCCCACAGTTAGCCTGATGGCAAGGGGATTCTAACCCATGTTCTGTCTACCACTGAGGATATCTATACAAGCACTGTGGTTGGTGTGAGTTGGAAGTAGAATTCGAATCAACCAGCTGTTGCTGGGATTCGAACCTGGGTTTTTTCGCTGGAAGGCAAATGCTCTATCTTCTGAGCAACCACCGTCTTTCAGAACATTTATATGAAAATTTTGAATAAATTGTATTATTTATTGACAAAAAGCATTTTAAAAAAATAAGTCAATTGGTTTTTCACAATAAAATACCCCCCCTCCCCCGTTTTAAAAGACATATAAGTTAATAAATATATATGAAAAATATACAATGCACGACAAATAGAAGATTTTGGTGCATATAACTGTTTTAACACAATAAGCATAATCTTCAGTACCATCACTAATACTATACCTGAAAATACATTGGTGAGAATAATAATTGCTCAATGCTCATTGTATTTAAACAGCTGTTATGCTCCTAACGTTTGCTTAATGCTCCTAAATTTTAAAATTTTGAATCCTAACATTTTTTAATTTTATGTCCTTCAACATAATAATTCTAAATTAAAATAACACAGTTTTTTTAAATTTTAAGAAGACCATTTAGCATTTTGGTTCAATTCTTTTGAACATATTCATAAATTAGTGAAAGTCATTGGTCAAAGTAGTATACAATAACTACAAAAGCGCTCTTCTCCAAATAAGGTGAATCCAGGTTTGAATCCCAGCTTTGACTGGTTTGTAAGAATTTTGTTCCTGGCTTGCCCCGACCATAGTGATGACATAAAGTATCTTCAGTGGTAGACGGATCATCATGGGTTAGAATCCCCTTACCATTGGGCTAACCGCGTGAGGCTTCCTTCAGGCAATGCAAATGCGGGTTAAATCTAATAAGTCCTTCTTGAAGGATGAGTTTGTCCTAATGTTTGATTCAGAAGTTTCCTTGTCTTCTGGATTGGGTTCAAATAGGCAAGCGAAATTTTTTATTTTAACAATATCAAGTACGAAATTTATTTTAACAACAATCAGAAAACTCTTGAATTACAAATTTTTAAATTATTTTTAACTGCATAATTTAAATGATAAAAATCAAAATTTGAACAAAATCGGTTAAATAATTCTGGATAAATAAAAATTTAAAAAAAAACTTCTTTAATACTATTCGGTGTTTTTAAATTTCCATTTTTAGATTTATATTTTTTAGATTAGATTACAAAATTTTAAATTTACATTAAAAGACTCAAATTATGGATCACTTTCCTGCCAACCCTATTGGGTCCATATTTTCTAGATTGATGGTATCCCCTATATTTTGTGGGTTGAAAATTCCAAATATGTTTATTCAGTTAAATTATTTTTATGTATAATTTTGCAATTTAAAATATCACCTGTAAAAAATTAATTAGCAGTTTAAGTTTAGCCCCTCCAACCATTAAGATTGCAGCTTAGTACGATCAATTTAATAACTAGATTTCAAGTTAGTTCTATTTTCTATTTTGAACACTGTACATCGAATAAAGCAACAAGCAGCTAAAAGAAATACATTACCAGAAACTTTAACTTCAAGATCTTTTTTAGAGTGTCCGGCAACATTGATAGCTTCACATGTATATGTTCCAGCATCTGAACTTTTTAAGTTCAAAATATCCAGAAACTGCCCTCCGCCAGATGATATGAACCTCTCTTTATCATTGATTTCAATGCCGTTTCTGTACCACACAACACTGGGAAATGGCAATCCATTCACTTCACAATGGATTCTGACAGACTGATTAACCACTGGAGTTACAGAGCCCTGCAATACTGTTTTTTCTATGGTTGGAGAAACTATGAAAAAATAAAATAAAAAGGTAATTATAAGAAGAGAGTATTTTAATAATCTCGCTGTAATATAGGGAAAGATAATGCACATGAAAGAAAAAATATATATATGAGTTTGTTATCATAATTCAAAACTTCATACGAGCATAATAAAAGGTATAAAATATAATGGGCTGAAATTTGCTGCATAAAATCTAATATTACTTTATGAATATATAGTCATAATTCCATCAAAATACAATATTTTAACTGTAAACCACGACACCCCAATCAAGAGCATAGCCCTGTTTTTCACGATTCTATCTTTTAACAGCTACATAACTTTGTCTCCATCAGACGACATGGACAATACCTGAATTGGCACTCTTTTGTGTAACCTTCCACTCCGCAAACAAGGACAGGACTTTCAGCCACAACAGATTTATGTGTACCTTGCTGTAAATACCCACCGGTTGCTTAGCGACTGGCAGGATCAAACTCACAACTAACCTCTCCATTAGTAGAGTGAGTGAACAGGGGTCTGTTCAGACATTTCGTGAAAGGTCCGTTTTTGCAAAATTGTGAAAAAATTACTCGTATTTTGTGACTATAAAATAAACGTTAAGTCACCAACCAGGGTCCTGCATTTGTGAATTTGTGCAAATAGGGTCCATTATTGCAAAAAAACTTTTTCAAGGAGTTTTNTCCATTAGCAGAGTGAGTGAACAGGGGCCTGTTCAGACATTTCGTAAAAGGTCCGTTTTTGTAAAATTGTGAAAAAATTACTCGTATTTTGTGAATATAAAATAAACGTTAAGTCACCAACCAGGGTCCTGCTTTTGTGAATTTATGCAAGTAGGGTTCTGTTATTGCAAAAAAACTTTTTCAAGGAGTTTTTAAATTGTAAAAACATACAAGATTATGCTCAACACTGTTAAACTATAATTAAAAAAATTAAATTTTAAAAAATAAACAGCAATTGCTGCTACTAAATTAGAGATGCAACATACAAATATTTGGTATTTAGCCTATACTGTTGAATGCAGAATTTAGCCTATACTGTTACGGACAAATAAAGGAAGAAGTGTCTGCTGAAGACAAAATTTAGTTTGTTTATATCTGTCTTTCTCTCTCCCCCCCCCCTTCCTGGGAAGGGTTTATTTGATTAACAAAACAATAATGAAGATTAAAAAATTTGTGAAGGGTCGGATTAAAAGATAAATTATTTTGCGAAGGGTCCGTTTTTAAGTTAAAATATTTTGTGAAGGGTCGATTTTTATGGAAAGATATTTTGTGAAGGGTCTGTTAACGGACCCAAATTTCTTGTAAACAGACCCCTGGTGAAGCCTTTACCACAGGGCTAATGTAAGTAAGCCAACAGGAACAATTACAATAGATAGCTATTCAAAATTATTTAAATTTTTATTAAGTAATTTCAATACAAATATTCACTCTTCCCATCGCCCAAACATTAGTGATGATTTCTCATAATTATTGTTTGTTACAATAGCAAGTTTAAGTTCCCTATAAGGGAAGTGTTTTATCAAACACCTATTTAATTACTGACAATTAGTAATTAATAAAAAAAGCTTACCATGAACTCTAACAAACAATTCAGCTTCAGTATCCCCAGCTTCATTGAAAGCTAAGCACGTGTATTTTCCAGCATCAGATGCAACAGCGTAAGAAATCTTAACAGTTTCTCCAAAATTTGAAAAGGCCACACGAGGACCAGGCAAAAGCATTTGAGAACCTTTGTACCAAATAACACGTGGCTTTGGAACACCGCTAGCTGGACAGTATAATGTAATTTCAGAATTTTGCAGAGCTACTTTGTGAAGCCCATGACTTGAGACATTGATTGTAGGGGGAACTGAAATTAAAATTATAATATAAACAAAAATCAAGTAATAAAAAATAAATTCTGCAATAAGTGAAATATCAACTTGGCTTGCCATGCAAAAGACAGAAAAGAAAACTGTTCTATTTTTTTAAAAAAACATACACTGTCTATGTTTTAAAAAACATAAGAAATATTGAGAAAATAAAGAAAATATCTAATCTAAATATCTAATAAAGTTATTTTATATAAAATGGTCATGCTTTTAAACCTTTTTTTTAAAATCTGAAACAAAATTATTAGCTTGAAGGTCATTACTTCGTTATAATAACAGTTATATTTACTGTTTAATTAAATACTATATATTATCACTTACAGTATTTAATAACACAATGAAGATTAGTTCTTAAAATATGTTAGTACAATTAAATTTTTCAAACAGAGTATTCTACCTAATTAAGAAAAAAAAATTTCTATTAATATAATAAAAATTTGAATTCAATTAATTTGAAAGAAAAATTTTTTAGAAAACCAAAATAAAATTTATTATAAAATTTGCAAAAATTTCTTCATAGTATTTTGAATAAAAATAAATTAAAAGATAAAGGGGAATATACATAAATACATAGAACATACAAGTAGTGTACACAAAGTTTTTTTTCACTTACTATAAACGGTTAAATTAAACAATTTTTCGTCAGATCCAACTTCATTTTCAGCTTTACAAGAGTAGATTCCAACATCTTCTGCAGATGCAGAGGAAATTTTTAATTTTCCGTACATTAGAATACTCTATAAAAGAAAAAAATAATGATTTTAGCTATATTTTATTGAGCTTTTTTAAGTCTTTAAAGAAAAAAAAATTTTGAACCCCAATCTTTTGTTTCTTACTAAATGCTTATAAAACATTTATAAAAAGGAAAAAATAAAATTCTAACAATAATTTCCTTAATAACAATTTTTCTTGATAATTTTATCATTAGTTAAACTTAATTATAAGAAATAATTTTTACACACAACAAATGTTTAAAATTTTTTCTTTATCGTTATTGTAACGAAGTTAACAATATTCAAAAGCAACTTAAACAAAAAATATTTTATATTTCTTTGTTTTAAAAGAAGAAAAAAAACTTTTATTATAAGCAGCATTATTTAAGAAAATAATTGAACAATCTAAAGCACGTTTATTCCATGCTAAAAAAATGATGTTTAAAGAATTTTAAAGTACTTACAGTATTATGTTGCTCTACCAGTAAATTATCATCTTTGAACCACTTTACTCTAGGGGGAGGATGTCCAGCAATAGTACATTCAAGTACAATAGAATGATGTTCCTTGACATATGTAGAAGTAATATTTTCTGAAGGGTTTTCAATTTTGGAAGGTGCTAAAAGAGAAAATAATAAAAATTAAGAGATTCAGTTGATGCTTTTTCAAGCATCAACTATATCTCTTAATTTCGCAATTTTATATAAAGAAAGTACTATCAGTACCCCTGGTAGCAGAAATCCCCAGGACCAGCAAACGCTACTTATTATCACTGCACAGCATCCAATTGCAGCAGATTGACTCTACATATTCTGCTACCAGGTTGGTACTAATACCATTAGCCCAACTAGTATCACAATATCAATCAATAATAGAGTTTTCTTATCCCTTAATAAATTATATATTACAAAGAATTTAGCAAACAAGTTTATAACATACATAACCCTTGTGATAAAAACAAAATTGACTAATATTTAGCAGTTTTTTATACAATTAAAAGACAATTCAAATATTCTATTAACATTTGTAACAACTGCCAAACATGGTGAATTTATAGCATTAAATTAAACAATTTAAGTCTTACAATATTTAACCTATCTCAATAGACCGACTATCAAACTTTTGAAGTAAATATTGGATAAAAATAGGAGTACTGCTCTAAGGAACTAATGGAGTTTGTTTTCTCTATAAATAACTTGGAATATGCAGTGCAGGGTAAATTTGCAGTAAAATAAAATGTGCAAATGAAAATCTATTTTCAATAAAGTGAGAAAAAAATGCATTAACTTACATTATGAAAAAATGATAATAAGAAGTTAAAAACAACTATTTCATATTCATTTTAAGATGCAGCAGAAAGTGTTTTAGTGTAAAATGCCTCAATTTATAAATTCAAGCAATGCTTTGCTTTCAAAAACAACACAATAACTAAAACCTTTCAAATTAGCTTCAAGCAGGGGTTCAACTCAAAAGTCCTGAAAATTTCTTGAGTAAAATCATTCAAAAAATTTATATCTTCATAAATTTAAATAATTGAAATTTTCCTTTTTAAAAACACCCAATGAAAAAAAGCACCTTTAGGGGCTTTTAAAAAACGAAAATAAGCAGTTTTAAGAACTTTTTCAAAACGCTACGCACAATGCTAAGAGGTATTGGTTTAACCTACTGAGGATATTTAACGCCACAATGATTGCCAATGAGAACTCTTCTAACAGAAAATAAAATATCTAAGGTTTGAACTAAAGTTGCATACATAAAAACTGAACATATTATCTAAGTTCTATTAGTACTTCAATAGACATTACATATTTATTATAGATCATTTTGGAAATTATTTTTTTATAAATAACATTAATATTCCTAAAAAGTTTAAATTTCCTAAAGAGTTTATAGTAATTTAAAATATATTTACATTGACTTACCCATAACTAACAAATCAATTTCATGTTCAGAATCTCCAGCAGAATTGCTGGCAATGCAGCTGTAAACACCAGAGTCTTTAGATTGCGATTTCATAATTTTAACTTGTTTATTGTCAGGTGAAAGCTCCATGTGAGGTGGAAGAGATTCAGAATTGATGTTTTTCCCATTTTTCCGCCAGGATATTGTTAGTCCATAGTGAGAGTCATCAAATGGGCAATGCAACACGACATTTTCACCTTCTTTCAATCTTTGCTCATATTTCATGAGAAGTGGATCAGGTTGAGGGGGTACTGTGGAATATATATGTTATGCTTAATAAAGAATAAAATAAAATCACAAAAATTACAGGATCATTACAAGTTTTGCTTAAAAATCTATTACGATTTTTATAAATACAAACATATTTTTTTAAGGAAAGGAGGTTTCAGTAGATATTTATTTATTAAAGCAACAAGCGATGCAGTATTCGCCTTCGTGAGTTTATCATTATTTGTTTAATATTAACAAGGGTCAAACCCCGCTAATATCTTTATGACATTTTCAAAGAGAGAAACTTTGCACTAAAAAAAAATTGCATCTTTTTTGGGTGGAAGAAAGTAAATAGACTTTTAAACATATTAAACTCGAATTTTGCATTTTTTCTTGATTTTCATGCATTTTCTGATAATTCTGATATGCGAAAGATATAATTTAAAAAAATTAGGAAAGAAAACCTTCCCTAGTTAATAATACTAATATTATTGACTTCCCTAGTAGTATTTCAATAAATATTATTCAAAAAAATATTTATTTATAGAGAGCCCATTAAAAAAATATGCACTAGTTCTATTATGCCAAAGCCTCAAATTTTCTTCCTTTGTTTGGAAATTAATTAAAAATATTTTAAGATAGATCTCTTAAGAAAGAGCTCTTTTTTATTTTAAGAGAGCCAATTTTTATTATGAATTCTTTAGAAATAAATTCTTGATATATAGAAAAATTACGAGCTCTTGAAAAAGGAACTAATATGTACCTGGATTGAATAAATATTACCTAATGTAAGTAATTTTCATTAAAATATTTATTATAACATATTTCAAATACATAAGCAACTAAGTACATAAGTTCACACTTCATTTTTAATAGAGAAATAATTAAAGTACAAAATTTTTAATGATTACCCATGACATCAAGAACATATTCTGTTTCATCACTTCCTGCATCATTGAAGGCAAGACAAGTAAATATTCCAGCATCATTTTCTTTCACTGAATTTATTTTCAATAGTTTCCCATCTAAACAAAAACAGAATATATGGTGCATTTTTTATACAAAAATATTTTATTTAATAAAGAATTCAATAACGTTTTATTGAATTTATTTAAACTTATACTAAATAAAATCATATACCTTCTAAAATTTGATATTTTGAGTCGGTATTTGAACGTAAGATGAGTTCTCCATCTTTTAACCATGAAATTGTGGGAAAAGGAATTCCAGACACTGGACACATTAGTACAGCACTTTGATTTAAAAGGGCTAAGGCATCATTGTTCAGGTTGGAACGGTCAATTGTAGCAGGAGCTATGGAAGAAAATGAAAATCTAAAGAAAATAACTACAAAACTACCTAATATAGAATTTATTTCATACAAATTTTTAATAGAATATTTTAATTTCTTTGAAGCAAAATTCAAAATTCCTTTGCCCAAAAATAATACCCGGAAATATGTTTGTAACAAGTATATTATGCGATAAAATGAAATGATTTTACATATTTCTGTAAAGAATGTAGATGATAGGAGTTTAAATTTGTAAAGATTTATAAGCTTAAGCTTTTTAAGTTCTTTAGATGCACACAGTAGACCAGTGCTCCCCAACCCACCGGTCCGCAGACCGGTGATCAAATGGTACCGGGCCGCCCATTTCATTGAAACTGAATTTAAATTCCTACGTTTATACCTCAAATTAAAAATATTTGTGTTTCATTAAAATTTCATTTATTTAAAAAAAAGGGGCCCAGAAGGTAGTGACATTAATTTTTTAATGTTTTAGAGTAAAAAAAAAGAAGAAAGAAAATCTTCGGAACTATTTTCTCTTTCAATTACGTTTTAATAAAAAAGAAATTTACATTGGAACTAATGAAGAACTTCGTCTTCTCTCTCGATTGTGACTTACTGATTTAACGTTCAAGTAAGTTAAAATGTTAAATAACTTTATATTTATTTTTTGGCGTAACTGTATTTTATTTTGAAGGCATGTTTAAATACAATTAAATTAATAATAAAATTAATAAATCAAAAATAATCTAAAATATAAACAATCAACGCACTCCCCCCTGGGCCGCGGTAAAATTATCAAACCTTGACAGATCCGCGGTGATTAAAAGGTTGGGGAACACTGTAGTAGACTATAGGAACTATGCAAAAATTCAATATTTGAGTATTTATATATTTTTGCTACTATATAAGCATTTGAGTATATCATTTTACAGTAAATAAGATATTTTTTGAGCAAAAAGAAAAGTTTTTTCAAAATCTTAGAGTGGCCTTAACAAAAAGATAAAGCAACTTACTATGAACTTGAATATTAAATGATTTTTCATTTTGACCAGCAGCACTAGATGCGATGCATGTATATTTTCCTGAATCTTCTATTCTGGTCCATTTAATCAAAAGAGCAGAATTTTCTTCTATAAATCGAACGTTAGGTTCTAAGAAAGGATCAATGAACACGCCATTCTTCATCCAAGTGATGCTGGGTATTGGATTTCCTTCAACATTGCACTTGAGTTTAGTAGGTTTATTGACATGTGCTACGGAATCCTCAGAGGTTTCACCATCAATTTGTGGAGGAACTGGAAAATTAAAAATAAAAGGAAACTATTTTAAATTTAATATTTTATGTAAATAGTTTATAAATATCTAATAACTATCTAAAATATCCAAAATGAAATGTTCTTAATTTTTTAAAACAATGAATCAGAAGATATTCTTATTCATAGCATCAATAGAATATATAATTTTCAAAATAAACTATTAAAGTTGACTTCTTTTAAAATGAACTCGCTATACATCATTGTACACTTTTACATTACAAAGCTTACTAACTTTTTTTAGGTTAAGTTATAGCAGGTAAAGCTCAGTTTAGATAGGTGGAAATTTTGTTAGAAAAAATGGAATTAATCATTTTTATCTATCTATCATTCTCTCTCTATATATATATATATGCACCAAAGAGCCATTACATTATGACCACCCTGCTAATAACATGTAGGACCACCTTTAGCCCTCAAAACTGCTAGCACCCGCCGTGGCATTGGTGCTGATAGGTAGTCTGAGGTATCTGGTACCAAGCGCTCACCAACTGGTCCTGCAATTCCCTCACATTGCGAGGGGGTAGCATAGCAGCACGAAATTGGTTTTCCAAGTAGGACCATAAATGCTCTATTGGATTAAGGTCAGGAGAATTTGGGGGCCAATACATGACTTGAAAGTCACTGGAATGTTCCTCCACGATTAGATCCTTATGACATGGTGCATTAGCCTGTTGGTAAACACCATCGCCCGTAGGAAAAACTGTTGCTATGAATGGGTGAACCTGGTCTGCAACTATGTTCAAGTAGCATACGGACGTCAGGGATTGTTCTATGAGGATTATGGGTCCTAATGTGCCCCATGAAAACATTGTTCCTGGGCGAGAAACCATGAAAACCTGGGCGAGCTCATTGTTATAGATGGAGGGTGGTCATATTGCAATGGCTCTTCGGTATATATATACACATTCAATGTATAGATCAAAGATGAAAAAATCCATTTTTTTCCTAACAGAATTCGAATTTAATTTTTTTTTCAAAATATAGTATTTTTCAAAATATATTTTTAAGGATTACAGAATATTTACAATAACTGTTTACTTTTGTAATTAATTGTTACACAGGTTTCACAACATTAAATGTTCAAAATTAAGGTTTATCTGTTAAAATATTAAAAAAAGGTTTTAAAGCTTTCAAAAACATACTTGTAAGTAAAAATTTATAATACTTTTTATAATGTACAAATTCATTTTTACCACACATCATCATAATTTTTAGTCAATTTATGATTATCATTAAAGGATAAAGAAAAAAATAAGATGCTTACTAAAAAGATAAATTTTAAAGCTTTTCCACCATAATAAATTTATTACATAAAATTGGAAAAGTTTTTTCGTTTTTTTTTTTCAATAAATATTAGCAGACATAGGGTTTAACTAAGTTGAAGTTCTGTATTATTAAGGGAAAAAGCTATGTTATTAATTTTGTTTAATTAGGTTCGTAGCAAAGTTGTAAAATGCATTTGTATTTAAAATTCCTTTTTGTCCAATAATTCGCGCAAAGTAGTTTTATAGTCCTCTTGATTCAATCATATTAAAATTAATTTCTTTATTTATCTGGTTTTAAAATCAACCAATAATTTTTAACAAAATTATTACTTTCAAGTAACAGGTAGCACCTATTGCCTTTATGCCATATTTAAAGTATAAAAAAAAGGAATTAAGCTGGTTTTTTAAAATGAATATACGAAGTTACATTACAAGACACATTGCAAAAGAATTTCCAGTAAAAATGATTAAGATCAAATGGGTTAAAAAATATAATTTAATGTACATTGTATTAAATATTACGGTTAAAAAAATAGCAAAAATTGTCAGTTGGTTTTTTGGGAATTACATTTCATTATATTATAGTAATATGACTGCATATTTTTTGGTGCCAAGTCAAAATATTAAGTGTATATATGATAAAAATCAAAAGCAAATTAGTTTTGATTAAGTGCAAAAATATAAGCATTATAAATTGCAAAAATTGGCCCTCTTTATTCCATAGAAGTCCATCTTAGGGTTACACAAATTTACAAAGTCACACAAAGAAAAAAAAACTACATGAGGTTACTATTCCCATAACCATTCTTGGGATGATTTATCATTTCGATGACATAGTCGTTCTAGTTATTTCTTCAGTTATTTGTTCCTTTAAGCAGAAATTCATCCATAACTTAAAATTAGGCATAATTTTTTTTTAAAATCCAACAAAATTTGTTGATTAGTGATGTAAAGCTGAAAACATCATATTCTATATTTTTTAAAGCTCAACGTATGTGCATAAAATGTTTCTTTATTCCGCAGAAAATACAGAAGCTCTGTGAAGGTTGGCTGTTCTGTAAATAACCATAATGTCGCATAAAAAAGCAAACATTTAAGTATAAGTCAGCTAAGATACAAAAACTACAACAAACCCAACACATCTAAATTAAATGTCTTTTCTTCAAATCCAAGTGGACTAGAGACAACACATTTGTATTGCCCTGCATCATGGGATTCAAGATCAAAGAGTTGCAATACTTGGTTATTGTGGTAGAACTTTATCTTGTTTGTTGAGTCCGGATACAGAGGCTATGAAATAAGATAATTTTAATCACCAAACAAAAGGTTTAAAATAAAAATATATAAATGGATATCGTAACAAGAATTACCTCTCCATTCTTCAACCAAGAAATAGTTGGTGGTGGATTTCCATGGACGTAACATTTAATGGTTGCATTGTTCCCCTTAAGCTCATGAGTAACTGGCTCACCCTGTATATGATTTTTAACCTTCGGAGGAACTGGTGGAAAACATCATCTTCAGAAACATAATAAAGTCATAAGAATTTATGAAGGAATGACCCTCACATACAAATATAGTTAGTACAAAAATTTATAAATACAAAACTATAATAATCCTTATTACTTAAAACTGTTATATGTTTTAAAAATTCTGCTATAATCAATAGCAAATAATGTCATTTTCAAACAATAATTTTTAATTATTTCTCTTTGAATTCATGAAAAAATAAACCTCCCAAATATAATTTACACAACGATTTTAGTATCACAATACTATAAGAATCTTAATCACATAAAAATGTCAAGAATTTTAAGACAATCCTTTTATTTCTAGTTCCACATAATAAAGTAAACATTACTTTCTTTTTCCCAAAAGCAATTTAACTTCTGTTTATTTTCGAATTTCTTTTCCCATTCCTTTTTGAAAAAAATTTTTCTACAATATCTTCACTGTTTTCCCTTTATTGTTAAATAAATAACTACAATAAATTTTACTTTTGGAAGACTTAAAAACTCAGATAAACAGTTTACCGACAAAAAAAAATACCTTCATGAATATAATTTTATTAAACAAAAAAATCTTGAAAAGTGAGTGAAAGAGTTCCTCTTAAAACAGTACCTTTTCAGAAATAAATTTTAGTTTCCTTGTTTTAAACTTTTTGATGCCAAATAAGTCAGAATGAAATTAAACAAATCTATACATTAAAAACATATCAAAATATATATTTTATGAAACAAATTATTCTACAGATACCTATTTGCAAGTAGCTTGAAATTTAAAAACAAATTGTAACATGTTTCTTTATAGAAAATGTAAAAGTTTTCATATTGTATAACAATAGGGAATTAATTCTCTATTTATAAACTGGTAAAACAAATTGAATTAAAGTGTATTTGGCAAGAAAATGATCCTGATGAACTTCAAAGATTCTGATTAAGTGTGTTTTGATTGCCAAACTAATTTGAAACTTTAATTCTAATTAAAACAATACTTGATTTAAAAAAAAACTTTATTGGCTTCAAAAATGAGCAGAAGGAAAAAAAGTTTACAAGTTTCAAAGCTCAAAAATAGGTGCCAATTCTCAAATCTTGCTAGACGTGAATGAGAAGAAAACTGATTTGAAGTATGAAAATTTAAATGACATATTTTACTGCTGCAGTTTCTTGGGATTATTTATTTAATAAATTAAAACAGTTTCATACACTCATTACCTTCAATTTGAATTTTTTTCTTCAAATCTTTTGAAAAGTCTTAGAAATTGTTTGATAATTTTACTATTCCACATTGATGAATTTTATCCAAATTTCAGTTATCTATTTTATTATTTAACCATTAGAAATAAAGATATGTTTATTAAGAAAATTTAATTGGAATTAAAACATTTATAATTCAGGTATATCTAAAAATTTTCTTCCATATTAATAATTTAAACAGAGTTACTTGAAGTCATTAACTAGAAAGAATTGTTCCTTGTGATGCAGTTAATAATACACGAGGTTTTTAATTTTGACTTTTACTTTATATGAAGGGATGTCATATTTTCACCAATGTTTCTACAAAATTTAAAAAAGTCATAAGTAACTATGTTAGAACAAAGTCATTTTTGGGCTAAATACATCAGGAAATACTTTATTTTTTTCTAATATACATATTTCTTAAAGATAAAAATACAATTCTAAAGATTTATATGAAACAAAGCATTTAATCAAACTTCTTCTTTGACAGAAGTTTAAATATAAAAATAAATAACGAAAATATCAATACACTTTTTATTCAGGACTTAAACTATTCATATTTTTTTTATCGCGCACAATTTAATAATTAAATCAAACAAACGAACAGATACTAAAACAGTTTTCAAAGGATAAATTCTCTACTACTCACCAAGAATATTTAACATGAAGGAACGACTGCTATTTCCAACATTATTAGAGATTTCACATGAATAGTGGCCACTATCTGCTTCTCGGGTTCGAAGAATTTGAAGTTTCTGTCCATCATCAAGCATATGAATAAAAGGATCTTTGTTGTCATTGATTATTCTACCATCCTTAGTCCAAATGATGGTTGCTTCAGGTTCAGCTTCAACAAAACAGTGCATGGATATCTGTTGATTGATTAAAATTGTCATGTTTGGCTCAGATGTATCTACTACTCTAGGAGGAACTGAAATATAATAAATAAATAAATGAGGAAACTATTTCTTTAATGATAAGGAAGGATTTTTCTTAGACCAGTACTAATATGTTAATCTAAAGCAGATTTTATTGAAGTTATGTAATACGTAGACCTCATCTTAACTTTAGGCATTTTTCATTGATCTATAGCTCAAAGATTTCAAAGGAACTCATTAAAATAAATTAAGAAAAATTGGCAAAATGTCTCTGGTATTTTATACAATATATAGCCTTGCACATTTAGAGAGATGAACATTTATAGAATAAAATACATAAAATGAATAAAAAATACCAGTAAAAAGATCAAACATTTTTTAAAAAAATAGTAACAGTTATTTTCACTAACCAAAACTGCAATGCATGGTTCTGCATAGGAAAGTTTTATTTTGAGATTTACTTCTACAATAACTTTACTTCTATATTTTGACTTCTTTATAACAGTAGCAAAAAACCAGTATATTTAATAATGCTGTGCAAAGAAAAATAATATATTGTGTTGCTTTATTTATAGTTAAAGTCAATATTAAAAAAGGATAGGGTATACTATGTGCTATGTAGACTAAAGAAGAAAACATGAATAAAACACAAATGAAAGTTCAGAAACGGACATACTATAGTTTTAGTTCTATAAACAAGAACCTTCCAGTGTCAAAACATCAAAAATTGGTGTTTAGACACCAAGGAATTTTTTGTTGTTGTCATTTTGGTGTTTAGACATGGGGACACCCAGGAGTTAATAGACTATAGTTTAAAATTCTCTGACTGAAAGAATCATCAAACAAATAAAATTTTGATTCTGAGACTAAATTTACTTTTGTTAAGAAACAAGAGATAAAGACTAGTTGGTCAGCATAACTAGTTACTAATCTAAAAACTAAGGTTTAATTTTTGTCAGCATCATTTGTTGAGCCTGGAACATGTATTGTTGCTATAAATCTAAAGGCAACGGAGCTTACATTAACTAATGCTCAATATACTTGGCCAAGATATATGTTACCTTATTTTATTTAATGGAATCCTGTTTTGTCTTTTAAAGATGTTAAAATACCACTTTAAAGATAACAATAAAAATATTTACAATTTTATTTTTTACGTTAATATTTACAAAAATATTTGTTATATTTTTGTAATGTTATATTAATATTGATAATATGTTATATTAAATTATGTTAATATTTACAAAAATATTTGCTGGAACATGTATTGTTGCTATAAATCTAAAGGCAATGGAGCTTACATTAACTAATACTCAATATACTTGGCCAAGATATATGTTACCTTATTTTATTTAATGGAACCCTGTTTTGTCTTTTAAAGATGTTAAAATATCACTTTAAAGATAACAATAAAAATATTTACAATTTTATTTTTTATGTTAATATTTACAAAAATATTTGTTATATTTTTGTAATGTTATATTAATATTGATAATATGTTATATTAAATCATGTTAATATTTACAAAAATATTAACAATAAAAATGTTTACAATTTCATTTTTGGATATCCAGCATAACATTGAAAAGAGCATTCATTATTATAAGATAAAAAAGAGCTTTCGATTGATCAGCTAGTTATTACAAGAATTATTCTAGGACTTATTACAAAAGAACTATGTATATAAGACAGAAGAATAAATGCACTATACGCAAATTTTTATTACCTTTAATGTAGATATCAAATGACTTCTCAACTGATCCAGCTGCATTAGTTGCAACACACTTATATAACCCAGAGTGAATTGTTTTAGCTTCTAGGATTTTCAATTGCGAATTTTCTAACTCCAAAAACATACTCTAAAAAATGAAATGAGTTGAATGAACAGAGTTTAGTGTACTTCTAAATTTCATTTAAAAATATGGTGTAATAAAAAACTAATGTTATAATACAATATCTAAATCAATATCATTTTCTAATGTTTTATTAATTCTGTGAAAATAACGATGTGCCTTGAGCTCAGGACATTTGAGAAGCTTTACCTTGGTTAACCCAGAGCAATCTCTTTTTTGGATTAGCTATTATTAAACTCTTGGTAAGATTTCCTTTAAAAATCAACCACAGAAAAAAAAAACACTTATGCCAACAAAATATACTGATACATTTAACTGCATTTTTGAAATTTAATTTTAAAAATTGCTCATGTAAAAGTAAATGTTCCATGGTACATGTATTTTATTACACTATATAAAAGAAGAAATTTAATAATCTTAAAACACATAAAAAATAAAATTTATTAATTCCATTAAGCAAATATTTATTTATCAAAACCAGTGCAGATATTGAGCTGATTAATATGATTATTCTTCTACAATGAGCACATTTTTTCTTCTTAAAGCCAATAAAACCAACAAAACTGACTTAATAATTATTTTTTCTACAATGAATACTAAAACATTTTCATAATTTTCAACAGAATATATTATTCAGACATTTATATACAGATATGACATAATGTAGAAAGAAGTAGAAAAAAGAATATGGAAATTTTTACCATATTTTTTAAGATATCATCTGAAATTATTTGACCATCTTTTAACCAAACAATGTCTGGCTGCGGTTTTCCTTTAGCAGCACAATCTAATGTAACTGGCATATTCTCTAAAAATTCTAATTTTGAAGAAAGACCTTCAATGATAGGAGGATCTAAAAATTAAGAAAAAACCTGCTATAAGTTAAAGAAAACCATAAATGTTGGAACAATATTTCAAGTAAATAGAATTATAATTTTCTTTAAAAAAAGAGATATTCATTAATATTTTTTGAAAAATTTTTTTAATCACAATAATAATTTATATCATATTTTGGTTGGAATTGTTTTTTAATTTTTCAACTTAAATGCACTGCAAATTCAAAAAAATGTTTATGTACTTGGATAAAATATATCACTTTTTAAAAATAATAAGAGCATTACTCATTTTTTTGAAAAAATCATCACTGAGTGTAATGCATTCATTTAGAAGAAATGTTTAAAAAAAACATATATATATAGATAAATAAAGTTTCCAATGAATTAGATAAGTATAAAGTCAGCATATATTAATAAACAGAATCTACAATATGATATGATATATGAATCTAAAATACAAATATGACATTGATTCGACGTTTTTATATTAAATATGTGATAATTATTAATAAAATGAGGTAAAATGAACATAACCCCTCAGATTTCCCACATAATTATGAATGAACAAATGATTAATGCACAAATATCATTCACATTATTAAAAAAAATTAATCATATTGATAATAAAGTTTAAATTAATTCTGAGATTAATACAATATATCATACAACACAATAATTCATGTTCACAGTGAGTTAAATTAGGTTTCTTGTAATTGACACCTAAGAATGCAATTCTTCTAATTTATTACTAAAAAAGACAAATATTTCACAGAAACTAGATTCTTTTCAGAGTTTATAAGAAAAATGAAGAAGCAAAATGTATTTTTTTGTTATAACAAAATAAAGATTGTTTAGGTGATGATAGATAAATTAAACAGTGATAAATAAATAATTTCAACGTTTATTTTCTAACATGTGTTTCACAAATAATAAAGTAAATGATATTAGGCATTTTAAAAGGTTCAAAAAATTCAGTAAAAACTATTTTAGGGGACAATCAACAGAAATGGATATCAACAATACCTTTGGGTAACAAGTTTAATTACATACCAAAAACATCTACCTTGAAGTGTTTTTCAATTTTTCCAACATCATTTTCAGCAATGCAAGTATAATGACCATCATCTGCAGATGAAGTTTTTATAAATTGAAGTATTTTTCCTCCATCCAATACTTTTATTAACATATTTTCAGATGATTGGATCTTTTTCCCATCCTTAAGCCAAGTAATTGAAGCAGGTGGAATGGAATCTATAGGACATTCGAGAACAGTTGGGCGATTTGGAAGCACTTCCTGAGTTTCAAAGTTAGAACCTTGTAATTTAGGGAGGGCTGTGAAAGTACACACATAGGAATTACAAAAATAAAATTTTAATAATTTAAAATCAAATAAATAAAATTTTAATAATTTTAAATCTAATAAATAAAAATACAATCTAAACAGATATGCTAATTTCCATATTTTTTCCATATCTTTTATAATTTCTATAAATTGCTAAGTTAATAGTGAACATACATATGTTATGGTGTTAAGATATTTTCAATTTAGAAGGTATTCACAAATACCGAAAGAGCACATTAAAGATATGTGTACAGAGAGAAACAAGTTATAATTTCACTTAATGCAAGGGATAATGAGATATTTTCAAGTTGCTACTTAGAATAAGTAGAAAGGGTATTCTTACCAGAAAAGAGTTTTTATATCTATCTGGACAATATATTTATACCTTGATAGATCTTTATAACATAGGACTGATCAATTTCTCAAGCCATCATCTCATTTTCAAAGCTAATTAACTCAATATTCTTACACTATGTGTAGGAAAGGCTTAAACTGATTATGGGTTTTATATTCTATTTATAAATTAGATTTAATACATAACTCTTTTAGCATTGCATATATATGTTTGTGCATGTATAAAGGATGTTACATAACCACTGTCTTTAATATATATATTTTTAAAAACCTTATCAAAAATGAAGTAAGAAAAGTATGAACATCAGGGGTTTCAAATTAATATTAAAATGAAGAGGAAATAGAAAATCTATATAAATTTATGGAATTATTGGAGAGGAAGATAAAATAAAAAATATCAAAATCTGTTCAATTTCTTGATGAAACTTGGAGCTGTTTCTAATAATCAGTTTTTAACTTCTCTCTCATACAGATTTCAGTATGAGAGAGCATGATGTATAGTTTCCACTCTACTTCCTCAGCACTTCAGTTCACATGTTCAGCAGTTCAAACACGGACCACCCAGAATAACTTTTGATCTAATGATCAGATCTTCACTCTCTAGGACTCAATCTTAATGGTTCGAGGGAGTGGCCTCAAATATGCTAATTAATTAGCGCAGATGATATTTTAAGTTACAAAATCGGTTCACAAAAACGCACATTCCTTGAATAAATAAACCTTTTTCTCAACAGATTCGGATTTCTGACCCTCGAAATACAGAGGGCAGCCACAATCTTGATAATATGGTCCGAATAGTTTTGACCCCTTAATATTAATTTCATTTTCTGTGTATTTTGTCATATCTCGAGAACTTTTTAAGCTACTTTCGAGAACTTTTTACCTGCTCAGCAGTTCAGCTCACCTGCTTAGCAGATTCCAGTATGAGATATATTTCTAGCCCCGCTTTCCACAGCAGCACTTCATTAGATTGTAAGCAGCTTTGTTTCTTTCTTTTCCTTTGTTGAAATTCTGACTCCTAATTTGTATAGTTTTTTAATTTCATTTTTGATAAAGGCTTTAAAAATATATTAAGTACAGTCAAAAAGCAGTTTGGCTACTCATTTTTTTTTGCTTTCATGGCAGTTTTTTTTGCTGTACATAGATATTTACTTAGAAATTATGATGAAGTAATACTAGCTAGAGGGAGCAATAGTATACTAACACTAAAAAAGAAACAGTAATGGAATCAAATCTACTGAAAAAAATTCAATCAACCAAAGTATAAACACTTACCATGAACATTTAGACTAAAACTTCTTTCTTTAGTTCCAGCAGTGTTAGAAGCAATACAGGTATAGCGACCAGCATCTGACTGTTTCACATCCTGAATTTGCAGCACCTGGCCCTCATAAAATAGTTTATAATGTTTACTTTCACTTTCAAGATTCAACAAATGGCCATCTTTTATCCAGATAATTAAAGGTTTAGGGTTCCCATCAACATAGCATTCTAATTTGGAGGTGGAATTTTCAACTGCTTTCAGCTCATTTTGAATTCCATCATCATCTTCTGAATAATAATCAACAACACTCTTTGTCTCAATCATTTTTGGAGGTACTGAAAAAAATTATTACTTAAATTTTTTTTTATTGACTAGTATTAAATAAGTTTCAAATTATAAGAAATAAAACTAGTATGACAGAAATAATAATGCAATTAAATGTTACTGAACCAGATTTATACATTATATAATAATATACATTTGCTTGGTCTAGTGCATACATGTTTAGTGTATACATGTCTAGTGTATACATCTATACAAGTTTTAGTGGCAAAAGAGGATCTTGTCACGGTTTCGCCTTATCATTATTGTCATTGATTTGGGAAAATTTCTGTAAATTTACCTCAATCAAATAGAAATCATCTACTTCAAATTTTTGACACTGTATTCAAGATGATTTATCAAAACTGTGTCTTTATCAAATTTCTACAACTAATGACAGATGACTTTCACAGAATCTGCATCTGATGATTTTCACAAAATTTAAATCCTGGCAGAATGCAGAGTCAAATGTGAGCATCATTTACAGGTAAACATATTTTGGTTTATTTTATAACCATCATTGAACAGTAGACGAGTTTACAACTACTAATGTTCAACTCCGTAGACTTATAATTTTGGAGCCAATTAAGAAGACAAGAAAACAACTTGATAAAACATTAGGTGAAATTCGCCTTTATGGAGGACTTTTTGATGGAACTAACCCACATTTGCATTACATGGAGAGGAAAACCCTGAAAACTTCTCACAGTTAACCTAACAGCAAGGGGACTCTAATCCGTGATTCGTCTACTACGGAGAATACTTTTATGTGAACACTGTTGTTGGTGCAAGTTGGGTGTGGAATTTGTATCTACCAGCCATCACTGGTGTTCGAACCTGGTTCACCTTATTGGAAGGCAAGTGCTCTTTCCCCAGAGCAATCATGGCTCAAGTATTTATATTTGAACGAATTTCACTGTTAGTATAGGAAAAAAAGGATTTATTCCAAGTACCTCTTAAAAAATAGAGTTACCTAGACTGTAATTGAGCCACCATAAAAAGAATTTCTACTGTACTTGAATAAATTTTAATCTATCTTAACTGTAGGATGAATAGAGTTAAATAAGAAATTGCATTTCTTGTGAATAAAAACGTTATAATTTCTAAAGTATTCACCCTTGGTCTCCTCTAATTTCGAGTAAAAAAACATAATAAACAAAACATAATAAACAATACATCACTTTTTCTGATAGCAACGTCAAAAATATGAATAAAAACAAGTAAAAAAAAGTATTGGATTATGAACATCATGGCATCTGAACTATTTATTATATTTACTTGGGTTTAATCTTATTTAATATAGCGTTTAAAAAATACATAGGGAAATAACAGTTCACTTGTATAGTTAGCTATGTCAGAGGTGATAATAAATATAAGTAAGAGTATCCAGAAGCATCTTGTAAAATATAAAAAATTAATAATGGAAAAAAAAACTATGACAAATGAAATAATAATAATAATAAAAGAGTTTTCTATTAGTTAAATTTCAATTTGGTGTTATAAGGTGGTAAACAATTAACTTTAAAAACTTCAGTTTATTACTTACCTTGCACATCTAAGATAAAGTCTTTTTCAATCTTTCCAGCATTATTCACAGCTTCACATGTGTAGGTCGCAGCATCACTTTCTCTCGTTCGAAATATTTTTAACTGCTTTGAATCAGGAGAGAGTACAATATTAGCATCAGAACTTACATCTAAGGGTTTCCCATCTTTAAACCATTTTACTATTGGAGGGGGTATTCCTGATGCAGGACAGTTGAATGTCAGTGGCTTATTGAAAACGGCCGACATATTTTCAGGAGTGTTTTCGAAATTTTCTAGTTTTGGAGGAACTGAAATAAGAAAAAAACTCTCTTTAGGAAATTTTTAGCAAAAGGATTTTAATTGGTATAAATATGTAAAATCAAAAATAAGACTATCAAATACAATCATGTCTCTTTTATTATTTATCTAGATCTTGAATGTAAAACATGAAAAAGTATGAAAATATTTTGTTTTTAAATAAATTTCACCATTTTTTTAAAAATTATTTCAATTTAAATTATTTATTTTTCTGATACTTAAAAATAAGTGACATTCAAATGTGTCGAATTTAGTCTGAAATTGTGAATTTGGATATTATAGAAAATCTCAGAATAAAAACTTACCTCTTACATTGCTAACATAAGGAAATTTTTCGATTTAAACTTAGTAAAAAAATAGGCCTAAAGTGAATTTTAACATGGTATAAATCCTTCTTTTAGAACCTGGGAATCCTTTACCATTTTTAAAAACTCGATTCGTTGATCCAGTATTATCTTATTGCAATATCTGCCATTATTAAATTCGAAGATATTTAAGAATTTTGATTGCTTAGAAAAAAAGGTATTTTAATATATAGCTGGTTACATTCTTAATTGATTAAAACTGATAACCAAACACAGAATGATAAAAACAACTGTTTTATTTGCCCAAACTTTACAATTGAAATTGAAATTAGAGTATATATATATAATTGGGTGCTAAATTTCACAGTTGCATTAAAGATGAAAACATATTTTATTTTTCTATTTTATAAGCTAGCTTTTGAAACTAAAATTAGAAACAGTAAAACTTATTTTTTTAAAAATCAATTTAATGTTATGGTTAACAGAATATAAATAAAATAATAAAAACCTACAATGAATTTAAAAGTAAAACAGAATTACAAATAAGTTATTAATCAATACAATTCATCTTAAGAATAAGAATAAGGTTCAATAGAATTTTAGTTCCAAAAATAAAACTGTTGAAAAAAAACCTTATGGAATAAAAACAGTGTACCACAAACCTCGAACATCAAGCTTAAAATCTAAATCGTCGATTCCAACCTCATTTCCAGCAAGACAGGTATATTTTCCTGCATCGTTTAATGTCAAATTATTAACTTGTAATTTTTGAAAATTGTCAGAAAAGTTTACATGCTGTGACGACTGAAGGGGAATAACATCAGAATCTTTTAGCCAAACTATTTCTGGTGATGGAGATCCAGTGACAAGACATTCCAACACTACTGAATCATATTCTTTTGCAGAATGAATTGTTTTCATGTTTTTCTTATCAATCAAGGGTGGTGCTGATAACAAAAAACACAGTTAAGCTTTATTAATTATAAATTGGTATTCAGAAAGAGTCTAGAGCAAAAATAAAAAATATTTATGAATTATTTAAAAGCAAATATTTCTTTTGTCTGAAACAAGTATAATAGTTTATGAATGCAAACATTGCACATAAAAGCATTTTCAACCTAAACATTTTTAATAATTCGTAAGAAAAAATATTGAAAACTGAAATCTTACAAAAAAGTTATCCATAAGACTTATACATACAAATTGTATGTTGTTAAAATTTAAGTTGAGTTTTATAATATGATACAGAAAAAAAATCAAATAAATCCTTATACATTTAAGTCTGCAAACAAGTAATAGAAAAAAATTCTTTACTTTTGTTTTTCTTAGTGTTTTCTCAATTCAGCTTATTAATTTATATTGAAAACAAGTTTAGAGATATTTTAAAAAAAAGTTTCAGCAATTTATCCCAACATGCTTTTTAAAAAAACTTAGATAAAAAACACATGATATTATTATTACATTAAAAATATGATATAGCCAGATGTATATGTAGTTTTAATTCCCCCCCCCTCCCCATTTATTTAATAAAATAGCTTTTAATGAGAAAATGTATTTTACAAACAATTATCTGCTATTGCTATATTTTATGATGCCACTGCTCCTAAATTCATTAAAAGGTCATTTAGAACTTTCACTAAGCACTTCAAATAATGTAACAAGTACTTTAAATTTTCTTACATAGCATTGGTTAAGTGAAAGCAAAGCATCTTTATTATCATGATAAAAGTTGAGGCAATCTAATTAAATAACATTTCGTTGAATATTGGCAATGGTTCTTCCAACAATAAAACATAAATTGTTCTACAAAATACATCTGTTCTAATAAAAATACATCTTGAAATTTTACACTAATTACAGCTCTTAAATTAACAGTACATGAGTTCTATAATTTTTTCACATAACATACCTAATACATCAAGAGAAAACCGTTTCAGCTGACTACCAACTTCATTTTCAGCTACACAAGTATAAACTGCAGTATCTTCACTTCTGGCTCTTAAAAGAGAAAGTTTCTGCCCATCATCATGAATATAGACATTTCGTTCATCATTTAGAATGATCTCTTTGCCATTTTTTAGCCATTTTATTTGCGGTGGAGGATTTCCTGTCAACGGACAATCAATGGTGAAAGGCTTATTGACATAAGCTATTGGACGAGCTCTCAATTCTTCAACCTCAGGGCTTTGACGAGGAGAATCTAAAATTTAATAATAAATGTGTCTAAATTTGAAATTTTTTCTGGCATAAAACATACAAGCAATATTTTGTTCTTAGAATTAGTTTAAAATATATCCACAGAATTTTTTAGACTTCAGAAATGACAGTTAAGAAAATATTTCAACTTTTAATTATTTTAACTAATGTAAAATGGAAGAAAATTACTGCAAAAAGCATATGCAATTCTAAAACATACATAAAACATCTACGTTGAATTCTTTTTCATCAGAACCAGCTAAATTAGTAGCAATGCAGACATATACACCAGAATGCTGTACCTAAACAGGAAAAACATTGATAAAATATCACAACTAATATTCATTATATCAATAAATTGTTACATGTTCTATGCTACATGTCTATGGAAATAACAGTGAATTATATTAATAAAATATTTAATTAATAACTACTCTTCCAAATAGCTTGCTATGGATTAATAAGTTGGAGAATTATCTATGCTTGCATTTATTATGAGTAAAAACATATTTCAGAAAAATATTGTTTAGTTGCCAGATGAATTTTCAAACACATTGGATGAATTTTCAGGCAAAGATAAGTTTAACCTAGATAATAAGTCATCAGTAAGCGAAACTGCATAAGAATTATTCATTTCACTATCATTATGGCTGCAATAATAATTTATTTGTAAAATCTATGGGGGTATAGTATTGACCTGGTTTGTCAAATATTAAAGGAAAATATTTACCATAAAGTTAAAGTTCAAATACGTTATCAATAAAATGGAAATTAAATTATCAACAAACAAATTATTAAATTTTTCCAAAATTGGAAATCAATGTATATAACATTAAAAATCAATGCAGTAAAACTGAATTCTAGTCAACTTAACTTGAAATCATCTATCATATTCAACTATTTCTAACATTACAAAATTTATTTCATGTTTATTTTTATCATTAATATTTTTCTGAAATATCAATTAGAATTGAACTTTAAAATCTATGTGAGTATAGTATTATGAACTTGATTTAATTAACAGCAATAAAGAATTCATTGTAAAATCAATCTATTATTTTACTTCAACATTTGGAACTTCTAGGTTCATTCCATCATCAGAGATAATAATGCCATTTCCTGATTCAAGCTCAAGACCTTCTTTCAGCCAAACAACAGAAGGTGGAGGGTTGCCAAAAGCACTACAATTTAGAAGAAGACTATCATTCTCAGGTACTTCTATCGGATATACAGAGTCTGCACTAATTTTTGGTGGAGCTGAAACAAAATTTGAAAATTACACTCAATAATGACCCATAAGTAAAAAATAATAGCAGAGCAACTTCAAGAGTTAAGAATTTAGGAAGAATCCTATAAATTAATATAGCCAAAAGTTAACGTAAGGTAAGAAACTAATATACATTAGATTTAATAACTTGATAAATAAAGGAGTTGCATAATAAGATAATTTTAAATTGGTAAAGAAAATACAGACTGATAAAACAAAAAATTACTGAACTGTATAAAGGTGACAGAAATTATACCAACAAATCAGTCAAATTTAACTTCTTTTTTTTCAAATTTCTTTTTATATTTATTAACCTTTTAACACTTCGTTTTAATGTCTTTTCTTCACAAACTGTTCATGCATATTTTGTGTTTAATTCAATATATCTGATAAAAGACAGTAGTTGAAATTTAACAACTATATTTTCATACCACCTGCTAAACAGAAAATGCATTTTAAAACATATTCTATACAGCATTACATCAAATTCATTTTATTTTTAAATGCAAAAAACATAGTACTTTGTGACAAAGGAATATAGAAAAAGAAACATGTTCAATAACTTACAGAGAACGTTAATAGAAAAATCTTGTGTTGACTCCCCCGCTTCATTCTTAGCAATGCAAGTATATTTTCCAGTATCTTCAGCTTTTGCATGTTTGATAGTTAAACGTTTTCCACCCTCAGAAATGGTGTATTGTGGGCTGACAGCTTCATTTAATACTTCATCTTCTTTTTTCCAAATAAATTGCGGTTGAGGCTGACTTGAAAAAGGACACATTAGAACAACTGGAAGATTCTCAAAAGTCTCACTTCTTCCATGTCTGGGGATGGACCTTCCAAATGATCGACCATTATCCAACTTTGGAGGAGCTAGAAATAGAAAGTTGAAAACATTATGAATATCATCTTACAAAAATTAAAATAATACAATGTTTGGAAAGCATACACATTATTGAAATTGCTTTCTCACGCATTCTACATATTATTGAAATTGTCTATAGAAGAATTAATTCTGTCTACATCAAATGAAAACAAAGGTTGCAAACAGTATTTTTCTTAAAAAAAGGCTTTAAAATACATTCAAAAGAATATGTTTTAATGCAAAAAAGATTATTTACTTAAAATTGATTGAAAATTTTAAAGGCTCAAAAAACTTTTAGTCATCTACTAATAATGGTGAATGCTATAATATTCTTTGCGGATTTAATATATCTTACTATACTTCCCTTATTTTCTCAAATACTTCTAAAATATATAAATTAGACTTAGACAATCAATACACTTCATTGATTAAGTTATTTAGTTAAAAGAAAAATGCGTTAAAACTATATTGTTCCTTACACATCAATAAACTGCATTTTTTATAGCTATGATATCTATAAATAACCTTTTCAATCTCATTAAAAACAAAATTCTCTGTCAGACAAGCTCTGTCTATTTGAAGAGAATGAAAATTTGTTCCCCAGAATAACTTTTTCTTAAAGTAAATTTACACCCAATGAACATAATTTCATAGGTTGAATTAAATTAAATTAAATTTTTTTATGAAAATTTTGTTAAAGGTACTTTTAATTTTAAAGAAATGCCTTTTTAGCACAAATATTTTAGACGCTTACATACCTCCCAACATCGGAGAAATTATATAATGGAGATTTTATTAGACACATTTTTTAGGCTATGAGTAAAGTTATGATCCATCATGCATAATCATGGAAGTCAAAAAGAGAAATTCAAAATTGGAAATGATTATAAGCACTTACATTTAGCAAAAAAAATATGTATATAAATCTTAATCTAAAAAAGATTTTTTAAACCATTATTTACAATTACTTAAATTCTTTTAAAACCGTTGTTAAACAGCCAACCTAATTTTCGGTTTACGGCTACTAGTGTTCAACTCCGTAGTCTTGTAATTTTGAACTCAATCCAGAAGACAAGGCAACTCCTGGATCAATCAAGTAGTGGGCGAAATTTGCCTTTGTGGAGGACTTTTTGATGGAACTAACTTTCATTTGCGTTACATGGAGAAGAAAACCACCAAAACGTCCAACAGTTAGCCTGCCAGCAAGGGGTAAAAAAACTATTAACACACTGCAGTACTGGCAATAGCACTACCAGTCGAGAAATAAGAGAAGTATTTTTGATATCAGAGGATATTTTATTGCCAAAATTTTTTTCTTCTTAAATTTCGTCAATAAATACAGAGAAATTTGAGAATACACAGGTAAACAGGAGATAGTCGTAAAATACAGGAGTCTTCGTTGTTAAAATTTTAAATTAAAAACAGGAGACATGGCAGATATGCACTTATAGACAAAGCATTTGTTTTTTTGTTTTATATACTAGACCAAAATCTTTAAAACAAACTAATTTTTTTAATATAATAATATTTCCTTTCAAATATAAAACTACAGATCAACATTTTAAGGTTCCAGACAAAAAAAATTTTTTTTTCAAAACTTTTGCAAAAAATAATATATTTGAGCAAAATGTTAAGTATATTTAAAACAAATAAAGTACTTACATAGTACAACAACACTGAAATCCTTTTCGTAACTTCCAGCTTTATTTGTAGCAATGCATATATATCTTCCAGAATCTCTTTTACCAATATTGACAATTCTTAAGATGCTGTCATTGGAATGAAACAACCGTGGTGGAAGAGGAATGCCATTCTTTTCCCACGTTATTTTAGGTACTGGTGTTCCATATGCATCACATTTTAACTGAAGAATATCGCCTTCTTTAGTACGAATAGTTTCAGTTAAGCTCTGTTCATTAATTTGTGGAGGGACTGCAAAATAGTACTAAATTAAATAATAAAATTTTTTATAAAAAAATGTTGATTTTTTAATATTTTTAATGTAAAAATTAAAACAATTTAAATTTTTCATGCCAAAGGTAATTATAATGCAAAATTACAATATAAAAATAAAATGAAACTACAGAATGGAATTAATTTGAAAAATATTACTTTTTAACAAAGTTCTTATTAAAAAAATGAGGAATAAAATATATATAGTATTAATTCTTTCAATGTTTTATAGTTTAACTAGAGAGATGTATATTACACATGGATTTTTTGTTAGGGTTAAGTAATTCAGTACACACTAGCATAAAGAAAAATTTTAAAAACAGAGGACTAAGTTGAAAGCATTGACCTGCTAATTGATATGTTAACAAGCTTATTAAAAAAACAAAAATTTGCTTTTAAACATCTACTAATTCAACACTTTAAGTCTTCTTGCTATTATATAGTTTCTGTTTCTAGTGAAAAACCAGAGTAGTTAGAATGAAGAACATACCAAGTAGATTTGTATCTTATAATCCGGAACATCAACTAAAACTTACCTAGTACGTTTAACTTAAACGTTTTTGTGGCATTTCCAATATTGTTAGATGCTCGACAAGTGTAAATACCATGGTCAGTCTCGACGAGTCTTGAAATAGTCAATTTTTGATTATCTGTTTCAAGTTCATTCACAAAATTGTTTATTGGTAATTCATGGCCGTTTTTGAGCCAAATTATAGAAGGAAGAGGATTGCCATTTACAATGCAGTTCATATCCACATTTTGATTCAATATCTCTTCTATCTCTTCAAACTTTGCACCTTGGATTTCAGGAGGAGCTAAATAAAAAAAAGGTAAAAATGTTTAACCAACCAGTTCATTTTTAAAGTTGTTATAAAAGAACTTTGAGAAAATATAAATATTTTGGTTTTAAAAAAAATTTTTTTTTGCATGAACTATTTAAATTTTAATAATTAACTAAGAGGTGTAGGTTACTCCAAAACTAAAACTTTTAAACTATTTTTTTATCTTTAACATTTAAAATAGTTTTTTAAGCAGATGCAGTATTAAAAAGAAATGAAATGACTAACACATTAAAATTCTAGTAAAGAGAAGTAAATATTGTTTAATTAGGATTGCTAATGAACATCAGTTTTTCTGAGGTTTTTGTCTAAATGGTTCTGATGATATGTTGTATTTCAAAAGCTGTACAAATGTATAATGTAAAATACCCTGAATTTTTATTTATCTTAATAAAGACAATTATTTTGAGAATTCATAATACAAAGCATTTACCATAATACATAACTTTTTTGCAATATATTTACCTTTGTTTCAACTCATTTACAAGTATATAGCTTCTAAGTATATAACCAGATTTTTAAAATTTATTTTCTGTAAAAAGTATTTCATAATTTCCGCATAATGGAAATTATATAAATATGGAAAACTATATCAGATTCCAAAATCACACATATTCGGAAATTTAATTATTTAACAAATAATAATATTTGTTATGTGCTTCGAAAACCATTCTATGACTTTTAAGGTATGACTTTATTGTATGTAGTAACACTGTTCCCATAAATGACTTTTTGACCATTTTGAAAATCTAATGTTTTTATCTAGTTAAGTTTATTTTTACGCATCTTATTTATTTTTCTTTGTTGTTTTAAGTAAAAATATTCATTTTTAATAAATAGAATGTTTTGTTACAAAATACATTACTGCAATTTGATATTAAACACTTTGAAAGTAGCAGTACTTTAAAGTAAGGATTAAAACAACCACATTTTTCTATATAACAGAATTTTTAGAATTTTATAGTTATAACTTTATCCAAGATACAACTGCAGAAGTAATACTTACTTCTTTTCAATAAGAATACTTAAATAATAGCAAAAATTTTAAAATCTCAATCTTTGAAAGGTTGAAAATTCATAGTGATATTTTCTGCAAATGAAGAACTATTTTTCACAGTAAAAAATATAATTTTTAGCATTCGAACCTATAGCAATAACAAAATTAAAAAAAATTGAATAATTTAATAAACTTCAATAAATTATANTTCGGGCATCGATAAAATCCATTCTTTATAAGCTTGATTATCCACCCATTGGGGATTAAAATAGCACTTCCCAGGCATAACTAGTCTAAACTACATAACATAAATACGAAGCCGTGCCTTTGCGAATACGCTTTACAATAAAGTTTTGAAATGACGCAAACGTAAGGACAAATGCGGATGGTAAAACGGCAAATTTATTGAAAACTACAAGGTACATATTGTTACAAAATTCGAGAGTATTCCAGTTTCGATAAGAAAAAATAAGATCTAAGCATATGCGACAGAAGATGAAGTGGAGTCTCGCCCCGAACGCATTGGTTGTCTGCTGTGGTCCGCGCGCTTGGCAGACACCAAGACGCTAGGCCCGGTTAGAAACGGTGGCGTTAAAAACCACGTGAGAGAGCTCGGGAACAAAACAGAAAGAACGAGAAAGATCCGCGGGTGTTTTATAAAAAGGGCCACTGGCAGTATTGGACAAATTCAAGGACCTATCAAGTTTTTCAAGGACCTAAGACGTTTTTCAAGCACTTTCAAGGACCTAAATTTAGCAAAAAAAAATTCAAGGACTTTCAAGGACTCTCAAGGACCGTGGGAACCTTGTAATCCAGAACATCAACAAAAACTTACCTAGTACGTTTAACTTAAATGTTTTTGTGGCATTTCCAATATTGTTAGATGCTCGACAAGTGTAAATACCATGATCAGTCTCGGAGAGTCTTGAAATAGTCAATTTTTGATTATCAGTTTCAAGTTCATTCACACAATTGTTTATTGGTAATTCATGGCCGTTTCTGAGCCAAATTATAGAAGGAAGAGGATTGCCATTTACAATGCAGTTCATATCCACACTTTGATTCAATATCTCTTCTATCTCTTCAAACTTTGCACCTTGTATTTCAGGAGGAACTAAAAAAAAAAAGGTAAAAATTTTTAAGCAAACAGTTTATTTTTCAAGCTTTTATAAAAGAGCTTTGAGAAAATATAAATATTTTGGTTTTAAAAAATTATTTTTTTTGCATGAACTATTTAAATTTTAATAATTAACTAAAAGGTGTAGGGTATGCCAAAAGTAAAGGTAAAACTTTTAAACCATTTTTATCTTTAATATTTAAAATAGTTTTTTAAACAGATGCAGCATTAAAAAGAAATGAAACGATAATACATTAAAATGCTAGTTAAGAGAAGCAAAAATTGTTAAATTAAGATTGCTAATGAGCATCAGTTTTTCTAAAGTTTTTGTCTAAATGGTTACTATGCTATGTTGTATTTTAAAAGTTGCACAAATGTATAATGTAAATACCCTAAATTTTCATTTATCTTAATAAAGACAATTATTTAGAGAATTCATAATACAAAGCATTTACCATAATACATGACTTCTTTTTTATATATTTCTTTTTGTTTCAACTTATTTACAAGTATATAGCTTCTAAGTATATAACCAGATTTTTAAAATGCATTTTTTGTAAAAAGTATTGTATAATTTCCGCATAATGGAAATTATATAAATATGGAAAACTGTATCAGATTCCAAAATCACACACGTGCGGAAATTTAATTATTTAACTAATTATAATATTTGTTATGCGCTTTGAAAACTATTCTATGACTTTTAAGGTTTGACTTTATTGTACGTAGTAACACTGTTTTCGTAAATGACTTTTTGAAAATCTAATGTTTTTAACTAGTTAAGTTTATTTTTGCACATCTTATTTATTTTTCTTTGTTGTTTTAAGTAAAAATATTCACACTTAATAAGTAGAATGTTTTGTTACAAAATACATTACTGCAATTTGATATTAAACACTTTGAAAGTAGCAGTACTTTAAAGTAAGGATTAAAACAACCACATTTTTCTATATAACAGAATTTTTAGAATTTTATAGTTATAACTTTATCCAAGATACAACTGCAGAAGTAATACTTACTTCTTTTCAATAAGAATACTTAAATAATAGCAAAAATTTTAAAATCTCAATCTTTGAAAGGTTGAAAATTCATAGTGATATTTTCTGCAAATGAAGAACTATTTTTCACAGTAAAAAATATAATTTTTAGCATTCGAACCTATAGCAATAACAAAATTAAAAAAAATTGAATAATTTAATAAACTTCAATAAATTATAATATTTCTAAATAATAAAATATATACCAAGATTTTAAATTTCAGAACATTGATATTTGATACATAGATACTGCAAAGCATAGTAAATTTATGCGTCAATGTTAGACTTAGAACATAAAATAATTATTTATTTATTTTTTCCCTCCTAAATTTCAGAATTCTTTAACACAGTGAAACCTTCACGAAAAACCATCTCTATGTATGGACTATTTAAGATCACTTTTGGGATGCATGGAATTTTTTTCATAGACTTTGTGTTGAAGAAAACCTTTAGGAGAGACCATCATAACATCTCTCAGTGACTGGACAATTCTTTGCACAAATGCGGAGAAGGTCAAATATGGAAATAAGAAAAAATATAAAAATAAAAAATAAAAACAAAGCAAATAACGAGATTCAAATGCATTCAAAATATTTGTGTGAGGCTCTTATTTAGAGAGCTCTTTTTGAAGATCTATGAAAGAGATCCCCTGCAGAGAGGATGGCTCCCCCACTTCGGTAGCCCAACGACCTGCACGCGAAGTCGAGCACTTTATGGTAGAACAGTTTAACGAGGACCAAAACCGCACACCCTCGGTCCCTACACAGACTGATCCAAGTGGTCACCCACTCGCACACTGACCGTAGCCAGTGATGCTTGACTTCGGTGATCTGCTGGGAACTGTGTCTTAATGATCAGTCCACTGCGGGACTAAAAACGATGCTATCAATGATTTACTTTTAAGAGTTGAAAGTCATTTTAGAAAAAAACTAAGCATCTTAAACAAACATTAAAGCTAACTAATTTTTATGATAAAAAATTAAATGCGAACTGAATCAAAAAACATAATTGCTTTTATTTAAAATAGTTCTATCAGTAATTAAAATAGCACAATCAGTAAATTTGTTTTTACGAGCAATTAAATCAGTAGAGATTATTTTTATTGATTCTAAAGTTTATTCATGGATCCAGTTTTCATGACGACAATACAAAATTAAAATTGCTAGTGAAAAATCATGTATCTTTGACAACATTTTGAAATCAATGGAGGTAACCATTAAGAACGACCAACCTCCATTAACGACCATTTTACTTTGGAACAGAGAGCGGTCGCTCTTGAGAGGTTTCACTGTAAATTAATATATATCATTGAAAACATTCAAATTTTTAAGAAAAAAACAAAACAANAAAAAAAAAAAAAAAAAAAAAAAAAAAAAAAAAAAAAAAAAAAAAAAAAAAAAAAAAACAAATAAAAATGAATAAAAAACAATAAGCAAAAACTAACACAAATAACAAAAAAGTCTTTAAAAAAAGGTTAAGGAAACGATTTCTGAAGTTCTAAACGTTGTCAACTTTTAATTCACAGATTAAGTGGGTGTAACATAAGCACCTCTGATAACCGCTTCCATAACATCTTTGTTAATCAAACTAAAGCGATATTGTTAGTAGCATAAAACTGGAGCAGCTATTACTTCCTACATACTTTACAGCAATAATAAATTTTTACTGCAATAGTTAAATGCATCTTCATTATTCACTTACCATGTCAACTATTTCATGATTTTTACTAAATTTCTCTATATTTTCTAAATGTAAAAAATAGTTGCTATTTCATCATAATTAGTTCAGAAACATAAAACAACAAATGAAACAGATAATTAAATTACACTGACCTAAAACACTCACTTCAAAATGTCGGGCACTTGATCCAACTTTATTTATTGCAATACATGAATAAGATCCAGCATCAAATTCCTGGGCATCACTTATTTGCAAAACACTTTTATCATCATTCAATTTTAAGCCAGGCTTGAATACAGATAGAAGCTGCTCATTTTTTCGCCAAGCATACTGAAACAAATTTTATTTATTGCTTGACATTTTCATATGATAAAAGTTAAATTTATTCTTCCTAGTAATATCGAAGCAGTTGCACAGGCCTCATTTATAATGCAATAAACTTTTAATTTAACAATTCTGTTTGAAGTCATAGAATATTTAGGTACATTCATTTACAGTAACTTACATACAAGGAAGGGAGTAAATTAATCTACATAACAAGCAAAAAAATATAAAAGCATAAAAAAATATAAAAATCTTGAGTGAGGAATAATATAAATACCTCGTAATACATACAATAATAAAAGCTTTATTATCTTCTTCTAAATATCATTTAAGCTTAAAAAAATCCACTATGCAAAAAAGTAAGCAATGCATACATCAAAAAAATGCAATATAGAATCAAAGGAAAAAGTAAGCAAGAAAATACAAATGTAATTTCAAAGAACTAAAAGACTTCAATTATATTTCTATTCTTTTAGTATATAATTAATTTTATGAATATTAGTTCATAAACTATATTTCCCAGCATCTTTTTTCTCCCTTTTCTTTTTCTACCTTTTCTTTAGCAGCATTATACTTTATTTTATCCTGAATTCCAAATTTTAATACAATCCTTAAACTAAACATTTTCTGAAATAAATGTTTTCAAAAAAGTGATGATCCTTTTACAGCAAATTCTATCAACCAATAAAGCGATTCTTTCAATCAATAACCTTGAATTTCAATACATTTTATTAATTAACATTTACAAAAAATTAACAAATTAATGTGGTGAATAAATTTATCACGGAAAATAAGTAGATATTATATTTTACACCATTACACAAATAGATATTGTGTAATTATAAATTAATAAAAAACACAACTGTTTTAAATGATGAATGATTCATTTTAAATGATGTAAGCAAACTCACCATTGGTTCAGGAAAGCCCTTGGCTGAACAATCTAGGAGAACAGAGTTATTTTTCACAACAGTTAAATCTTGGTCAGAGGGATTTTTGAAGCTTGGTGGAGCTAGGAAGTCATTTCATTACATTATTATTATTAATTAAACAATTAAAGTAAGTCTTGTTTGAAAAGTACATATTCTTTTTATCAACAGAAAATTTTTGATAGCTGAAAATAACTCAAATATAGAAATGCAAAACATAAATACTATGCTTATTTAAAAAATAATTTAAGAAAGAAAAATTGCTTTTTCAGTTTCATTTGCTTTTAAAACATGTACTAGAGTACACATGCTATTTTGCTATTATACTTTGTAAGTGTAAGAGGTGTTTTTTAAAGTTATCCAAACATCCAGATCTTTATTTATCTGGATGACATTCGTCCCGAACTGTCCAGATAATCAGCATTGTGCTGTATACATACATGTTTTTGGAAAAATCATTCAAGCTTATTAATAACATTTTCAGGGTGCATAGCCAAATTATTCAACAAAAACTAAACACTTTTCAAGCACTCAAAAAAGATTCTTAAGCACTTTAAAAAAAAATATCATAACTAAGCAGGGATGGAAAGTTTTTGATAATAGACGGTTTTATCTTGTTTTAACCGTCATGTCAAAAAAAATTGTTTTGGCATTGTTTTTGACAAATATGGCATTTTTGACAATTGCCAAAAATCATGAAATTTTGAATCATGTAAAACGAATGGCGTTTTCATATGCTACGGACTGACAATATGCCAAAATAGATTGGGGTTGAATTAATTATGAAAACGTTGAATAGAACAATGTGAACTGAGTCTTTTTGCATAATTTGAAGGGAAAATCAACATAGTAACGAAAAAATTTTGAAAAGGGGAAAATTAAGCACTTTTTAAAAACATCCAATAAAAAAAGCACCTTTAAGGGCTTTTAAAAAATGAAAATAAGCACCTTTAAGCACTTTTTAAAAACGCTATGCACCCTGCATTTTATTTTTAATAAAGATATAAAAAATAGCAAAAATTATTTATTAGCAATCACTAAAAAAATTTTAATTATCAAAAATTATTAAAATTTTTATAAAAACTATAAAAATTATTCAGATTTTCTTATAAACCAATATCAAATAACCCTGAGTTACTTTTTTTTTCTAAAAGTTACACACACATAAAACATGCAGAAGTATATCTTACAAATAAAGGTTACATGAACTATAACAAAGAAATAAATTCTGTCATACCTGAGACACTTAATCTGAACGTGTTAGAGGTCTCTCCAGCAATGTTCTTGGCGACACAAGTATATTCTCCATTATCAGATATGGTGACATTTACAAATTCAAGTTTCTGATTCTTGTCTTTAATGACAAAATTATGTCCAACAGGTGGTAAGAACACGCTATTTTTAAGCCAGGTGATGTCAGGAAAGGGCAGTGCCGAAGAGGAACAGTCCAAAGTCACAGGCAAACCAGATATAATTTCAAGATTAGAATCTTTAGCTGAACTTGCAATCAAAGCTGGAGGAGCTTAAAATAATTAACAAGAATATTTTATTAAAAATATGTTCATGAATGAGTACTAAACTAAGAATGAATAATGACCATGTAGATATTTGTTTCAGCACAAGTTGTTGAGGACAGGAAAGCTTTGTTCTATGAGTCTTAAAAGCATATTAAATGTCAAACTCAATTAGTAAAACTAATAGTTTGGGAATAAACTAGCCAAAGATTTAAATATATCAGTATCATATTTCTTTTCTCAAAGCAATTTGATTAGAAATTTGTTTCAAAATTGAAAATCTAATGTAAAAGAAATCTTTCAAAAACATTTAATGACCTTTTCAAAATCTTTAACCAAATTTTACTTACAACTAAATTTTTTATGTGTCACTCAGCCAATTCAACCAAGCTATATTTAATTATAAATATTTACTGCCCATGCATATTATACAGAAAACTTGAATTGATGTAAGTTTTTATAAACAAAATTAAAGCTTGCTAAAAACCAACTTACCATAAACAGTTAGATTAAAAATTTTAACATCAAATCCAGCAATATTTTGAGCAGTGCAAGTATAGATTCCAGCATCTGATTCTTGAACAAAAGGAATGTGAAGGATGTTGTTTTGAATATGATGAACTGAAAAAAATACATTAAAAAAATTATCAAAAAAATAATGTTAAGGTGTTAATGGATTGAATTAAATGTACAATTTAACAGTATAAGAACTCAATATAGCTAAACCATTGAAATAACTTTTAAACTTCAAATATGTGTCCTATAAGTAGAAAAAAACAACCTCAAATTGGACTAAATTTAGAAGTTAAACCTGTTTGATCACATCCTGAAATATTAATTGCAATTATAGTTATTCTAGTAAAAACATCTGTAATTTTAATTTTTTCATGAGTTGATTTAGAAGTTTCGTAATAAAAGAAGTTTGTAACATTAAAAACTGACATTTTAAAAACAATCAGTGCATTAATAACATTATATTTTAGAATCAATAATTGCTTGGCTATGCATAGATTGTGAGCCGCGATGACTCAGTGGTAAAGGCACTGAACTGTCACTGTGAAGAGCTGCAGGCATGAAACCCACTCAGCTTCAGATCGATGAGTACCAGTCTGTCTGGGAAGTAATGGCGGTCTGTGCGCAGTGCTAACTACATTGCCACAATCGTACAGTTGGGCATGAAATTGTGGAGCCTTAACCTCTATGACCCTCCCTGGCTCACAATGGCCTGTTGCAAGAATGCTCTACTGCATAAATTGTACATAATCCGGAGTAATAAGTTATAAGTAAAAAAAAATTCAACTTTGCAAAACAAATTAGTAAAAGATAACAGCTGAATTCATAAACAAAAACAAATTTCTATTTTAATAAATGATATTTTAACTTATTTGAAGAGAAAAAAAAACATATTTTATAGTGTACAAAAATTTCTTTGACACATGACTTTTATTAAAATTTTAAATCATTGCTAGAGCTTAAAATTAAATAATATTAAAACAATATAAAAATAGTTCAGAGAGTACAAATTTATTATATTTTTTATAATTTATCACACACATAATATTTAATGAAAGGTAAATGAAATAAAAACAAAAAGTTTTTATTAAAAAATGGAAAAAAATATAAAAACATACAAAAACTATATGCTCACCAGCAGCATCGTTTCATGTAAAAACAAGTAAGTTGCAAGTGGCAAGTAATGAACACTATATGTAAATATCAGAATTTAAAAATACTAACAAGCCTAAAAAAATGCATACCCCACAGATACCATTATGGTTAACTGATGAACACCAGCTAATTAGATAAATCATAAATTTTAAATCTAAAGTCATTAGTTTGAAACCTATTTTTAATATGTACAAACAAAAGACAAAATTTTAGTAAAGTGGAAAAAAAAAAACAATATTTCCATAGTACCTCGAGTATTTTTAGATTCACTCCAAAGTATTTGTGGAATAGGATGACCAGAAGCATAACATTTAATGTCCAGTTTGTCACTAACAACAGCGGTTATAAAAGAAGGAGATGAAGTTGATTCATCAATTTTAGGAGGATCTGCATTAATAAAAGATATTTACATAATTACTAGAAATTTTACATTATAGATCAGGTTAAATCATAAATGCTCAAAATTTTATTAAAAAGAGAGTAAGCTTATACAGGGAGATTCTGCAATCAATGCACAAACTAGGAGGGGAAGTTAAGTGTACTCCAATTGTATATTTTGTTCAGGAATTTCGGGTCTAAAAGCACAATCACAAAAAATGACACAGGAGAAAAAATGGGTTTATTTACAAAAACAATGCAAAATGCTTCTTTGCAGCAATACAGTATCTACAATAAATTTATCCAGTTTTGATTTTTATTTATTGGGGTATCTAAAGGACATCATTTACGAGGCTCTCATTGACTCACAGGAGGACCTCTTTGCCGGATTACCCATTGCTACCGCAAAGCGTGGATAATGCCAGGTATTTTTCAATGTGTTAGCCAATCCTTTTGTTGATGTTTACAAGCACATATTACCGTTGATGGTCGCAATTCTAAACAGTTATTAAGAATACTGTATAGCTGCAAGAAGCACTCTGCATTTATTTTTGTAACTAAACACATTTTTCTCCCTTAAAATTTTTTTTTTTGTGTTTGTGCCTTAACACTCCATTTTATACCCTAATATTCTTATTAAAAAATACATGTTTTAGTACACTTAACCATATCTTTTAATTTGCCTATTGATCGCAAAATGACCTAAAATGCAAGATATATTAAAATTGTGGGTTAAAGTTAATACAAGAAATTAAACACATTTCTAGTATAAATTAATAGCTTTTTCACAGAGGATAACTTAGGAAAATTTGGAGTTTGAGCTTTAAATTAAAGAGAAGAGCCTAAATTATTATAAATAGTTAGAACTGTCCTGCATGAAAATAGGTACACAACGTTTGAAGAAAGCAGACTTTGAGTTTAATGACTCAATCTAATAAAATAAAACTAATGAAAGAGAAAAAAAATGTAGCTACAAAATTCAAATTTATAAGATTTTTTTCTAATAATAATAATTTGATCAATCTTGGAAAATAATTTTGCTCTAAATTAAGGAAAAATACATAAATTATCAGAAGTGTCTAGCCTTAAAATGGGCATACAATATTTTAAGAAAGTTAATTTAGGAAGGGTTCAACAACTCAATTCATTAAAACAAAATTAAAGAAAGAGGAAAATAATCTAGTCACAAAATTTAAATGTACAAGATTTCATTCCAAATAATATTTTTAAAAAAATTAAAACTAATTTACCATGAATAGTCACAACCGTTCTGGCTACATGTGATCCCACAATGTTTTCAGCGATGCACTGGTATTCCCCTTCATCAGAAATATCTGCATTAATAATAGAGAGGTTTGCGTGTTGAACTACAGCTGAATTCGATTGTATATATGCACCACTTTTCTTCCAAACCACACTAGGTTCAGGATGACCAGAAGTTTCACAGAAAATTGAAATATTCTGGCGTATAATACCAATAATAAGAGAAGGTAGTATTTTGGCAAAAGGTGGAACTGAAATAAGAAATAAGTGACATTTTCCAAAAAATGTTTTGATTGAAAAACTTTAAATGCAAAAGGAATAAAGTACAAACCATTAACATTTAATGTTAGTTCAATTTTTGCTTCACCAACTTCATTCATAGCTTTACACGTGTAGACATCAGAATCTGAGGATGATGCTTTTAAAAGTAAGCTTCCATTGTACATCATATATTTGTCCAAATCATCCCGATGTTTCTGGCTGATTCGAGTCCATTTAATATGTGCAGGAGGTTTAGCATGAGAACTGCAGGGTAATAAAACCATGTCTCCATCAGTGGCATTATACACAGCACTAGGTTGTAGTATTTTTGGAGGAACTTTAAAAAAAATAACAAAAATGGGTATATTTAAAGAAATTCTAAAAAAAATTAGCTTAATATGTTACATAATTTATTAAAATGTACTTTCACATGAACCTAGCTTACTACACAAACTTTCATGTGATTTTTAAATTCTCATTCTCTACAATCTCAAACAGGGTATTTTTATAATCAAATTTATTTTATCTCATCACTGGCACAAAACAGCTGATCCAATTAGCAGATGTAAAATTTTAAATTTATTAACACGTTTGTAGTTGATTTTGTACCAAAACAGGACGGTACACTGGCGATTATGACATACTGATGCAAGATAAGCGGTGAACATGATAATCCAACAAAAATAATCTCAACACTAACTTATTTTACACTCAACTCAAATAAACAAGGGAGCCTCTGGTATAAAGTATCAGTATAAATTTGTTTCGAAAATGCCCTTTTTGGTTATACGAACCATCATTTGGTTTATATGCATACCAAATGTCAATAGCAATAAACAATATATCCGGATGTCGCTATATCTCCTTGCAGGCAATTAAAAATTAATCCTGATATCAGATGTACAACTTAAAAAGATTCAAACACATTCACTGTCAATCTCATGCCACTGCCATTCTAGAGATTACCATCAGTCATGCAAGATTGGCAGTGAACATGTTATTTTGAATCCAATTCAAATGAACAAGGGAATTCCAATGTAAAGTATCAATACAAATGTTTTTTCCAAATGTCTTTTTTCGGTTATTTGAATCAACATTTGCTTTACATGTAGAGGATGCTTACATGTGTCATCACTCTAAAGTTTTAATTTAAATTTCTACCATGCACTAATGATATTTTATAGAAAGTCAATCGCTAAAATATTAGTTCTCTGTACCAAATGGGCAAAGTACACAAGGATACTAGGGTACCTCAGGGTCTTGAAACTTGTTTTTACTTAGGGAAAACAAACCTCATGAGAGGGGAAGGGCTTAAGTACCAGTACTATATATAAAAAAACATAACTTATTAGCAAACAACAATCACTAACATGCTTAAACATAAACTGAAGCATAGGAAAAGCTCTCAAATGTAAGTAAATTTACATGCTTAGAATATTTGATAGAATAATAAAATATTTTGATAAATTACATAAACAAATAGTTACACATTAACATGAGGATAACATAACATAAGGACCAGATATTCTTTTTATTAACACAAAATAATGATTAATGCACACACAATATATTTACCTTTGACTGACACTTTAAAAACTTCATCAGATGTACCAACAATATTAGTAGCAGAACAAACATATTCTCCTTCATTTCTTTCATCAACATTCAATATTTTTAAGCTCTGATTTTCATCTATAAAATACTCATGATCAGAAATGAGCTGTATCTTATTTTTGAACCAAATGACAGCTGGCTGTGGGTCACCTTTAACTTTGCATGGTAAGGTAATTGTTGAGCCTTCAACAGCTTCAAATTCTTGGTTAGTTGATGATATTACAGGATGATCTAAGAATCAACAGAATAGATTAGAACAGAATCGATAGAAGATAAAACAGAATAGATTAGAACAGAATCGATAGAAGATAAAACAGAATAGATATTACTTTGGCCTTGATTCAAATTTAATTCAATTATAATGCAGCGGAGTTCTGATAATTTCAGTCTCAATGACTTAATTCAGTTTATAATGAGTAGATAATTATGCATTTGATGGAAGAACAGAAAGATCTTCTTCCTGGATCAGTAATTAACATTGATGAAAATCTATTGTTCAATTTTATGCAAAAAATTATAGCCCATGAGAGCATATGAAACAGTGTTGAAAATGCTGTGGTGTAAACTTTTAAGCTGGTGTAACTGTGGTATGTTATGAATATTCAACGTATTCTCTGTAATCGTCTTCCTGAAATATAACGAACTGAACTGAATTTCAATTGAGAATGAAATGTATATATACCGTCATAAAATTTTGTTCCTTCTCTCTTTTGCGCTTTGTTTTATATTTATTCTTTTGCTCTACGTGTTTGGTTATAATCCTAGATGCTTTTAATTTAGTTGTTAAAATGTTATTAAAGTTATGTTTCAATTTCGCATTTTTCCTTTATTATCTTTGACGACTGACCTATCAAAAATACAGAATTTAATACATGCAACTTATATCGCCAAAATGTAATTATCAAAAACACACTTGTTGTAAGATTGTGCCACCAAATGAACTGTGATATAACTATGTGAAACAATTGCATCCAAGTAAAATTGGTAAGAACTAAATTGGAGCTGCAATGGCATAGTGGTTAAGGCACTGAGCAGTTATTGTGAAGGATTAGGATTCTATCTTCAGTGATTGTTTAACCCTTTTGGCTCACTGGGACATATATGTCCCTCAGATGAAAACACCACTGGGACATGTGTGTTGAGTCTAAAAAAACCCGGTGAGACACATTTGTTTCAGCTTCCCCAATTGCCTATATAGTTAATTTTTTAATTAATTTTGGCAAAATATTGTTATTTTTACTTTATTTAATCTATTAAAGTTGTAATTTGTCTTTTTATTTGAAAATAAAAAACTAGTCTTAAAAGGGTTACAGCAAACCTAGCTTCAGATTCATGGATACCAGCTAGTTGTGAAAGTAAAGGCAGTCAGTGATTAATACTGAACACATGACATGGTTAATCTTAAAATTGTACATCCTTAACCACCATGACTTCCTTGATAAGTAACTTTTGTGGGAGACTTTTACAGTACTTATTCTGATCATGCACAAAAAATCCAAAACATTGTATTATATTTCTAATGCTTAAACAAAACTAAATATTTATTGTGTGAATTTGAAAGTCTACTGATGTAAATTTTGTATTTATGCATGCAATTTGCCTTTATATATTTTGAATATAAATTGGAGAATCAAAAAAGAGGGATATATTAGCCTTATCAAAATGAGACTTTTCCTTAATAGTATAATATTTTCAAAAAATTATTAGCTTAGACAATTTTAGTTTAATTTACAGCAATTAAATAAAAAAACAATTGTGTCAGGATTATAGAAGTTAAGTACATATTTGAAATAAGAACTTACATAAAACGTTAACATAGGTGGTTTCTGAAGCATTACCACCAATGTTTGAAGATAAACATGTATAATTAGCTTCATGTATTTCATCTGCATATAAAAATTCTAATTTAGTATAATTTATTTCAATTCCAAAACCAGGCTTAATGGGTTCTCCATTTTTAAACCACTCCATATTTGGTTTTGGATGGCCATCGAGTACAATACAGGATATAGAACGCTTTTCTCCCTTTGGAATTTCTATAAGTTCAGGAAGAGGAGACAATATGGGTGCTTCTAAAATAAATATAATAAATATAAATGTAGAGAATCACAATCACTTTGGAATTAATGCTATTAATTACACAAAAATTTTAAATTACACAACAACAAAATCATTGTATGTATTGAATAAATATTATGTAAAATAAGTAATAGAAATAAAAATTATAGTGTAAATCTTAATTAAACCAAAAATGGTGCAGTATAATAATTGATGAAGGAAGCTAATGTATCAAAAGTGGATTAAATTATGTGGGATAAAGAACACTTAAAATATATTTAAATAAATTCTTCAAAATATAGGTAAATAAAATAAAAATTATTGGAAAGATGTGAAATACAAAACAAAAGGAACTGAATACATAGCAAAATTAAATGCATGACATGAAGTATAAAACTTTACACAAAAAATCAATTTACAAGGTAATGCAGACAGAAAATGGCAAAAAAACAACTGGTTAAAATTAACATAGTGTTTTACATGGAATAAAGGATAGATTGATCAGTTATTTGAATAATTTAATGACTAAAACTTATACGAAGAAAAAATGAAAACTGTAAATGTAAATTATAGTGTCTTTAAAAACATCCTAAACAAAAAAAGGTAAAGATCATTATAATAATTCAAGTTAAAATACAATAGTTTAAAACTACTTACTTATTCCAGTCAACTTGACACTAACCATTTGCTCTTCAATTCCAAATTTATTCTCAGCTCTACATATGAAATTATCAGCAATAGATGGATCAGCATCTAATAAAGTTAACTTTTAATTAAATTTAACTAATTAATTAAAAGTTAACTTTGTTACTAATAATTAACTAGTTAATTAAAAGTTTAAATAATTTATACTTTAAATTAATCATTAATTAAATTAATTTAGCTAAAGGAAAGTATAGAAATATAATTAATAACGGAATAAAGAATATTCTTATTAGCAATACATTTGTAAGCATATTTTTAGTAGTAAATAGTACATAACTTGAAATGGCGTTAAAATTAAAAGTATTTTTCGCCTCCCTAAGTTTTAAGAGAGTTCTTACAATCTAAGAAACCAATTTAAAATTGAATTATATTTTAAAGAAATATAGTATTTTTCAACCATAACTTTTTAATTAAGAAATATATCTATAAAAAAGCATGCCAAATTTATATATATTTCTTGTTTCACTTTAGCAATAACTTCTCCAAGGTCAACTTTCTTTTATTTTGGAATTAAAAATTACTTGTATGAATGTATAAAGTATTTTTTGGTATTAAATTAGTAATAAATTATACTTTTTCTCAGTGATTTATACAGTTAACTGCATTAACACAAAAAGAGTATAAAAACAGTCAACCAACTTAGTTAATTTATAATAGTCAATAACTAATTATAAGATTATATGGATTTTCAACTATTTAACATATTTAATTGAAAGTTCACATAATTTCATTCAGCTTCCAATAATAATTAATAAAAATTTAATAACTTTTAAAATCACTGTTACTTGATGATTTTATCTAATACTTCAATTAAGCAAATAAATTTTTAAAAAGTCTGATTCAAATTTTAAAAAATAATAAAACCTAGAGCTACATACTAAAAATTTAAATTTACTTCTTAAAATTTTTAACATCCATAAACTTTTTTAATAAAAAGGAGTCTAAAGTATTTTGTATCAAATTTTACAAACTAATATTTAGCAATCATACATACATTCATCAATATATGGATGTCAATATGTATTACAGCTAGTAAATTTGATTTTAGAGCGATTTCCAGCTAATATATTTAGGTACAACTTTAGTCAAATTTTCAAAAACATTAATAACAATAAATTAGCAACAATAACTTACCTACAATAACAAGATTACCCTCTGATGTAACAGATATTTTAGAATGTGACTTAATTTCACTTCCATTAGTAAAAAACCACTTTATAATTGGTAAAGGAGCACCAGTTGCAATACAAGGGATGGTAAAACTTTTTAGAACTTCCACAGAGGTTATGCTGGGTAGTTTGATCAAGGAAGGCTTTGCTGGTAAATAAAAATAAACATTTTATTGAATTTCACACAGTTGATAAACTATACATTTTTTACACAGCTATAATAGATTTTAATATTGCATTTAACAAAGAGTGGCAAATTTCTTGTTAATATTTATTACAGACCAAACACTTAAATAAAATTTATCTCAAAATTTTAAATGTAAGACGAAGAATCATGCCGGATAAAACGGGCATAATTAAATTAATTCCTTAGCTATTTTTAATAAGTTATGCAAAAAAATGAATTGCAAAATAATAAGAAATAAAAATAAATAAATAAGTTAGTAAATTGAAGATAATCAGTAAATAAGATACAGTTTCATGTCCTGTACAAAAAGAATTTACCACAATCAATATTAGTTTTTAAAAAAAAACAGGTGTTAATGTTATGATTTTTGCATAGATACAAAGTTCTAACCATAAAAGTCGAAAGCATGACAACAGTAGTGAAAATAATTCACTAGAAAGAGCAGCCAACAAAGCAAAATTAAAAATATACAATGTATTTGTTAATTACGATACATATTGCACTTTATCCCACTCCAATTTTCGTTATTTTTTTTCAGCTAATAAAATATTTTAATGTTAAATAAGCACTTAAATTGAATCCATAAAAATAATATGCTTTTAAATTATTTATTACAGTATTAAATTCCATGTTGAATGACAAAATAAACTTTACAGCCTTGTATTTTTCAATGAACATGCATTGTATTATTTGTGTCAAGGGGAAAAAAACGTGCAATCACTAATATTAAAATATAAACAAATTTATATTTGCTTATAAAAATGAGTTAAAATATTCTTAACTTTTAACAAATTTTAATCAACTTTTAATGTAAAATAAATGACACGTCAATAAGTATCTGGACATGTCTATTTTTTAATGATATTTTTAAAACTGGTAAACAATTCTATAAACAGAAAATTTTTATTGTTACATAATTTCATCTATTAACTTTTGTTTCTGAACAATAACATTGTAGAATTTTTTTTGGAGCTCAAATTTCGTTTACACAGCACTGCTTTGTAAATTTTGAAATAGTTGAAGACTAACATAAACATATTTTCAATACTTAAATGTAGAATTTCACTTCATTATTAAATTAAAAGTACCTGCAATCTAATTTTTAACACAATGAAATACTTAAAATAATATTACTTACATCCAACATTTAAGTACATTGTTTCATTTGCGCTTCCAGCTTCATTTTCAGCAAGACAAGTATATTGTCCAGCATCTGTTTCTTGAACATCATAAATCAGCAAAGTTCCATCAGGAGATATCTGTATGTATGAGAGAGGTTGAATTTCTGTAGCCCCTCTGAACCATCTTACTTTAGGATCAGGCAAACCTTCAGCAATGCATCTTAGATTTGCTTGGTCTCCATTTCTGACTATGAGTTCCTTATCACGTATGCTAATTGATGGAGCCTCTAACAGAAAACATACAATTACTGCTATGAAGTTATTTTTGAAACACATTTTTTCAATGCTGCAAAACCTGAATACCTCCTAAATCTTTCTGAGCTCTAGCTTTCTTAGATTTATTTTGAATTTGTCTTTCAAAATAAGGCAATTTTGCATCATATATAATGTTTAATATATTTTGGCATATTTTAAGCTGCTTAGGACTTCTTTGAGAAGAAATTTACACTTCTCTCTTTGTTTCTGACTTTTTACTCATCAAGGGATTTATGGATCTGATCTGACGCCGTCAAACCTTTGGAGATAAGTAACAACAACATATTTTGGTGAATTCATTCTTTCCAAATACTCTTACTTAAAATAACTCTAATAGTCGATAATTACTGCCTATAACTTGGCTGGTTAAGTAGAAATTTAGTGGTAAAAAATATGTGTCGTTTATTGCAAAAGTGAAGCATCGCCTTGCGAATGAATTTTGAAATAAGAAGTTATTAGAAATTAAAATGTGGAAGATAAATAGAAGTATTCAGTCAATGTTATCGTTTATTGGGTTTCAATTACTAGAATTGTTTCACTAATGTAGTTTTATTTTCTTTCATAAAAAGGCTGACCCAATTCTGAATTTCTGACTTGCAATGTTCAACTACCCAACCTTGCAATTATGAGCCCAACTCAGAAGACAGAGAAGTCCTAGAGCAAGCATAGGGACAAACTAGCCTTCACAAAGGACATTTTGATGGAACTGACCCCCATTTGTGGATGGAGAGGAAAACCACACAACCCACAAATTGCGTCTACCACTAAGGATATTTCAGTTAAGCACTGTGGTCTGATCCACCATTAAGCACTGGAGCTCAAACTTGGATCACTTCAATGGGAGGCGAACGCTCTATCCCCTGAGATATCATGGCTCTTGTGTACAGTGAAAATATTATTAACTGTGATACAATTGAGCAAAAAATGGAGAAACTTTAAAAATATGGAGATACATTATTTTTACAATGAATGGCACATAGTTACAAAAGATTATCTTTAAAAAAATAAATGACTAATATTTTTTTTATTGACAAAAAAACATTAAGAATAAGCAATTTATTTTCTTTACAGCTTTATACAGCTTTGTCCCTCGAAAGAATAAAGAAAAAATGGTAATAAATAAATTTTATGCTGTCTTAAAATTTTCGAATGTATTTTACAGATCATTGAAATAAATTTTAATGACAACTTTATTCTTAAATTTAGTCTTTAGCTATCTAAGTGCTACATTTTATTTTAACAAGATAGAGACATGAAAGATTCAAAGTTATTGTTATTAAAGATTAAGAGTTAGTACTAAGAGTTATACAACATAAAAAAAGATATGTTATTACAGCCATTAAAATAATCCTTATGAAAATAATTTGATTGCGATAAAATAAAAACATTAAAATAAATAATTATTCCTAAAGTTTCTAGCTATACTAAATTAAAACTAAGAAACTGATGTCACGCTAATTTCTAAAAACTATTAACAAATTAAGTTTTCATAAACTATTTCAGAATTTTCATTTAAAAAAAACCACAAAACATTGTGCACACCTATATAGTTCAAATTCACGCTCGCAACTTTATTTCCAGCCGGATTTGTCCCAATGCAGTCATATCTCCCTTCATCTTTTGCATCTGCAGAGTGAATCAATAAATTATTTCCTGAAATTTCACTTCGACCAGATATAAAATTTTGATTATGTATGGGACTCCAGATCCATCTTATAGTAGGAAGAGGGAATCCTTTAGCATCACATGTTATATTGATAACATCTCCATGTTTGAAATTTTTTGTAGCTGGCATAACAGATACAACAGGTGGATCTATAAATAAATGAGATTATGTCATGAATTTTATCTTAGAGGCTCAATTTGAGAACAACGAATGCCAAAGTCCAAAATGTTGGGAGCTAAGTTTTTTAAATTCCATTAAAAAAGATTGCAATAACTATTTTAGTGTTTATAAAAAGACTTTAACATGATAAAAACCAATTTTTAGTTATTTATTAAAAATTTGAATTAGGCTGGCTTTGTTGACAAAGGTTATGTCCTTTTTTAAGTTGTTAAACAATTATAAACCTAAACAATTTAGCTATAAAACTGTTAAACAAGAATTAAAGTAAATGAAACATTTTGTATAACAATGACTGCTCTTAATTAAGTCACTCAAAATTATACAAAAGGTAAATAAATGCTTTTATTATAAATACCTTTACAAATCTGTAAGAATTCATACAATTCATACAAGAAAGTTTTCATACAATCAAAATAATTAAGTCTCTAATTAATGATGCGGATAAGAGAACATGTTAAATGCATTTAAGTTAAATTTAGAGCTGAAAATATAAAGACTTAGCAAATAAAATTTACCACTCTTTTAAACAGAGTTTCTCCCAAACAATTTTTTATTTATTCAAAGCATAGTAAGGTAAGAAGCAATGTTTATGATAAATCTGTAGAGTAAGAATCTTGACTTTCACAAGCATCATTTAACAGTAAGAGTATATTTTCTATGATTATGATAATCATTTAATTTTTGTTAATCGATTTTAAGACTTTTCTCTGTGTTGGTAAAATTTATTTTACAAGTGGTCACTTCTAAGATTGTTAACTCTTTATTTTAAAAAACATATTATAGATAGACATGCCAACGGCAATCATTATTATCACATTGATATAGTAAGTAAATTAAAGAAGAAACAAAAAAAAGGGAAGAAAGAGGTAAATCAGCAAATAAATGATTAATTGAATCAGCATGTTAGCGAATAAGCGACTCAGTTAATCAGCATGTTAGTTATGGGGTTAATCAGCATATGAGTAAAAAGGTGAATCGATTTGTAAAGGAAAAAAAATGCATAAAGTTTTAATTTGCAATGCGGTACTCAATAACTAACATTTTTTATAAGTCATATTAATTTAAAGTTTTTGAATTATCTTTGATGGAATGAAATTTCTGTAATTTTTCAATTGACTGCTCATATACTTTAGCATATTTATTTACTTTATAAATGTTTTCTTCCTCTCTTTCTTTTCTTTTTTTTTTAAATTGATTACTTATAGTTATGCCTGTAATATTCAATATAATTTCAATCAGTAATCTTGTAACAGTATTACTTTTTGATTACCATAAATACATTATTTAAAGAGCACATAAAATAACAAATAAATATAAAAGAATTTGAAAAAAGAATTTGTCTGTGGGTTAGCTCATAAAAGTTATGGACAAAATACTGTGTGTAATTTATAAAAATTGAATTTTTAAAGCCTGGGCAAATTATCTAAGTATTGTGTTCATTTTATATTAAGTTTATCTTAAAATATTTTGCAGAATTTCTTTATTTCTATCTTTAAATCTCTTTCTTTAGAATTTCTCCAAATTTTTTAAAGAAAGTAGATGAAAAGTTTATGGTTTATTTGGATTTATTATTGTTATTCACAAACCGCCAACTCTTCATCTGTTTTCTTTAACCATTTTATAAAAAATTATTTCAACACATTTTAAGATAAACTTAATATAAAATGAATACAATACCAGGAAAATTAGCTGAGACTATCTAAACTCGATTTTTATGAGTTACATGGAATATTTATTATTTTTTCATGCAGACCCATGGACAGTTTTTTAAATTTTTTTTAATTATTCTATTTCATACTTTTGTTTTAAGATTCATTAAATTTTGGAAAAAAATCGTAATTTATTTTCTTTCCTAGAAACACATATTAAAAGTACAACTATAAACAAAATGAATATTTGGTTTCAGATAGAGATAACTTTAGAAATGCTAACTCAGTGACATAGCACCAATCAACATCTATTCAGGTTGGTGATTTAATTTGTAAAAAATGATGAAACATTAATGAAAGTGAGAAAAAATCTCAAAGAGATACGTTTACAATTTTATTTATAATGATGGCTAATGTTAAGCTAATTAAAAAAATCATTTTATTAAAATAAATCATTTTCAAATAAAAGTTATTTGTTTAAAAAATATTGGTAATATTCAAAATCACTAAAAAACTTATTAATATATATCCCCCCTCAAATAAAAGCCGTGAATACCTCAGGGGCCGAACATCAAGTGAATTTTAACTATATAAATAGACAATGTAAGAAAAATTTTACTAAAATGAAGAAATGAAATTAAAAATTAAAGTTAAGTAATTATGAATAACTAAATAATTCAGAAAGGGACTTTTTATTAAAACAGGTAGTTAAGAAAACATTTTCTCGAAAATATGTCAGACAGTTTTTTTAAGGGATGGCGGCTTATTTTTACGAAAAGAGTAAGGAAGGCGCATTTATAGTGATCAAAGGGTAGGCAATGTGGGCCACCCTTTTAAGAACGCCTAAGGAGAACACAGCTTAAATACACAGTGAATAAAAATACTCTTATATTCACGAGATTAGCTTATCCATGAGAGTCATATTACAAACAATATAAGTTATCAAATTAATTCTAAAAAACTAAAATGAAATTTTATATTTAAAAGAAAAAACAATTTTAATTCACTTACAGTAAGTATGAAGGTAAATGTTTTCCTGCACAACACCGCCTTCATTTGATGCTGTACATCTGTACCATCCACCATCTTTAGGATTCAGATGCCTTATAACTAGAGAATCATTGGCGTGAATAATGAAACGGGGATCATCAGGAAGTTGAGAAGCTTTTACAAAACCTTCATTGTCTGCATCAGGTAGGAGTTTATTCCAGGTGACACGGTAGTCAACAACACTTTCAATTTCACAAGGTAAGATGACTACGCTTCCAAGAACTCCGCTCACGTTACCGGCTTTTGTTATTGAAGGTGGAGGTTCTGAAATATTTTAAGCACATGTTGGTTGATATGAACAAAATTTTATAATGCATTATAGGTGTAGGTTTTAAATTAGAATATCACTTTATCCACAAAATCAAAATTTACTCATATAAGTAGTTTATTATGCTTGCAAAAAAGTAATGAAATATTAGAAGTGTTATTAGGCACCACCAAAACGTTCAACCCGTGCTTAAATTTTAGTACTTTTTAACCAAATTGTACTCACAGCCCATTTTAAGGTTACAGTTTTAAAAATGAATAATTTTACAAGAACAAAATTCGGTAGCATACAGTTGACATAAATTATATTTACTCTTATAAGTAGTTAATTATGTCTCTGAAAAAGTAATGACATAGCAATTTATAGACAAAATTGAACACACTCAAAATTTGTAACTAATACAAGCTTACATGAGTTTAAGTGGCATAAATAATTTTTTAGCATTATTTCTTCATAAGTTTCTCTCACATCAAACATCTGTTTGATAATATACCATTTTATATTTTCAAGACTGATTTGAATGTGGTTTTTAAATGCATAGATAAAAACTGTTACTGCATACTTCAGAATATAAGCCAAATGGCAAGCTATTTATTTGGAAATCGACCCAATATTTAAAACTTGTATATGAGCTGATGTAAAAAAAAAGGCACGCTAAGCTTTGAAACAAAAATGTATCCCTTCTTTTGTAGTAAATGTAGATCTGGTAACAATTGCACAGTGGGTAAAAGAAACATGAACCTTCCAACTTCGTAATTAGATAGTTAAAAATATATTGTGTCTGTAACAATATGTATGGAAGTGTAGGGGAAAATTTGTTATTTAGTCTATGATGATTGAAATGAAGATGAAGACATTGGAAGTGAGGATTACGCATTACATTGAGACCTTCTGATGACTGAGCAGAATTTGACAAACTTTATGGAGATTCTGATACAGAATTTATTGGATTTTAGTGTGTTCTTTTTCTTTTATTTATTTATATCCTCATTTGCATTTACCTAAACATAGGTAAGCTGGAAGATTAAAAATAATAGCATTTCTTTCAAATTGTCCTTTCTATGTTGTTACATTCACACATTCTGTTTTCAACTATATTTGATGTTTTTTATGTTTTGTCTGATTATCACTAATGCTCAACAAAAGAAGAAATATTTCTGTTGGCGATAGCCATCTGGAATTTATCAATGAAAGCGAATTCCATTGCAAGCTGACCCCTCACTTTAGCTTTTGAAAATTTTTGAAAATTTTTTGGCTTACAATCAGAAGTATACAGTAAGTTTATTTTTATTATCTGATAATTGATTAATTAATTGATAAACAGGACATATTTTAGCAAATACAATTGTTAATTTTTCAAGGAAGTTTGCAAAAAACCATATACCTTTCACATCTAGAAATATAACACTTGAACCTCTTCCAGCTATATTTGTTGCATTGCACGAATAATAACCTTCTGAAAGTAGAGTAACTTCCGGTACAGTGAGAATTGCTTCAGTTGTTTGTCTAAAATAAAATAAGTAATAAATCTCTCAATGAATGAATTCCATGTTAAAAAAACAATTGAAAATTTAAAAATAGTATTTAAAAAAGAACTAAAAGAAAACACAAAAATGTTTATCTTGTAAGTGCTATTGAAACAAATCATCATAAACAAATACAGAGAAAACTCAATTTGAAATAATGCATACTTTATCAGATTAAAGCTGAAATAAAATATAAATGAATACATACATAATTTCTGTATGTTTTTATTTATAAATCAGATGAAAGATAAACAAGTTGTCTCTATTCATAATGCTGCAATTTAAAAGCATTAAAGAAGTGTGTTCAATACTTTTTACTTTTATATTTAAGTTGATACAAAATTACATAAAATTTGAAAAATTAAAAGCAGAATATGCTGACAAGGATTTTAAAAAGTACTGTTACAAAATATCTAAGATATGAAATAAATTGGTACATCAATTTCTAATCAAATCATTAATAAAATTTTATATGCTTTTTGTCTCAACGTATCTATTACTGTATACCTTCCTTTTCAAAGAAAATTATTCATACAAAATTGTACCATCATATCAAATTAAAGAATACACAGTTTGCTGCATATCTTGTACAATCTGATATGTTTCATTTTCAAATTGCCATGATGAAATAATAATGATTATAAAAAAGTAAGATTTAAATTGTATCCATTTAAAATAAAATAAATAAATAGCACAATAATTTAACACTATAATATAGAAAATAATCTACAAATTCACAAAACATTCTCCTATTAGAGTATTAAAAAATAATAGTTTAAAATTTCTCTAAAATGTTTGGTAATGTATAGGGAAAGGAATAAAAATATGTTTAAAAATATAAAATATGCTTAAAAATATAAAATATGTTTAAAATATGACAAAAAAAGGAAGAAAAGAAAAGAATATTAAGTGTTTGGTTAAATACACGTTTCACTTCTTTATGACATGAACTTGCATTAGCATTGATGCAAATTTAATAAAAAATTATGCATATTTTAAGCACTTTTAAATATAACTTTTTATAATGATAATAAATTAAAAGAAGGTAAAAGTTATTAAAGTAATAACTTAGACATGCATATTTTAAATCTTGAAAAGATGCACAGTTCTGAAAATTTTATTCAAATAAAAGCCAGGAAAAAGATGAATATTTGAAATCAATTTTTGCTTTTCTTAATCTTTCACAGCTTTGTATATTACTCATTTACTAATACAAGCTCTAGATAATCAATACAACAGCTAAGTGCTTTATCAGCAAAAACTGTCCGAGGCAAACTATGTTTATTAATTAATCGAAAATATTTGTCAATTACTCAGCACTGAACACAAAGCTTACAATGAAAACTATCAACTATAACTTTCAAAGCAGAAACAGTAGTTAAAAGTTATTTGTAGATTCAATGAATAAAAACCATTTTATGTATGCCTTAAATCGATATGCAGGATCAAACAGTTAATAGAAAACAGTAGATGTGAAAAATTTATTAATATTAAAAAAAAAGCACAATATATAGAAAAAAGATTTTCTTTAAAAAAAATTGTTCTGCAACAAGAGGTATGATATTTTAGACTAAAATAAAAGCAGAAATCTTACAGAAAATGCTGTTCTTGACTGACTGGGATACCTTCTTTGTACCATGTAACAGAAAAAGGTACCAAAGATTGGATATAGCAATGTAAATCTGTGTCTTCTTCATAATATCCATTCATGCGAGGTCTTGTACTTACTTCTGGAGCATCTGCAATTTAAGAAGAAAAAAAACATAATGAATAATAAATTTTCATGGCACTTTATGGTAATATAGTTCAAACAATATCAAAATAAACAAAAGCATAACATTAATATGAAATTGACTAAAAAATCTACAATGTTAAATAAATAAGCATACATAAATTTGGTTAAGGTTCAAGTAAAGTCAAGGTCTTTAGAGTACAGGTCTTAACAATTGAGCTTTAATATTTTCAAATGTCAATAATCTAGATCACTTTGAATGATAAAAAAGGAGAACGATATTAGTCTGCAGAATTTCAAACCAAGTAAAGCATCAATTTATGCAGGGATAGGTTTCCAATTATTATTTTAAAAACAAATTTAATTTTTTTTTAAAATAAATAATATTTCTTTCTTTTGAAATCTTAACTATTAAGATTTGTCTGATCAAGATTGATCCACATACTTAGAATTCTACTATATGATAATGCAACTACAAATACATAATAAAATTTATAGCAACTGCGTAGATTGAAATAAATATTTTTAAATAAATGAAACAAAAATATCAGCAGATAGAAGTGATTTCAATAAAAGCAAAAGTAAAAATTTCCTTTTCTCGAAGATGTTTAAGAAGTTTAAGTAGTTTCACTTACAGTGTGAATTTTTAAAGAAAATACTTCAAAATTTGAGACTTTATGAACCCTTTAACTGGGAGAATACTTAGATGAATTTTAACAAAACTTTTTCAATCGAGTAGCACTTCGTTGTTAAAGAACATGTAGAGAAACAAGTTTGTTCTGCAGAAAGCAACTAATTCTTTTCCTTACACGAGTTACGGGCCAATAATTAAAAGAAAATTATGTTAAGATTTAAGCTCTTTGAAACAAAAAATGTAATTGTGAAGACTTCTTTCCTTTACACACTTAACTAATTATGTTATTTAATAGAGAAGTACGGCTCAACAGGAAAATTTTTGTTTGAATTTCACCTGCACCTACAGTTAAGGAGTATCTTTGCAGCTAGAGGGTTAATTAAATCACAAGTTTGTTTTATAATAAATTGCGCATTGCATATAAAATAACTAAATAATTTCAAGCTTAAACTTCACTAAAATTATTTCAAGCTTTTCGGGGTGGAAAATGATTACAAATATCCTTCAAAAAACTGCTCCAATTTAAATGTCGGCTAAATTTTTCAAATATTTTGTTTATTTTTACATCAATTCTATATCAAGGTTAGTTAAGCATGTATGAAGCTAAATGTTATATCAATCTGAATTATGGAGTGATTGTAATAAAATCTAGGCTCTTATAATATCCCACTTAAGCAGAAATAAAAATCACAACATGCCAAAAAATCTAAGTAAAAATAATTTGAAGCAGTTATGCTTACTTTTAACTTACTCAAACCTAGCAAAACAAACTAAGCACTAAAACATTACCACTGAGAATTACTTTTAAAATAAAGTTCATAATTACCTGGTAATTGGGAACTGATAGCAGTCGAAGTCATTCTTTCAATTGGAAAGCCATGCTCATCAGAGCCAGCAACCTACATGAAGGAAAAATATTTAAATAAATAGACACTTTAAAAAGAATTCCAATAAAAAAGAAAATATAAAATAAATTGAGATTTTAAAAAAGTTTTAAAAAAAAAGAGAACCTTCTGTTACCTTGAGGTAAAAATATTCATTAGGTGGATAAAATGTGGAAGCATTGAACATATTGGTGCCAGGGAATCTTTTAAGAGGAATGTTTTGCAGATTATTGCCTTCCAGATCAACTATTTTTACATTTTCAAATGTAGCTGGATTAGGTAAATCAGTTGCATTAACTAATAAATATGTAGGAGCCCCTAAAGCAAAATAGAAATGCTTCGATTAAAAAAATTGTTAAAATTCACAGCTAAAAATAAAATACTTATCGCTTACAATACAATTAAAATTAAATTACAGCATTACCTTTTTAAATGAAATTTTTTCACAACTTAATGTTTCTTCATATTTAATATGGTAATATTACTTCCAATAAAAGTAAAAACTTCATATCCCATTTATTACACAGCAAAGTTATTATTTGGTAACATTTCTGTAGTAAAGTTGCTACATTTTATACTTGAGATGCATTAATTGATTATAATAAAGTTTTTTTTAATAACCATAAAAATAAAAACATTAACTAACTAACAGCTTACATAGATTGATTATAATACTAAGTTTTTTTTATAACCATAAAAATAAAAACATTAACTAACTAACAACTTACATAGTCCACAACAATAAAAATAAATAGCTAAGATATTCAATTTTTGAAATATGTTACAAAAAAGTGCAAATATTTTTTTAAACAAACAATCAAAATTTAAGCAGTTAACACTAAGTACAATAGTCAAGTTTAAGAAAATATTGACTTTACATTTTAAAATATTTAAATCTGTTAACTCCATTCAGATTGATCTTTCCTTTAATAAAATAAAAGACTCCAACAAACCACAAAAATCTAAATATTTTTTAATAACTGTGAATAAATACATGGATACATATTGCAGCTGTAAATATTATACAAACATTCAGAAAAAAAAAGAATCTTTTTTACTGCAACAGTTTCTTTTCTATTAATTTTAGTTTTCCCTTCTAACATTAAAAAAAGTATTCAATACTTTTATGTAGTTCTCAGTTACTACTGGAAATCTGGAGACAGAGGGATGTTAGAGAGATAATCATTAATAGGGAGAAAAAAGTAGAGGAAGGAAAACAGTTGGTGAAAATTAATTGAAGATCTTTAAAATTGCATGTATACTTTGCAGGTACAAAAATCATTAAAACAAAATCTAGATTTTTATGGTACTTGTACTACTTTAAGTCAGATGAAGTTGAAATAACAAATAAAATTGTAACATTTAAATTTTTAGAACCCACTAAATTACAGTAATTATAAAATAGTAAAACAATAAATGAAAATGCACTATAGTTTCTTTAAAGAAATATTGACAATTATAAAGAATTTTTTTTATCATGAATAAGTCCTTTTCCATTTTTATTTTGATTAAGTTTTTAATTTCAATATATTTATTTGATTATATTTTTTTTTAATCACTACTCTAAAAATTGCTATTCAAAAACATAAACTAGGTTACTATTTTCCATATTACATTATCACTTCATAAATAGTTACTACAATAAAGCATCAAGTAAATTCCTGTATGCAAAATTAATAATTAAAAAAACTAGTCTTATTTGCAATTTTTTTACAGATAAAAATGTGTTTCTAAAGATCATTAATCATAAAATGTATTTTAATAAGTGGATAATAATTAAATTAAACTGTTAATATACAACTTACAAAGATCAATAAAATTTTATTAAATAATTGAATATTATAACACTTATACAAAAGTGGATACCTCTTAAAGGACGATGATAAGTTTCTTTAATATTTGAAGTAGGTTGCCTTGAAAATCCATGGACAAAATCAATTTTGCTAAGTCCTGTAGCTCTAATAGTATGGGCTCCTTCACTGTTTACTCTAAGTTTCCAGCGACCGGGATCAGGATCTTTGATATTGACTATGCTGATATTTTTATGACTCAATAATTCTAATAATCCTTTTGTTTGGTCAATGACCTCTCCTATCAAAATATAAAAATAATATTTCATATCAAAATAGTTATGGAATAAATTGCACTAAACATTATTTATGCTAATAAATTAAACACTACTAGGCAAAAAATACTACATATCTAATAAATAAATTTAAAACTAAAATTGAGGAAGTTGCTATATAGGAAGGCTGAGTTAAATTCTAATTAAAACACATTACATATCAATGAACAAAGTAAAATAATTTTTGTAACAATAATAAGCAGGATGATCAATTCTATATTTCATAGTGAGAAACTAATTATGAAAATATAAGTTAAATTCTTTTTTGAAATCAATATACAAGTTGTAAATTTACAACAATTGCATAAAATTATAAAATACATGTTTTAACAAAACAAGAACTGTCAATACTATCAAAGAATCTTAAAGTTAGTATAAGAAGAAACGGGAACTAATTTCAATAATAGTAATAAAAATTTCTGACTATAAAGAACATGAATTCAATAATGATAACACATCAGAGGTGCAAGAAAAAAATAATTATTGCATCTAATAAATGTTTTTATGGCTTTAGGAAATATTTAAGATCAGATCAGTAGGAAAGCTAAGTTATTGCTTAATGTTATGTATTAACTGTTGATAATAATTGAGTTGTAACAAGGCCAAGGATTTAATATTTATTATATTCATCAGTGTATTTCATTAATTTTCATTGTTAGGCACTTTAATTAAATCCCAATTTTAAATTTTTAACAACCCCCCCCCTTCAAGTTGAGAATGGTTAGTGTTTGTTTTGAAAGATTGGATTCCCCCAACGGACCGCAGAAAATAAGCGATGACAAGTGCAGCCACAAAAGTTGGGGTGACAGAAGAAGTTTTTTTCCTTGATCAATTCACATAGCTCTTGCAACAGGATGGCCTTGTTGGATGCCATCCTGTCAACCTATGTAACCAATAAACTTTCTTATCAATTAATAAAATTTATAACTGTAACAATGTTGACCATTATTTCAGACTGAATTAACTTTGCTAATTAATTTTTCTTCCTTTTTTAAGGTTAAACATTTTAGTTAACTTAGTAGCTTAACTCAATCTTAACTTCTCTCTTTTTACTCTTATGTTGCATCCTAAGTTTAAATCTATATGATTGTGAGGTTAATCTTAAATAATAGATATAACATTTATAAATGCTTAATTTGACATTTCAGAACTTATGAGTCAGGACTGACTCAGAAAAATGAGGAAATACTACCTATTTTTAAAAGAAAAATACTTTGAAATATTTTAAGAAGAATACAAAAGAATAAAATTTGGAATAGCAGAACCATTTCACAACTGTATAAGAGCTTTAAAGAATCATATATATTGTGAAATTCATTAAATTACAAAGATTAAAGTGGGCAGGACACCTTGCCAAATGCAAGAAAACAGAAGTATAGAAAAAGTTTTCATGGCCTAGCCATATGGTGTACAAGCTAGAGGGAGACCAAAACTACATTACATTGATTGCCTTGAATAACACCTTAAAATATTTAAAATTAAGAACTGGAAAACAAGGGCATTATATAGGTCAAAATGGAAATCTGCTCCTTATAAGGTTATGATCCACAGTGGATTATCATGCCATGGAAGAAGGGAGGGAAAAAAAACATAAAATATATTGCAACTCTTAATTCAAAAGAATTGGCATTAATAAAATATAATTAAATATAATATAATAATAAAATGAGGAAAATTGGTTTTTTAAAAAAGTAGTGCTAAAATAGTCATTTCATTAGTTTTTGAGAGAAACTGGCAAACTAGTAAAAAAAATAAATAAATAAATAAAGGCATTTTAAAGTTTTGGTCATGTTTTTGACAGCTGCTGATTTCATTAAATAATTTTGCAGTAGCTTTAAATGCCAACAAAACATTTCTAAGAGGTAACAACTGAATCATTAACTTTGCATTAAAGAAGCAGTAGCAATCCATTTTAAATTTACAAAATATTGTTTTACATTTATGAGTTTTTAAACAACATATTAAACAAATTCCAAGAAAATAAAGTTAAGATTACCTCTAGAGCTTATAAGTGTTATTACAGGTTTTTCACCTGAAACGGATATTGTAAATTCTCTAAGGCTTCCATCCACATCAAATTCAAACTCCTTTAAATCTCCAGCGGGTCTATCAATTGCAAACAAATTTACTTTTCTAGCTTGCAATGAAACACGCACAAAATTTAAAACCTAAACAGAAAAAATTGAATAATAAATAACTTTGGTGCAACAAAATTACACAGTTTATTCTGGTAATTAAAAATTATAATTACTAGCTGGAATAACTGGAATTTTTAATTATGTCATACAAGTTCAATAAAAATTTTAATTCCAAATAAACGTTTCCTTCCTTTATTTAATAACATGGAAAAACCGATGGTCTCTGAAGAAAAGACCGTAACTTGAAATGTAACTTTTAATAAATAATTTATTTTGGTATTTTTAATTTAGCTAAGTGTAAGAAAATTTAACTATTTTTTAAAAAATTTTGCACTTTTTTTATTATTTTATTTAACTTTTGTGAACGTCCATTTTGTTCAATGTTTAAAAAAAAAAGTTGGTAGAGGTTAACATTTTTCGCGACTTTTCGCTTGTGCTCAGTTAACGAGAAGGTACCTTTATTTCTTAGAAGAAGAATATATATAGTAGTATTTTTCAGACAGGTATCCATTATTATTAGACATATCTTAATTTTAAAATGCATACATTCTTCTGTTTTCAACTGTAAAGTCAGTGTAGTTCATTGTATGAAAGAAAATTTAAATTACACACTCAAAAACAAAAGGCATCCTTGAGCTGAATTAGAATAAAGCAGAATAAAACTTGCTTTATATGTTATGTTCTACTCCATCATATTATACATGTTTTAATTATGGAGTTGTAATTACAGCTTAAAGTGAAATCGATATTCTAAATTCTTGAAGTTGGAAACAAGTTATACCTCATCGACATCTGATTTCATTAAATGAAAAACTTGGCCAGAACTAGTTGATGCAATACGTTCATAAGCTTGATATCCAGGATGGGAATGGTTTCCGCAGTCGCCAGTCATAACAAATACAACCTAAGAAATTAAATAATTCACAAACCATATGAAAAGAATAAACAATTAATATCTTTAAGTTCAAGTACATTTGCTAGCTAAACCCATTATTGACCAAGATGCCATTTTAGGGACAGCTCAAAAAAGCAACTATGCAAAATTTACTAAAATGTTACTTAATAAGCACAGTGTCAATATGAGATGATTGACAAATGCCCTTAAGAGGACAGTGCAATGATTTGACTTGATTGACTATGCCAGCATATGTCAGACTCAAGTGCTTATACTTACACAATACCATATAAGAGCTGATAGTATAGTTAAAATGTTGGACATATCTCGCAAAGCCATTTAGTCTTATTGTCAAAAAATTCACTCTTTAAGCGTGGGATAGATTCATAACCTAGGGGTTTGCTTTCTGATGGCTTGAACTTACTCCTCAATAAGTGAACCAGTAATTGAAACAATATCGTTTTTTTTAGTAACTCGGAGATTACGTGTAGCCTTTCAAGGTCTTCATGTATACTAAAATAAAGCATTCCTTTGAGAGCCAGGATAATCATGGAGATTAAAACTCCATAATTTTATGAATAAGGGCAAGATTGTGGATATGTGGTCAGCAACTGCCTCTACTTCATAGACAAGCTGGTACTAATTGATCTGAAACTGGGTGAACTTAAAGCCATCATTAAGGATTAGTCCTTCAAAATGACAGCTCAGTGCCTTTAACTACTGAGCCATTCACTCCATATACAGATATGCAAACTTGCTCCGGACAGCCCATGGCTCTTCAAGAGGCCAGCGAAGCTTATTTGGTTGGTCTTTTCAAAGACACTAACCTTTACGCTATCAACGCCAAGAGAGTCACTATCATGCCCAAAGACATCCAACTCGCCCGACGTATTCGTGGAGAACGAGCTTAAGTTGCTTAACTACACACATTTAAAAAAATGGTTGTTCACCGTTTTTTATACTATTTTGGGAAATCTGGAGCAGTTGGAGTCTCTAAATATATTCTAGCAATGATAGAATTTTCTATGATTACTTGTTACTGAGCTCACACTGTTCACAATTTAATTTGAAAAAATTTTGGATAATTCCTGGGAAGGATTTAGGCTAAATGCAAATCGAAGTTGGGTTATGCAAATTGAATAATTTTAACAAATAATTGATATGTTTGCTTAATAATTGATATGTTATGCACAAATTCCAAGACACACAATACTTTTGCAAATATAGGCAACTGTTCAGTCTGTACGTCTTAATATTTTTTAGGCAGCTTTTGAGGATCTATGGAGCTTATAAATGTATCCCATAACTATTGAAACTTCCATGTAATTCATTTAAAAATGCATACTAGTACAGCAATAACATTTATACAACTGTAATTAGATGCAAGAAATAATTATTAAAAATATACCTGACTCTGTTTTCTTTGAATCAACTTTAAGACATCATTTAATAAATAGTAATCTTTTGCCCGAGCATCAGTGAACACATAAATGTGAGAATTAGGTAGACAAACTTCTAATGCTAGTTTGATGGCACCTATACTCATTTCTGGACAGTCACCTCCACCTTGAACATAGAGCTCTTTTAAGTGTCTCTGGAATAGATCTGGATCAGTGGTTACAGTTACAGGGCCAATATCTAAAATCAAATTAATTATTTTTACCATTTTGGAAAACAACATAAATGTCAATTTGTAAGGTAATTTTTTTTTCTTATTTGAAGATAGACTTAGGAACAACTTAGTTTAAAATCCTTAAACCAGCTTTTCTGAAACAATAGAAAACACGGTATGATTATTATCTTTGAGTATAGAGACAATTGTAGTTGCCTTTAATTACTAATTTATTTTAATTAGTTATTAACTCATAAATTATCAATATCATACTCATAATAAACTTAAGTTTATCAAATATTTTTCTTATGGTAGAGACCTTTAAACTAGTCAGAGATAAAGAAAATGTGTGGGGTAACTTTTATGCTGAAAGACATAAAGTGAGAGATAGTAGTCTGCCATCGCAACCTGTGTACAATGAACTGGTTTATGAAAACAGCGTAAAAAGTAAGTCAGTACAAACACAGTAACAGAACTGAAAAAATTTATTTTGTTAGGACAATGTCACACTTTCAATTATAAAGAAAGCTTATTTTTACGCTGAAATTAAAGTCATCTTGCCATGTAGTCTATAAGCACTCTTTTGGCATAATTAAAATAGAAAAACTTAGCTACAGTTCTGAAGTGAGATATTCTTTCTTCGAAAAAGTAGTTAATATATGACTATCTTTTTATTTAAATGCCAATTCATATAATGACTTTAAAAAAAAACATGTATCAAAGTGTAAAAGTCGACCCCCTATTTTTGATTAGGAGATAGCGAATTTCTAGTATGTCAAGTGTATAAGTCAACTGTTGAAAAAAACTAAATATAAAAATTTCTGAAATGAGTAATGGGTGGACGAAAACAAGAATTCTTACAAAAACAGGAAATATATGCACAGCTGACATGGACATCATGTATCAAATGATACTAGTTAAGTGTCAAAATGTAAATTTAAATGCTATTGTAAAATCTTTAAAAAAGAGAAGAATTTCGATTTCTTTGGATGGGGATGAGGATGATTTTTGGTGGAACTAAGCAGATGAGAATGAAGTAGAATCCATTGCAGAGTGAGATTTGTATGGACGTATTTGAATATGACGCAGATCATGTTCAGCAATCTTAAAATTTGTAGGTTGTAAATTTCATTGTGTTATATTTTCTTGAATTACTTTTGCATAAATTATATTAATTCTTTTTATCCATAATTTTTTTTTCTTAAAGTAATTGATTCTTTTCTGAAAGTAATTTCTTTTTATAAAGAAAATATGATGAATGAAAAGCAAAATAAATATTATATAACATATTAAATATAGTTCTTGAGAGGCCCACATTGATACAGAATTATTCTTATCTATCCCATTGTTTATAATGCATCGACATTTCACAATAAACAAATGACCCACTTTATTAATGTTGTATAAGTTCACTGGATGATAAGTCCATCTATGTATGCAACAAAAATGAAAAAAACTAGTATCAAACTAGAATTTCCCTTAAATTGTTTAATTGCTGCAATTGTTATTAATTTTGTCAAAAAAAATTTAAAGGAAAATACTTACAATACAAATATAATCTATCCAACAAAGACAAAATTGAAATAGATTACTTTCACTAATATTTTAATAAAAATGACAAAATCATTCTTAATACAAACATAACCTGTGAAACCTGTTTTCTTCAAAAAAGTTTGTATTTAAGTATTTTCTAGTTTTCCCCATAGTTTACTTCATCTCCATTTATAAACTTTAGACAGAAAGCTCCCTCAAAATTACTAATTAAATTCCTAACTTTATAAAATTATATATTGTCCATAATTTAAATCAAGAAACTGTTGATAAATAAAGGAACACATTTTTGAGATATAGAGAACAGCTAATAAAATATTTTATTTCACTAAAGAATTACATAAATAGAATGCTATAAAAATGAAAAGGGTAATAAAATTCACAGTAAGTAACAATCATTTTGTAAGACAATCCCATACAGTAAGTTCAGAAAACTTAAAGAAGTACAGCTAGTTGACAAAAGACAAGATTACATAGTGGTTGAAAAATATCCAATTCTTTTAATATTTTCTTTATCTTATACAAAAAAGACAGTTTATTATCTTACAAATCCAGAGATATAGCAGGATGATAAAATAGAAAACAAAAGTATGACTATTCTTAACACAGAGAAGCTTTTTTAAAAAATTAAATAAAAGAAATGAATATTACAATTAATAACAGTTATAATAGTTACTGTTAAAATATTAATTTTTAAAGCTAAACTTCTAACATTCATGGAATAAAAAGGCAATATTACATAGAAAATTTAAGGCTAGATGACAAAAGGCAAGATTGCATGTAATTTAAACGGTTATACGGCATATCAGAAACATGCATTAAAAATTATGTTAGAAAATTAATATAAAAAACTTTAACTACAAGATTAAAACACATTTTATAAAAAAAAATTGCTACAGAGTATATTAATAAAAATTTTATTCAAATATAAATTTTTGAAGATCAATATGAAAATGCTTATAGAACAGAGAAATAAAAAACTAAATATATTTGAAAAATAATTAGTCATATCAATGACATAGTGTAATGTGGGTCATATTGTTGCTCATGAGCTAGAGAATGTGGAGCGTTAGAACCTATGCAGGTTCTTAGCCAACAACTGGCTATTTCAAGAGTGCTTTACTTAGTTACATGAATAGAGCTTTTCTTTTCTTACGAAATATAAATTAAAACAATATACAGGGTGTCTATAAAAGAACTCCGGGGTTTTGAGGCAAAATATTTTAATGAAATAAAAAACATACATACATGTTTTATACATGACTGAAAAGCTTACATTTTCAAGTTTTTTTTAACACTTAGTAAAGTTCTATATGAGCCCCGTTAGTGGCACGGCAGACGTCTAAACGGTATTCTACCTCTTCCCATGTCCTGGCGAGCATGTCTGGGGGGACGGTTGCCACACAATTGACTATTCGTTCCCTGAGATCTTGGTAACCCCAACTCCAGGCTGCATCTTGTCAACGATTTCTTAGGGCTTCGAAGGCATGAAGCTCGGATTCTGTCCACTTTCTCTTGAGACACACTCGGCCTACCCGGCGACTTTTGCTTCAAAACACTTCCTGTTTCCTTAAATGCACTGAACCATTGACGAATGGTTTTGTCAGAAGGCGGGTTAACACCATAGTTACGTCGAAAGTTTCTTTGTACGGTAACTAAAGACTTCGTTTCTATGAGCCAAATAACACATTGAGCCTTTTGTTGCGGAGTCGCCATCATTTCAAATTTCGCGACGCCATTTCAAGGTCAACGCCCTGCAGCGCCGCCAACAGTTGATACAAACATTCCCAATTGGTATGAGTAAAACTTTTTGAGCTACTCTTTTCAGAGAAATCGACTAAATTTTGCTATCTTTTATAGTTAGTGAGATATGAATTTTTAAAACCCCGGAGTTCTTTTATAGACACCCTGTATATCCACATTGAAATTCAAAGACTCATTTCGTAAGACAATACTACACATTAAATTATTAAAATTTTGGGATCACAATTATTAGCATTTTGAAGACCAAAAAAAAAAAAATAATAAATAAATAATAATAAATAAAAATAGAGAGAGAATGCAGAGGTAAATAAATTAAACACACAGACAAAATACACTAATGCACATAATTTAAGATAATTCTTTAAATATAGATAGAAAAAAAATTCATAAAAGTAAGGACGAGAAGCAACTCATCTAAAGTTTATATAATTAGCTAAAAAGTCTACACAAACCAAATTTATTGCAGTTCAGAATAAGCTGACATAAAATAAATATTAATTTTATCAGAATTTTTTATAAATATATACATACAAAAACAATATATTACTAAATTATATCCATCTAAAAAAGGAACCTCTAATAAGGTTCTTTAAAGCTTTAGAAACAAAAATGGAAATTTATTAAAAATCAATCATTGCTTCAACTACATATTTTCAATTTATTATAGAACACAAAGGAATTAGAAATTCAATGTAAAAAACTCAAACACGAGAAGATTTTTGAAACAGTATTATTTTTAAAAAATAGTTAATTTACGTATTTGAATATTTTTTTTGCTAAAACATTATTTAAAATTAGTTAAAAAGCAAAAAATCCATATAAATGACTAAAAGATACTAGAAAAGAGATGTCAAAAAAAAAAAACATATCCATTTTTTACAATACAAATATTTAATTATATATTTCTATTCATCATGAGTAATATATATCACAGCAAATGCAATAACAATAGTTAACACAGAAAAGAATTTTCTGAAGTAATTCAGACATATTTTTTAAATAAATGAATTGTTCCATTTAGTATTTAATTAAAAAGTATCAGTTCTTTTTTTCATAAAAAATTACTAAAATGTTGTAATAAACCTTAAGATAATTACTAAAACTTTTTTGCCACAATTAATCCATTTTTTCTCTCGTCTCAATACAGACAATTTTAAAATGGACAAACTAAAAAGAAGAAGAACATTAACCTTACAGAAATTAAGTCAAATTATATTATGCTAAATTTATATGTTACACAGTCATTTTTAATACAAACATTGAAACACAGAAATTAAATGAAACTGAGATAAATGGATTCAAAACTCATTCAATGTTTTTCATGAACAAAATATTCATTTTAAATTTAAAAAAAATTTCAATATATATTTTGTAGCATTCCAAAATAAAGAGAATAAAACAGTGCAAAAATAAAAACACAAAATTACCTGAATTAAAATGAACAAAAATTAAAAAATATTTAAGGTTAGAGGGAAGAAGAAAATAATATTTTCAAATATATATATATTACACCTTTTACATATATAGAAATCCAAAATCAACAAAAATATGCTTAATAATATTTGGATGATCCTAAATCTTCAAGTTTGTTATGGTAGTTATATAATTTCATCCGAAGATGATACACAAAATAAACCAATTTAATTTTATTTAAAATTACTTTTAGATAAGAGTTTAAACCTAAAAAATTTGGATCTCAAAAGAAAAAAAAAGGCAAATTAGAAGTTTATCAAATAAAGTTAGTTATAAATAGTTGGATATAATGGAAAAAATAAAATTTTTATTCATAGAAATATAATTTCATAATTTTAAAATTCTGGCATTTTTTTATTAGAAAATAGTAAAATTTCTTTCGTGAAAAAATATGTTTATTATAGCAATTAATATAATAGAATTATTACAGAATAAAGGTTTTTGTCTTTTAAGACATATTATTTAAAATTGCAAGGCATCATCTATAATTGATAAATATAAAATTGAATGGATACTAAATCAGGGGTGATAGTGAGCTCAAGTCAAAATTCCGGAAAATTTCTTGAGTAAAAAAAAAAAAAAGAAGTTTAAATCGAAAAATTAGAAAAAAATTTAAATAAGATTTCTTCTTTTCTCAATATTTCTTAGTTTACTTTAAATACATTTAAAATTTTACACATACCTATGATGACCTGGAGAAGTAATTGAAGTTTACAAATATGTATGTCTTTCTTGAGTTTATAATCATACGAATTATTTACTGATAAAAAATTTATATTAACCTTGAATAACATAAGCTTATGAAGTATCTCTCTCTGGCTCTTCCTTATAAACAAATAAAATAAACTGTGTTTTTAAGTTCCACCTTTGAAAATTTGATTTCCGGAAACTTTTGTGATCAATGATTTTTCGAAACGTCTGAACCCTCGATCTTCGGAAACTTCCGGATCACAATTACCAAAAAATCCAGAAATCCGGATCTTTTCCGGAGCACAATCAGCCCTGCGTAATTGTTAACAATTGATGTAGACTTTCCTATTATTATAAAAAATAATAATTTAAAAATGATAATTTTATAAGTATAACTAAAAGATCCAAATAATATTCTACTGTACCTATTTATTTTCTAAATATTTAAGTAAACTAAAAAATTAATTAATGAATTATTATCGGATAATAAGAATGGGCCCTAAGGCAAAGTAAAAGTTTCTGATCATTTTCCTTTCCATCCATAAAATACCCACCCTATATAAAAGAACTATTTTTAATTTTTACATAAGAAAATATAATATAATCAGAAAAGTCACTTGTAAAGTTTCTTAAAATCTGGAAGTTCTGCTAGGGGAATGTGTGTCAGTTTGGTATTTAAATTTAATCCTAGAAAAATAACACCATCTTTTAAATGCAACATATTTAATTAACTTGCTCTTTTTTGATAAAATAAAGCCATTTGCTAGCAAAAAGAGTAAATAAAATGAACCATTTCAAGATTTTTTTTTACTCAATTATAAATATCACCACTCAGAAAATTGCATCACATAAAGAGATTATATAAAAAATATCCATACAAAAATGCACATCAAAGTATTTTTTAAACATAAATATGAAAATAAATTTTATCAATTTAAAACAAATACAATAATTGATTAATAAAAAGTAGAAGGTTCAATGCATAAAAAAAATCTTTCAAGAGCTCTGAGTCTATGCTCTAAAGATGTCATAGCTAGAATCTGAACTTTAATTTTCTGATCCAAAGGCAGTATTGCTAGTACCCACCAAAACCAGGATGGACCTTCAGCAGTCGTTACTTGTAATTCTGGCATAGGTCCAAAATGCTGCAATACCTGGGATTTCATTGCTTGTGATAATCCTGCAAACCATCCTGCAGCAGTAGTATACAAACTATTGTGTCTATCTTTATAATTTTCAGAAACAAAAAAATTTTCATCCTGTAAGAATTCAACCATAGCGATTGGATAGCTATCATGTTCTTCTTTGCTTAAAACACGGAAACGTTTCACCCCTACTGTGTAAACAACTGACCTTCCATCAGGGAAAAAAGAAACCTCTTTAATTTCAAGAACAGTACCATATTCTGAGATTTTATTATCGATCGAAGCACACATTCCAAATCTAGATCTTCCAGCTTCTAAACAATGCCTTATCATTAATTTATAACGCGGTTCAAACACATGAAGTGGACACGGCAAACTAGGAAAGGCTAATGTGCAGATAAAAAGCGGAAGAACATGTTGGTGCTGTTTATCAGAATGAAAAAGCTTAGCCATTTCTTTAAAATGTAATGATTCTCGCTCCGCATAGACATCAGGAAACAATTGTTTCTGCAACCCTAGCACAAATTTTGTAGTACCTTTTTTATACTCCGTAATATAACTATTCAGATGAGATTTGCAGAGAGGACAGGAAGGTTTATGATCAAACCAACGGAGTAAGCATCGTCGGCAAAAAGTGTGACCACATGATGTCGTGATAGGCTCTAAAAAAGTTTGTAAACACAAAGAACACTCAAAATCCTGATTTTTAAGCACACTATTAGGTTGGAGAAATTTCATCTCTGATAGGTCGTTAATAGTGTTACAAAACCTTTCAATTAATAGAGACAAGCTGTGTTTATTTACTGATTCAGTAAGCATCGAGGTACCATTTTTTTCTAAACTCTTACAACTATCTTCTGGCACACATCTTCTACTTGAAAGAGGAACATTAGAGCAAAAGTTAGTCTTGACAGGATATCTTAACAATAATAACCGATATAGAAGTTCTGTGGCTTCCTTCTTAGCACACCTAACATCAGGAACTAAAACTGAATAAATTAGAAATAAATATATTGCTTCCTCATATCTTCCAAGATTGACTAGTAAATAAGCTTTCACAAGAAATTTCTTTGGAGAAGGATTTTCCTTAAATGTGATACAAGTTTGTAAATCTAAACCACAATTAATAATACTGAGAAAGTTAGCATATAAATAACATTTACTTTCAAGGCTAGAACTACTTTTGTTGGTAGCATTTTCCTGTTCTTTCCAGATCTTCTGAATGAATTTAGTGATGATGACATTATTTTTAAGCTGTACCACATTTGAATGACTATACTTGTCAAGGCATTCAACACACTGGAAGCTGCCCTTTCCTAATTTCAAATTAATACATTTTCTAGAAAATGTGTGTCCACACTTAAAAGTTACAGGATCTCTAAGTATATCACCACAGAATTGACAAATAAAATGACAAACATTTAATTCCGTTTTAAATAAAAGATCTCTTGCTTGTTTTATAAGGTTTTCAATAAAGAATTCAAGACATTTAAAATTTAGATGAAATGATTGAAGAAAAACTAAGTCGAAAGCTCTAACATATGCAGCCAAATTATCCTGTTGGTTGTTTTCGAGTTCATTTATTAAATGTTTTATTTTGTTGATTTCAAAGCTATCTTTACCAGGCAAGTTACTGTGGTCGGAACAGTTATTAGAAAGAATTTTTTCAGTAGATAACAAACTCGAGCACTCCATTATTAATATTAAAAAAATAGTAAACTCACACGTCACATAACATAAAGAAAGAAATAATTTGCAAATAGTAAAAAGGAACCACGAACAACGAACAAAGACACATTATATAAATAACACAGCAGTACACCCAAGCGAAACTTACTTGTTATGTAATAAATGAACTCATAACTCAAAAATCCCGTCATTTCCGATTGGTTTTCTTTTTTTACAACACAAAATTGCGTTAGCTTATAGCTTGCAATCGGTTTCATTCACATTATTAGACATATTTATGTTAACGTTTTACAAGCGATGTCACAGCTAAATTCTCATTGGTTAATATTATTACTTTTTTTGTCTTCACGAAAACGAAAGTAAATAAAGCAAAGTGATTTTATTTTTCATGTTTTCCTTCTATTTAATCATTTAGTTTTATATTATCTTCAATATACATATATGTATAATACAATAAAAAGCCGAAAAAGGAAGAGAGATTAACGGAAAAAAATTAAGAAAAATAATAAAAAGTTTTATTTTTTATTTACTGATCATAATCCAGGTAGCAAAAATATATGATCTAATATTAGAAAGATGCAATAAAATACTGCCGTGATAGAAAACGCAAGACTCTTGAATCCTATCTTCTTATTTTAGAACTAATATTACGTAAGATTAAATAGTATTCGATCTAACATTTGAACTTTCATAATTATCATCTATTTCATTAAGTTGCAAGTACATAGAACCCACAAAATAAGTTAAAAATACAAAGAAAACCTGGAAAAAAAGATAAATATTTTAAAAGAAAAGAAAAAAATTATAATAAATAAAATGCAAATAAAAAATATGTAAAACTTTTAAAAAAATTATAAAGCCGGAAAACAAAATAAGCTAAAGATATAATCTCATCATCGGTTCACATGATTATATCTGCAAAAAATAGTGCTTTCTAATATTGTATTAATATAGCAGGAGCAAAATATATCAATACAATAGTGTAAGGAGCACCAAAAAAAAAAAAGGAAAAAAGAATTGAAATTAAAATAGATAAGATGTAATAAAGTATAAAATAGAAAGAAAAGAATCAAGAAAAATACAGAATAAAAAACACGATGTTAAATATTTTCTAAATACACTTTATATATTAATACTTTTTGTTCACGTTAAAAATAATTATATTTCTTACATATTTACGTTGTATTTTTAACTTACGACAGACATAATTAAATCGATTAAAATAATGTTAATTTCTTCTTGTTATTAAATGTTAGTCCTTGCCAGTGCCTAAATATTAAGTAAAACGCGTAACTACATACACACGCATATACACAACTCAACAAAATAAAGATTAACTATATTCAGTACAAAATTGATGCTTTTGAATAATGATAGTGACCAACACAATCTAGATTTACCCCCAATGAAGCAATTTTTTAAATAAATTTTCATTTTATTAAATGACTTTTTTTTTAATGACAGTTATTAGTTTTTCATTATTTTGGTTTTAAAAATGAGTTTGAAAAGCATAATTCAGGAAACAGATTTTTAGATTAGTCCATCAATTCCGAACTACTTACTTTTTTGAAGGTAGGTGGAAGTTAGATGCATGTCAACATTTTTCACGAGAAAGGCAAAGCAGACAAAATCTATTTCTAATTTCAGAATTTTATTTTATTTTGTAATCGACGTTTAGCAGCCGATCAAATTGGAATTTGCGACTATCACTGTACAAGCCCGTAACCTTGTTATTTTGAACCCAATCCAGAAGAGAAGGAAATCCTGGATGAAGAATTGAGAAAGCTAGCCTTCGTGGAGGGGTTTTTTAATGGAGCTAACCCGCATTTGAGTTAGACGGAGAAGAAAACCATGAAAACCTCTACCGGTTAGCCCGAAGGCAAGGGAATATCAGTCCATGATCCATCTACAGCTGATAATATTTTCTGTCAGCACCGGGAGCAGAATTCGTATCGATTCACAACTAGAATTCTCAACAGGATGCGGTGCTAACTGGTAAACAAAGCGCATCATTTGTCTATTTTCTCAATCTGTAAAGTTAAATAAACTATTTTTTAGAGAAGCGAGTTTCGTATTGTGTTGGACGATGATTGCTAGTTGATAGTCGGTACTACTTTTAGAAAGCAAACCATAATCTGAGCAAGTTGGAGCATTCGAGCAATTGCGGATTTAAATCTGGGTCACCTTATTACTAGATGAGCTCTCAATTCTCTGAGCCACGGCTCGGGATTTCAGATTTTGGAAAACATTTTTTTCGCCCAAAAGGTCTTACAAATTTCACATTTAAGATGGAAACTTTCGTCCGCATATGAAATAACACGCAATGGCTTTTAACCTCAGAAAAGCGGTATAAAGAGTGAAAGATGTCAGTATAAAGATTACCAGGCAATAACCATTTACCTTAATGAAATAATATATACCAAATATTGTTATCAGTGATCCTTTTTACCATATTAATCAAAAGACGGTTATTGTGTATATATAATATCCGGACAAACCAGGATAATGAGACCCCAGAAATGTAGGGTTCATTGCTGAATTCCTTTAGTTATAGTTCTTGCATAGTTCCTTACATAGTTCAAAATAATCGGCCATTGCTCTTTATTAGATTTTATAACAATTCAGGTAATCAGGGATAATGTAATTTTTCAGTTATTTAAGTCATTACTAGCATTATCAAGTGTGCAGAGGTCTTTAGCACTTCTCAAAATTTCTGGCGGTGGAAATATAATTAATTATGCAAACTTGCTTAAATTTCACCAGCACATAAAAAAATCCAAGCGTATAAGATCTTTTATATAACACATAACCATTTAAATGATGTGATATATTATACTGTAATTATAACCGTGGTTGAAAACCGACCCATTTTGAGTTTACGACTACCAACGTTCAACTCTGTAACTTAGTAATTTTGAACCTAATCCAGAAGACAAGGGACCTCCTGGATGAAGTACTGGAAATAATTTGCCTTCATGGAGAACTTTTTGATGGAACTAATACGCATTTGCGTTGCACGGGGAGAAAAACTACGAAAATCTCCAACGATTACTCTAACGTCATAAGGACTTTAACCCATGATCCGTATATCACTGAGGATATTTTACGTCAGCAGAGTGGTCGGTGCAGGCTGGGTGCGAAATTCGCATTGAGCAGCCATCGTTGGGATTCGAATCCGGCTCCGCAAGCGCTCTCAATTCCCTGAGCCACCAAGGCTCTAAATGACGTGGTAGTCAGTATCATTTTAATTCAAATACTTTACTCAAATGTTTCACAAAAAATTGCTAGCCCTTTATATATTTGAAAAAAAATCTTCAGCCTAAAGCAGAAGCTGGCATGTCTGTGTGTGTTTACGGCCACGAAAATGTTTAGAACAAATGAATTCTGGAACTAAATTGTTTGAAAGCCTGGTTATTTTTTCGAGTTAAAACGAAAAAAAAAAAAATTTCCAAGTCAATACACTTAACGTTTACTTCCAAATGCAATGTATGATTTTAACCTGAGCTTACTTTTCTCAAAAAGACAACAGGTACTTAAACCTAAGCAGGAATTAAACATTCAACTTAAGCCCATTAACTGATTTTTTTCTCTGACACTTTCGGTTGCATATCCATGGTGTACGTGCTTGTATTGTTCAGAAATCGAAGCAATGAAAAATCATTTTTGCATAAATTTATTAAACCAAAAATTAATTGTCAAAGCATAAATTTACTGCCTAATTGTGCAAAAATTCTTTCCTTAAGAATGAGGGAAATAGTAATTTTTTATTTAAGCTTTTTTATCGCCTTCCAACTACGTTATTTAAATAACGCACTAAGTTTTCATTCTGTAGTGATGTGAAAAGTGCTCTTACCTAAAAAAATACATTAAAAAAAAACAAGCACTAAAAGTACAGGTTTTTAAGAAAAACATCTCAGAAAGGGGTCAACTCAAAGGGTAAAACTCGTAACAACCTCTAAACAATCCTCTACACGTTTTTTTTTCATACTTTTTTTCAAAAAAATTAAGTTTAATATCCATTTGGCGTCGTGGCGATTGTAATTGGCGCGACAGATCACGATGCGGAAATATCGCAAAAAATTATTCTGCCTAACTATGATACATGTAAATAATAAAATTATGTCATTACCGTAATTTACTTTTTTTTAAAAAAAGAAGAAAAAAAGTACTGCTCTTTCTACAATGATGACGCTAGGGAAATGAATTCGTTGAAATCACTTTTTGTATTAAATTGCTGCAAAAATACTTAATTGCATACTTTATTTACCCATTATTGCATGATCACAAATAGTTCTCTTATGCTTATATGACAAACTACTTGCAAAATGTGGTTATAGATATTTATTTACACTGCTTGAAGTGGGTAATGCTCCACCCCCACCAGATTTTATCAAAAAGTCGTATGTGTTTCTCCCACTTTTTAATTATTTTATAAATTTAGGATAGCAGTCATATTACTTTAACTGTAAGCTCGCGAAACAAGTTTTCTGTGAAAAAGTAATGAGGTCGATTTTTGACCTAGGTACTACAATTATGTTGCTTTTAGAACAGGGGTTTCCAACTGGGCCGCATCCAGCCCGCGAAGCCTTTTTTTGTGGCCCGCGAACTAAAATATATTAGCTGTCATTTTTTTGCGAACAATTTTCGTAAAAAACCTATATGGGCTTGAAATACTTTTCTCGTTAATAAAAACCTAATTTTTTCGTTTCTGTGAAATTTAACGTACCAACGGTGCAAAAAAAATTTATTTTTCAGGTTTTGCATCCAAGAAAATATTTATTCAAATACAAAAATAATCGTGTATGTTGCTCTTTTTTAATTTCGTTTTTTTTCGTATTTTGGGAATATAATTTAGCACGTGCGTATCAGAAATTTTCTCGAAGAAATTCTCCGATTTAACTTTTCGAAACCACTCATTTTGGACGAAAATATTTAAAGACAAATTTGAAAATTTTAAATTTAAAATGTAAATATCTATTCCCTGGTAGTTGCAGCAGACAAACCTCAATTTTCTCATTGAATATTTTGTGTGCTACTATGTAAGTTTTAATACCTTAACAATTAGATATCTGTTGCTCATTAATTGTTTAGTACATAGGTGCGCACTTGAAAGCTATTGTAGCCCGAATTTTTATTATTTATATAATATTTTTAAAAATATTATTAAT